TCCACTTTAAACCATCATGGCTTCCACTCCGCAAAGGATCCTGGGAACTATTTGTTACAGGTGCTGAGCGTTCTGAGGGAAAGCCTATTTATTCCCCTCACAGAGCTACAATTTCCAGAGTGGTGAAGCAGCCAATCACTTCCCACAGGGAACTCTGGGCCAAGAATAGGGGAGTCTCCTATCAACTCTTAGCACACCTTAAGAAGCTACAGTTCCCGTCATCCATTTTGCGGAGCCATGACTGTTTAAAACAGTGTGATGGCACTTGAAATGAATAGCGCAGGGAAGGGGTGAAGTTAAGAAACACATCCACTACTCCACCCATTTTCATCTCAGGCCTCACTCACGGCTGGCATGTGGCCCTTGGAAGATTGCTCTGCAGCCTGTTTTACATGGAAATGTTTTCATTCTTGCTCACCTTGTGTGAGCATTTCAAAGGTGAAACGCCATGTCTGCAACCTGTTTTAACATCTTCCTGCCTACAGGGCAGATCTACCAAGATCCCGTTCAAGAACAGGGGCTGCCTTTGTAATGATTCAGAGACTGAAATGGTCTCTGTGCACCAAAGAAGACAGTGGACACAGAAGATCTGACTTTGCTCAATATATTGAGCCAGATTAGGTTGGCACACACCCGAGAAGGCCTGTCACCGCCCGTGACAAGAAGATCCCCGAGTCTAAAGCACCTGTGACAAGATGACAAGCAGGATTAATCTCCACATCAGCTCAAGTCTCTTGTGGGAACCACCAGAGATCCCCTTTACTCAGGGTGGAAATACCTAAGCAGGGCTCTTGGTACACCACCACACTTCCACCATTTGTGTAGGGCACAGGCAAAGGATGGCCACATTTTATCTCCTGAGGTACACATGTTCCTTAACAAGAACAATTAAAAAAAAAAAATAGAAACCAGGTTTCTAGCCCCGGAAAAGTTTAAAAAGTCAGGAAGCTGATTGGCTGAACAGAGTTTTCAATGGCTGAGGATTGGTGCAGTGCTTCGCTTTGCTACTACTACTAGCCTTTATTGACATGTTAAAACAGTTAAATAATACAAAGGCATCCAAATACATTGATAATCCTTAGCATATTGTATCTTCCCATGACTAGCTGATATCTGCAAAAGAGAACTTTGGAAGATGCCCCAAAAGGACATGCAATTGGGCACAACCATTGTAAGAATACCACTTTTGATACTATTTTTTCTTAACACATAAGCAGGACTATTACTTGTGCATTTCATTATGAGCTATTAGCATATTGGACCAGAAGAAGACCCACTGGGCTGAAATGTGTTTGGTTTTAGGCAAACAGCAGTCACAAGAACACTAGTTTATGGATTAGGCACTCACGTGGCCAGATTATGGTATTTATTATTATATTAAAGCATTCATATTCATTCCTTTATTCTATGTCATTTAAACATTTTTTTTTATCCACTGTGGTATTAAAAGTTTGTTCACTCATCTCTTTGGAACATTTCAGCGGCAGTACGTTTCAATTTCCATCCTTACCCAACTTCTTGTTCTTGTCACAGAACACATTATGCAAAATCCCTAATGGCAGAGTATACAAACCAAAAAGGAATTATGCAGATACATTTTGCATATTTCATGCAGGTCACAGAGTACAGGTTTTCCAGACGTGGAGACAAATTAGCATTCAGGACACACAGTCCTACCCAAAGCCTGGCTGCTGTGATTTTGACAAGTTGGGCAGCATCTAACTACAGACGCATCTGGAACAGCGAGGTGTAAGCAGGGCTTATCCAAGGAAGGCTGGCTGAGCCGTGGCCAAAGCTCACTCACGAGACCAGCTCAGCCACCTCACTTTGTAGTAAAGGTTGTTTTCTGAGCCATTCAGAACAGAGTACAAGTTCTTTGGAACATCAGCTCCCAGATCTGTCTCCAGGGATGTCACAATGGTAGTGTAGTCCAGTGTAGAGCCAGGGTGGTTATCGAGTGTTGGAGCCAGGAGAGACCAGGGTTCAATTCCCCACTCGGCTATGAAGCTTATTGGGAGACCTTGGGACAGTCACTGCTTCTTAACCTCCCTCACAGGGTTGTTGAGAGGATAAAATGGGGAGGGAGAACCATGTATGCCACCTTGAGCTGCGTGGAGAAAAAGGCGGGATATAAATGTGATCAATCAATCAATGGCACCACACTGCTCTAGGTCAGCCTTCCTAGTGGCCTTGTAGTTTTGGACTAGAGCTCCCATTAGTCTTAGACAGCATGGCCATTTGTGTCCACGACTTTCGCCATCAATTGTAGTCCCACTTAGGATTACAACTCCCATCAGCCACAGCCATGCCGGCTAGGGCTGACTGAGGCTTCTGCCTAAAACATCTGCAGGGCACTAAGTTGCTCTCTTAATGCTAGTAGACTGGTTTTTTCCGGCAAGGTGGAATCCTCTCCCCTTTCCCTTTTGTTGAGGCCCCTGCCTCCAGTCTTACACAACTCACACTGTTCTCTTATCGTAGGAAGAAAGGCAAAGGTCCCTTTCCACTTTAATCTCACTAAACCTTTCCACACTTCCCTTTGTTTTTTCAACTCTTGGAACATTCAGCTTACCACTGCAGAGCAAAGTCAATGATGAGAACAAAAAGAAAGCCTACTGGATCAGGCCAGTGGCCCATGGAGTCCAGCATCCTGTTCTCCCAGTGGCCCAACCAGATGCCCCAATGGGAAGCCCAAAAGCAGGACCCGATCACCAGAGCAACACTTTCCCCTCCTGAGGTTTCCAGCAACTGAGATTCAGAAGGGCAGAATGAAGGAGGGCAGAGCATAGCCATCCTGGCTAGTAGCCATTGATAGACCTCTCCTCCATGAATTGGTCTAATCCACTTTTAGAGGCATCCAAGTTGATGGCCAACATTGCCTCTTGCAGGAGAAAGTTCCATAATTTAACTAAGCGCTCCTCAAACTATGTGAACTTGCTTCCCCTCGAAGAGGATATTCTAGACCTGGAAAAAAATGCAGAAAAGGGAAACCAGGATGAGGAGGATTTCCTGCTCTGTTTGGAAGCTCCCTAGAGCATCTGGCCAGCTGCTGGGACAGGATGCTGAACAACGGTGGGCTTCTGGAAAGGCCCCAGTACGGCCTTCCTTATAACCGAAGCCACCAGGCCGCCTGAATCAGAGCCCTACACCCTCACTTTTTTATTCTTCACATTAATGCAGAGTTCGGACTGAATAATCTCCACACCTCCTTTCCCAACAAATTTTCGGCTGGTTCAACTGCAGCCCTGAACTCTGCCTGCAATGATGGTGCTTCTGCCAATGCTGGTTCCCTGCAGAGCTGCCCGCCCCCTCCGCAACACTTTCCCCAAAGCATGCTTTTGCCGCATGAAAAGAAAATCCAGTTTAGCAAGCATCACGTGCTCCCTTTCAGAGCAGCCTGGCCCCAATAGGAAGGGCTCCGGTCCCTGGCAAACAGTCAGACAGCAGGACCCAGGAGACAGCTCCTTCCCCCTCTCTGGAAAAATTACACAAATGTCAATTGAAAGCGAGTTTTTCAAAGGAGGAGTGTGTGTGTGTGTGTGTGTGTGTGTGTGTTTGCACAATCATTCTCCTGTAATAATCAAGCATGGAGCTAAGCTGGGGGAGAGCGGGGTGGAATCCAAGCTCTCTTGCATCTGCGGAGGCAGAAAAACACATATAAGCCCAGCAGGGCCACTCTGACTAAAGTTTTTCAATCCAAGACTGGTTGCTGAGTGTCATGGAGGTAGAATGGGAAAACCCCTACTAATATTTATTTCTAAAGAACCATTGGCATCCAAGACACAAGCAGAAGACAGAGGGGGGCTTTGGCATCATCATCATAATTTTATTATTTGTATGCCGCCCAGCTGACTGGGTTGCCCCAGCCACTCTGGGCAGTTCCCAACAAAATATTGAAAACACAATAAAACATCAAGCATTAAAAGCTTCCCTGAACAAAAGCTTTGCCTTCAGAGGTCTTCTAAAAGTCAAATAGTTGTTTATCTGTTTGACATCTGATGGGAGGGCATTTCACAGGGTGGGTGCCACCACTGAGAAGACCCACTGATATACAATAACTTACAATCGTAGAGGAGGAAGGAAGAGAGGGAAGTGGTCCCACAGGCGCACAACCAGGCAACTCAAGAATGCAGGCGAAAAGCCAAAGTTTGCAGAAAATCTGGTTTTTAAGAGGGAGGAGGAGAGAGAAAAGTGTCATCACGTGAGTGTTCTGGCAGACAGCACTAGGCCTAGAATCCTTACTTAAGAATGACCCTGCTGGATGAGACCAAAGGTTCATGTAGCTGAGCTTTCTCTCTCAAAACAAACACCAGCCGGCTGCCCCAGGCAACTCACGACTGCAGCACAAATCCAGCGGCTGCCCACTAGCCCGAAGTGGGCACCGAGGGATATTTGGATAAATGCAACTATCCCACAAGGCTACAGCATATGCCCCTCGCCAAAACAAGTAATCTGCATTTAACCTAGTCCAAGAGATATTCTCTACCCGCTTCCAGGTTTTCAGAGCAAAACATCTCCCGTGCCAGATGCAGCCAGGTGACGTCTCTTCTCGGTTGGCTCTTGGGCAAAGGCCCTTTACTTCTCCCCACGTTCACTCATGCAAACAACAAGATTAGCAGCCAAGAATACACAGAAAATGAACCACTGTGGGCAGGGACAGAGGGAAAAGAGCTGAGATTAAGTCAGTGACTGAGTTATGTCACGGCCAGCAGGCAAAAACTTTTTCTGTTGCCTTTCAGTCAGACACTATGAAAGCACTGGCAGGTAAAATATGATCTCTTTGTCAGTTGCTGCAAGTTATTGGGACACTTTTGTACACCTGGAGAAAAACATTTGGCGGTTGGAGTGTTGCCATCAAAGAAGGGAAGAGGAATGTGGAAGAACTAGTGGGGTTCCTGGGGGTGAATCGCCTTAAAGAAGCACAGCGCCAGCATCCCACAGAATTGAAGAGTTGGAAGGGACCGTGAGGATCATCTAGCCCAACCCCCTGCAATGCAGGAATCTTTTGCCCCATGTGGGACTCAAACCCACAATCCTGAAATTAAGAGTCTCATGCTCTGCCGACTAAGCTGTCCCAACTTGGATTATTGCATTTCTGGGAATTACTGAAGAAGGGAAGAAGAGTCCTACCAGAGCAAGCCAATGTCCCATCTAGTCCAGCATCCTGTTCTCACAAGACCCTGGTCATGCAAAGGCTTAGGAATGACTAAGCTAGAATGATTATTAATAATCACATCTGCATCAGAATATTATACAAACAGCTTGCTGGATGTTCTCACTGTGGCCAACCAGGTACCCCAATGGGAAATGCAAAAGCAGGACCCAAGCACAAGAGCAACTCTCCCTTCCTGTGACTTCCAGCAACTGGTATTCGGGAGCATTGCTGCCTCTGACTGTTGAGGCAGAGCAGTGCCATCGTGGCTAGCAGCCATTGATAGCCTTCTCCTCCATGAATTTGCCCATTCCTCTTTTAAAGGCATCCAACTTGGCAGCTATCCCTGCCTCCTGTGGAAGCGAGTTGCATGGTTTAAGTACACGCTATGCTGCCTACATTGACTGGCAGCGGCTCTCCAGGATTTCAGGGACGTAACTCCCCCAGCCCTACCTGGAGACACCAGGGATTAGACCTGGGACCTTGTGCGTGCAAAGCAGATACACCTTCCACTGAGCCACAACATTCTCCAGAGGATTTTTTTTTTTTAAAGGTAAAAACAGAGGTTCTCATTCAGAACCCACATCATAGATCACACGTTCCTATATCTTTGTTTTCCTGGAGGCACCGTTTTCTCACAAGCTTTGGCTTGCAAGCCAGGATGGGAAGGAACATCTCTCCAAAAGAAGTATTGCCGTCAGGCTCCTTTTCGTGCACAGACTTGAGAAAAGCCTGGCTGTGCCAGCAGTTGGCTGGGAAATGTTAGTTCCGCTACACTTGGACAACGTGTTCCTACTGGAAAGGGGGCTGGGAGGATGTCCCCCGCTAGGACCCTTCCACCCAGGGCCAAAGGGGAGGAGGGTGTCTGGACAAAATTTCGGCCAAAGATGCAGGCAAATCAGTAAGAATAACCTCACCCTGAGACCACCCAGTTCTTATAAAACAGGGAAAGCAGGGAGCACCGAAATCAGAACAGAAGCATGTGGCAGCCATGTTGAACTTCATAATGGCATTGCTTTTTATCAGTGTTTCATCTCACTTGTCCATTTGTCCCTCAAGGTAGTGCACAACAAAATTATAAAAATTAAAATACCAGAAACTTTGCCCTCTGTCTCTCCAAGCTCTTCCTTTCCTGCTGTTTGCAGGAAAAAGCTGGGCTAGGTTTTTCCTCCTCCCTCCCAATCCCTTTTCCTTTTGTGTCATGTCTAGCAGAGCACTTCCAGACATTCTGTTTACTGAGCATTCATACTGATAATCTGCAGGGAGATTAGATTATGCTGGGTATCATTCTGATTAATTTGTGGGGAGGTTAGATAGTGCTGCATCAAAGCAAGTGTTCCACCCCCATCCCCGCTTCATCAGTTATTGCAAGACGTCTGATCTTTTGTGGAAACAGCTTTGTCAAACAAAGCTCAATCCACTACAACTGCAGAACCTGAGTGTGCCAGTGTGTAACTGAAACCCACCTAAAAATAGTGACAATGGAAGCCCCCTTAGATAGCTTCAGGGCAGAGACTGTCCTCTCATTGTAAGCCACTCTGGGAGCCTTATTTGGCTGTTGAGTAGGATAAAAATGCCAAAAAGAACAATAATAATGGGAAAAAATAGCTTCAAGGATTGTTGTTTTAAGTGCACAAATTTAAAACACAAAAATGTTCAGCCCTCAGGCATACACACAGGCTAGTCTTCAACAGGCCTGCCTGCATGAACTGCAAACCACAGGTGCACACATTCTCCTTCTATCTACAGTTCATGGGCTCGCCAATCACTTAACATCCTCACTGCCTTTGCAGGCCCAATGGGACCAAGCCCCTCCTTGTCCGCCAACATATGACAGCCCTCTCCCCACTTGGGAATCCCTGCAAATGGAATTCAGATGCACACTGTCTCCGGCACTGGAAGCAAAACATAGGCATCGTGGCTAGCAGCAAGTGGCTGCTCTAACCTCCATGAATTTGTCTAAAGAATTTTTTTTAAAAATTTGATTGCTGGTTACTCAATTGCTCTGGAAACAAAACCAACTCAACAATAAGGGAACCTGGGAGTTTCTGTGTGCAAAGCATTTGCTCTCCCACTGAGCAAAGGACCCTCAAAATGTGCAGGTGGGCAGAAAAGATCGAGAGAAAGAAAATCAGCATTAGGGTTAGAGAAAAGCTTCTGTCTAAAAAAACAGGAGAGCCTCTGCCAGTCAGTGTGGAGTAGACCAGCCTTTCTCAACCTTAGGTTCCCAGATGTTGGACTACAACTCTCACCATCCCTCACCACTAGTCCTGATAGCTAGGGATGATGGGAGTTGTAGTCCAACAACTTCTGAGGACCTAAGGTTGAGAAAGGCTGGTCAACTGAGATCAATGGTAAGATGATAGAGTTTTAATGTAATATATATTACATGACTATATATTTGCTAGGACAAATGTTAGGTTATGTTGATGCTTGTGTTATCTACAATTTTTCCTATGTCTCCATTTAGGAATCTAAAATAAATTACATTAAACTTTATTAGTGGAGGGCTACTCAGGCTATGCCCCCCCCTTTTTCAATGTTTTTATCTGCCTGAAAAGTGCACTTGAACTGTGATGGTGTCTCTTGCTTGCCTAAAGTGAAGATGGAGAGGTAAGCGTCTGTAAAACCTGAGGAGAGATCCACACCTACTGCTCCACTCACTTTTGCCCTGGCCCCAGTCACCACTGGTATGAGGGCGCCAGAAGGCTGCGCCTCACAGAATGCAACCCTGGGACAGAATAAAGGTTTCCCACTGTCTGAGCCAGATGGACCAAGGGTCGGAGCCAGAATTTCCTTTGCCTTTGAATACCAGTGGCTGGAGAACAGAAATGGAGGAGAGGTTGTTGTCCATGTGCACTGCTCAGAGGGGCGTGGGGTGGAGATCATGGGGCTGGCCGCAGTTCTAGATAGGCCTCTGGTCTCATCCTGCCGCAGCCAAGCTCTCCTGATGTCCTTATAACAGGTCAGTGGAAAACAGAAGCAAGTCATGTCTTGGTTTTGTGGGAGAAATCAATTAATCACTCAATTAGGAAGGAAGAACAGGAAGGGAAGAAGGCTGGTGGGGGAGGGTTCACGTCGGGTGGGAAGGAAAGAGGGCATCAAGCCTGGGGACTGAGAGGCAGGTTCCCGAGCGGGGGAATTAAACGCCCAACTTGGGTCAAAAAGGACCCTCCATGGGAAGAAACGAAAGGGAGGAGGAGGAAGAAAAACTGAGCAAAACAAGGAGAAAGACCCTATGAAGGAATGCTGCGGTGGGGGAGGGGAGGGCCCAATGCGGTGGAAGGGAGAGCGCCAGTGACATCACGGGAGTCGGCCGTGACGTCAGGGAGACGCGGCTGTCACGTGCCTCCCAGCCAGCCTCCGCCGTTGCCTTCATCGCCGCCTACCGTCAGTACTCACCGCCACCCGCTCTGCTCGCCGCCGCCGCGCTACCTTCCCCGCTCGCTGCTTCTCGCCTCCTTGCCAGGCGCTGCCTGGCTCCGCTTCCTCACCGGGCCAGCCGCAACCCCGCCCATCTCGCTTGCGATTGGCCGCCTAGGTCGCTCTCTGGCCTCCCATTGGCTGCCGCCGGAGACGCCTCTGTGGCCCTCCCCGCGACGGCCCCGCCCACTGTTTGACCCCCGCCTCCCTCCTGTCACTCACGCGCAGTTTCAAGCCTGGCGCCTTCGCGCCGCGTGCCACGCCTACCCGGCCTCTGCGCGCCTCCTCATTGGCTGTCGTCCCGTCCGCCTCCTCGCGTTGCTCCTACTGGCTCTACGCCACGCCAGTCTCCTCCGCAAAGCGTCCCTCCGAGCGTACTGCCCGCCCCGTTGATCCAAGACTTTCCATTGGTTGCGTCCCCGCCCTCTCGCCGCCACCTGGAGGCTCCTTCTCCTCCTATTGCTGGAATGCACGCGCAGATTGACGAAAGAGGATGAGCCTGAGCTGTGGTCGCTGATTGGCTGCCAGAGCTGAGGGAGGCGGAGCATAGTCCTCTAAGGGGGTTATAGCGAAGAGTGGATGCACGTGACACTAGACGTGGCAGGTGCTGCACGTGGAATGCTCGAGGTTTTATTTATTTCATAAAATGTGATATACGTACTGCGGCTTGTTAAAAAAAAAAGTATTTTACAAAAAGAACGATTAAATTTTCAGCAAAAACATTTAAAATACTGATTTAAAACCTAAAAAAATTAAAATTAGCAATAAACTGACATCTCAACATTCTATAATAGCTGTTAATAACCCTAATCATTGTTATTCATTTGCAATGTTGCTATTACATTTTTTAAAAAATTAAGAATTAGAGGGAGCTAAGCAAAAAGCTGAAACTGGGGCGGGGGGGGGTCTGGGCTTTTTTTTAGTTCTGGAAGCACCATTTGTTTTGTTTTGGATTTGATATCCCGCCTTTCACTCCCCTTCAGGAGTCTCAAAGCGGCTAACATTCTCCTTTCCCTTCCTCCCCCACAACAACCACTCTGTGAGGTGAGTGGGGCTGAGAGACTTCAAAGAAGTGTGACTGGCCCAAGGTCACCCAGCAGCTGCATGTGGAGGAGCGGAGACGCGAACCCGGTTCCCCAGATTAGGAGACTACCGCTCTTAACCACTACACCACACTGGAATTATTCCCATCCCCACCCCTGCAACTCTTGCTAGGGCCAAGTAGGGCAAAAGCCTCCTTCATTTATTTTAATATGTGGGTAGGGTGTGATAGGTTTGTATACCTGGAAGAGAGGAGAAGATCTGACACGTTACTTCAAGGGAGCTGGAAAATAGGAAACTGATGTAGAGCACAGTCAGGCACTGTCGCAGTGGGAGAAGGCTAGAAAGCTTTGTGATTAACATTTTTTCCCCTCTCTCTTGACACCAGAATTCTAGGACTGAGCTGGTCACAATGACCACCCACACTTCCTGCATCGCCTCTCTCATTAGCTCCTTGTGACTTTGACTCAAGTCAAGCGGAAACGTTTCCTTCCTCTGTCCCTCCCTCCTGGCTCAAAGTGTTGGTACCCCATCCAGCTGATCCGTTGTGGACAGGAAAAGAAGCAGAACTGGCTGCTGCGTCCACCTTGGGCCAGGCCTCAGCCATTCTTCCTGGTCTTACTGGTTAAGGAGAAGCCATTTGAGGGTACAAAGCCCTAGCTTCTTTGCTTCGGAGGCCATTCTTCTCCACAGGGTGTCTTTTGATCCTGTAGGTAACAGAGGGCCATTTTATTAAGATACAGTGGTGCCTCGCAAGACGAAATTAATTCGTTCTGCGAGTTTTTTCGTCTTGCAAATTTTTCGTCTTGCGAAGCACGGTTTTAACGGTATTAACGGTTTTAAGGAAAAGGAAACAAACTCGCAAGACGTTTTCGTCTTGCGAAGCAAGCCCATAGGGAAATTCGTCTTGCGAAGCAACTCAAAAAACGAAAAACTCTTTCGTCTTGCGAGTTTTTGTCTTGCGAGGCATTCGTCTTGCGAGGTACCACTGTATACTTGATTCACCACACTAAAGAGTTTGATATTTTACCAGGAGCACCCGGTCAGAGAGCTGCATTATTATTATTTTTAAAAAAATATTAAATGTAAAATAAAAAGTACAAACAACAAGGACAACTTAGGAACACAAGAGCTCTGCTGGATTAGGCCAAGGGCCCATCTTGTCTGACATCTTGTTCTCACAGCGGTAACAAGAGACCTGTGGAAAACCAGCAAGCAGGCAGCAAGCGCAAGAAAACTCGACTCTGCTCTGGTTTCCAGAGGCATTCCTGCCTTTGGGCGTGGAGTGAGAACATAGCCCATGTGGCTAGTAGTCATCGATGGCCTTTATCTCTTTTAAAGCCATCCATGGTGGCCATCCTTGCCTCCTGTGGCAGTGAGTTCCATAGTTTAACTATGTGCTACCCTTTCTTTTCTCTGCCCTGAATCTTCCAACATTCTTCTCCACTGGATGTCCACAGGTTCTAGTGATAGGAGGGAGGGAGAAAGATAAAATTTTGCTGATCCACTTTCTCCATACCAGACCTAATTTCATGAGCCAGCATGTCACCTCTTTGCTCTTTGCCCTGTGGTGTGTATCATCACAGGTCCATGCTGACCTTTGCACCCACAGAGATATCACTGAGGAGTGGGGAGTTTTGTTCTCATTTTCTTGCTGCTGGGGGTGGGTGGGTCTGGAACCAGATAAGAGAGCTTGCACAGAAAGTCCAAAGCGATGGGTTCGGGTTAGCAGCAGGGAGCTCCTCCTCTCCCTCACCCGAGGGTGAATCACCCCGCAAAAGAGGAAGGAAAAAGCACGCGCTCAGCAGACCAGCTTGCGACAGAACATCAGCTGTACCAGATTGGCAGCGCCGGCTCCAGAAGTCACACCCAGGCATGACCAACAGTAAGACGTTCCGGAGGGCCTGCTCCTTGCGGGGGTCCAAGTCCCCCAGCCTCCTGGATCCTGCCTCTGGGAGCTTATGGGACCACCTGGAGGAGGCAGATCCCACCAGGGGGTCTGGAGGCGCTGCCCTCGGGGGGCACGGCCTGGTCCCCAAGAACAAGGAAGAGGCCCAGCCGAAACCTGCCTGGAGCTGGGGGAGGAGAGCCACGAGTCTGAGGGTGCGGAAGGCCAGGGGAGAGGAGGCCGCGACGATGGGAGAAGCAGCCCACTCCCTTGGCCCTGGCGACGGGCAGATGCTCATCGGGGAGGCCCATGGCAAAGCAGGCGGCAGGATGAAGAAACGTAAACAGGTGAGAAAATGTGAGGAGTCGGCCTGGCACCAAGAGGCAGCATGGTCAGGTGGAAGCCCCATGGAAGGTGTCTTGCGCATGGCCCTCAGAAACTTTGAGCCTGCACTGAGGAGGAGTCTGCTCCATTGGTTAGGGCAGAGGGCAAGGATTCAAAGGCCACATTCACACCCTACATTTAAAACACCATGGTGCTGCTTTAAACCCTGGGAGCTATGGTTTGTTAAGGGTGCTAAGAGCATAGGAGCTAACTCCTAGGGGCCAAGGGAGCTTCAGGGGAGCATAAAATATTTGAGGGGGGTCGCTCCCTCCCCAGTTGATGGCCATTGCCATTCAAATGGTGTCATGTGACCAATTATGTGGGGCGTGGCTTACCCCTTTTATGAAGATCACCTGCTCTGAGACCCTACAGCTAATTCTCCTCTGGCCTCCTGCTGGCCCAAGTAGGACCAATTCAACTAGCTAGCCCTGGGGATTATTTAATGCTTATTTCCCCTAAATTGATTTTTGAATTTTATTGTTGTTCATGTTTTTATTCTGTATTTTATGCTGTTTTTATAATTAAGTGTTCTAAATTTGTTGCTAGCTGCTCTGAGCCCGGTTTTTGAACCGGGGAGGCGGGGTATAAATAAAAAAAAATATTATTATTATTACCCATCCCCCTAATATTCAAGTTGGCTGAGTCATTAGGAGACCCCTATTCCCCTCAATTCACAGGGACCTCTGGGAATTGTAGCTCTTTGAGGGGAAGAGGGTGTCCCCTAACAACTCGCTGCACCATCAGCCAGCTACATCTCCCAGGATATATATTTTTGGGCGGAGAGTGGTTGGAATCAATGACTGATTAAAGTGCTTTTAATGGATGGTGTGAATGTGGCCTCAGTGCATTTAGCACTGCCAGCTAACAGTAAAACAAGCATAGCAGCCCTTGTGCCTATGCCAGCAGCTTGATGTGCAGAAATCCATCAGGGGAAGCTTTCCGTGGCATGGGGTGAAAACTGTGTCGCACATTCCACCAGACTCTGTGCTGCTTTTGCATGCAAGGGCCCAGGGCCCAGTAGCTAACGGAGCTTTTTCCATCTTCGTGACTGGCCCACTAGAGGGCACTGCGCAAAAAGAAACCTGGGAACTCTTCTTGAGCTGCCTGCCTAGGAGAGTCAAGGTTGTATGCATACTATAGTTTTAAAGAACTTTCAAAACCCTACCTTCTCTCAAAGAATTCTGGGCCCTGTAGTTCTACCCCTCACAGAATTACAGTTTCCAGCAATGCTTAAGAAACTACAGCTACCAGAATTCTTTGAGTGAAAGAATGTGTTTTGAACGTGGTTTAAAGGCATAGTGTGTAAACAGCCAGAAAAGCACAGATCCAAGAGGCGTTGCTCTCCTCCTGTGCTTCCTCTTTGTCCCTGGGAAAACCCACTCCGTACCACTGAAACAGAGCAAATGGCAGTCCCCAGAAAAACCAATTGACATTTGTTCTGTTTCAGCGGTAAACAGTGGGTTTTCCCGCTGAAATGCGGCGTGACAAGTGGAAGTCTGGGCGAATCCTAACGCAATCTGGTGTTTGAAAGCTTCAGGCTTTTAACATCCCTTATTTCTGAGGGTCCTGGTGCATCAAGGCACAAGCCAAGAGCCTCACCTGGGCAGTGATTTTGCCAAACCACTCTGGGAACATTTTTCAGCTAAGGAACAGGGTAAATGTGGTTATGAATATTTATTTATTTATTTAAGAACCATTTTCCAGAAAGATGTTTCTTCCTCTGGGAGCCACTGTCCACCCTGAACAAGCTAATTCCAGCAGAGCAAGATAGAGGAACGGGGCCTGTCTATTCATCCATCTAGCTTGCTATTGCCCACTCTGGCTGGCAACAGCAGCTCTCCATGGTTTCAGGCAGGGGACATCCCTAGCACTACCTGGAGACACCATTAGGGATTGAACTCAGGACCTTCTGCATGCCAGGGAGATGCTGAGCTGCAGCCCCTCCTCTTCCAGAGAAAGGCCTCTTAACTGAGCTGAAGAACTTGGCTCTGAAAAGTGCTTCCCAGGAATTGGGAGTGTAGGGCTGGGCGATATCTGGTTATCAACATCGGAATATATGACCAGCTAAGCACCGCGAACAGATCATGAAGCCGATATCGTGATTTGGACTTCAAACCTGTTTCGGACAATACAACGCCCAGCCCTATGGGAGGGAGGGAGGGAGAGAGGTGGAAAGGGAAATCTCCATCAGACACAAGATTGACACATGAAGTCCACATATCTATCATCAGTAGCTCTTTTAGGGCCAGCAGAGTGCAGAAAAAAACACCCCACGGTGGTTAACAACACTACTTCCCACAGGCAAGAGGTTGTCTTTTCAGACACGTAACACACCCACACGCGCTGGAGCAATGTGGGGCTCTGTGTGGGGCTTCCCTTGCATTTGATCCAGAAGCTGCAGTTGGTGCAGAATGCTGCAGCACAATTGCTGACCAGAGTGAGACCCTGCCAGCATGTGACACCTGAGCTCAGAGACCTGCACTGGTTGCCAATGTTCTACCAGGTGCTGCTATTTGTATATAAAGCCCTTAAGAACTTGGGACCAGTTTCTCTCAGATTGCCATGCCCCATATGCACCCACTCGGCTGCTTCAACAGGTGGAACCGGCACTGTTGCAGGTGCTACATAATACTCATCCCGCGTTTTTAAGGAATTTATCCTTTAGTGTAGCAGCACCCAGACGTTGGAACTCACTGCCTATTGACATCAGGCAGGCGCCTTCTCTGTATCCTGTTTGGCACCTGATAGAAACATTTTAGCAGCGTGGCTGGGGAAACCCACCGGATGGGCAGGGTATAAATAATAAGTTATTGTTGTTTTGTTTTTGTGTAGTCTAGCCTGCCCAGATACATAGAATGCTGACATGTGGTTTTAGCTTTCCTTTGATTTTAACTATTTTCTTAATGTTTTGTACAGCTTGTTTTTTATTGACGATTGCATTATTTTATTTTTTAATTATTTTGTGTCGTCATCCCCCTTGCAATAGAGAGGTATAGAAATCTTATGAAATGAATAAACTACATGGTGACTGTAAAACAGGGCCTTTTTTCTTTTTGGCATAGCTTTTTCTTCTTGGCCAGACTTTGTAAGGAAGCAGCTGGGCCTCCCCACAAGCCGCCTCCTATCTGGCTGCCCAATGGAGGGCTAGATAACATATCCAGATTTGAAGACCTCCAGACCCTCTAACGCTCCTTCTTTGCTCCCTGCCCCTCCGCAGCAGGTAAATCGTGCTCTCCGGGAAAGCTGGGAGACCTTCCTGACCAACGTGTACAGCTTAACGTTGAGCCACCCGACCAGCAGACCCACTGCGGATGAAGCCCAGGCGGTGGGGACACCGTGAAGGAAAAGACTCCCCTGGACTAAGCATGGACTCAGGGAAGGATGCTGAACTGACTCAGGCGACACCAGGGCTTCTCTCTCTTGGACCCTTTTGGCTGTAATCTCCGTGGGTTGCTGGCAATGTGGCAGGTGCCCTGGAAGGACTTCTTCGCCAGACCTGGGCATTACTCCTGGGCTTCTCTACTGGACTCCTTATTCTGCATTCATCTAGCTGTGATTCCTGCAGGGAGGTTGGACTAGATTAACTTTGAGGGCTTTAGCTGCTAGTGGAAAGATGTTATCCAGACAGGATGTCTCTGCTACTGGACAGCAGGTCTACCCATTAAGAAACAACAGAAGGGTGGACATGGTATCCGATTTTTTCAGAGGCCAGATCTACCCAACTCAGTAGACACGGTGCCCAGGCCTCACTGCCACCCACTCTCCAGATAAATCAGAAATACAGTGGTACCTCGGGTTACAGATGCTTCAGGTTACAGACTCCGCTAACCCAGAAATAGTACCTCGGGTTAAGAACTTTGCTTCAGGATGAGAACAGAAATTGTGCTCCAGCGGCGCAGTGGCAGGAGGAGGCCCCATTAGCTAAAGTGGTGCTTCAGGTTAAGAACAGTTTCAGGTTAAGAACGGACCTCCAGAACAAATTAAGTTCTTAACCCAAGGTACCACTGTAGTGAAAACCTGTTCTCTGATACATATACATACCTTTCCACTCCCTGAAAAATTCTTAGGGACCTCCCTTCTCCCCACCCTCCAGAGAATCCCACAATTGTCCTCCTCTCTAGTTTTCTGGCCACTTTCCCCCCTGACACTCCTTGGGACAGGAACATGCCTGGCAGCTGCCCATCAGACATCTCAAACCAGTTGCCTCCTCTCCTGGCTTGGATTCTCCACCTGCCATGTCTTGCATCGCGTTAGCTAATTCAGGTAGATAGCAAATACCTTTGCCTCCTGGGGGGTGAAGGGTTTACGGAAGGAGACACACAACGGGATATGAACACACCTTGTGGTGACCCAAAGTGTTGCTGAAAGCCAATAAACCCAGACCCCATCTCTGCTTGATCTCTTGTGAAACGTTCCTCCTTTTTAGGCCTCGGGTGTGTTCTTGCGGAATGGTGGGATGTATAATTGTAATTGATAATAAGCTCAACCGCATCCCGAATTGACTACTGCAATGTATTGTATGAGGGGCTGCCCATGAAGACTATGTCTTTGAAACTTCCGCCTCTTCAGAATTCAGCAGCCAGTGACTCTGGCATAAGGTGGGGAGTTGCAAGCTACCTATAACTGGCGCCAGCCAACCATCTGGTTGCAGCACTCTGAACCAACCAACAGTTTGCAAGACCTCCTCAGAGGTAGCCCCACATAGAGCATGTTGCAGGAATCTCAACAAGGTCCCTAAGTAAGGTCTGTATCACCATGGCCACATCTGACACCCCAGGAACAGCTTAACGCATGTAAGCATTCTAGGCATCTGGGTAAAGCTTGTCTAAACAAAAATGTGTTTAGCAGGCATAGAACAAAGTACAGTGGAGGCCCCTGCCTGATCTCAACAGGCAAGGAGTTCCAAAGGGTGAGTGCTGCCACATTAGAAGATCGAGTTCTTGGGTTCAGTTTTTCCCATCTCCAAATTGGCATGAATTTTCCTGGGTCGTTCATCTAAGTTAGGCATTTATTTACATAATTTGGCCTAATATGTGCAATTTCCCAAGCCATTTTGACTAACAGGATGCATGTTATTTTCAGTCTCCCCCCTTGCATTTTTCTGGGCATAGCCCCCTAAGATGCACTTTTGGTGGCAGTGTGTGGAGAACTGCAACACAAAATTCAGAGGGCAGCTGCATTTTAGTTCTCGTATTGATTTTGGAACTGCAAAGGGTTCACATTGACGTGTGGTCGGTTTGCAACGAGATGCAAACCCAACTCATTCCCCAATCCTTCAGTGCATGTCATGTTGGGTGGGGGTGGGGAACCGCCAGATACGGGACGCTCTGTTGCTTGGAGGAAAAAGGAAGACGCCAGTCACCTAAGTGTCCCCTGTAGACCTGCCTTTCACTGGAGTTGTGGTGTCATCTTTTCCAAAAGGGAGTAGCAAGTGGCTGACATGCCGAGAGGCCACCCTGTGGAGGTTGGCCCTCTGTCTTGAGCATGAGAAGAATGTGGTGGCTACGTGGCGCTTAGCAGGATCTCAGTAAAAAGCAAAGAGCCCCCTGCCACCCGCCTCTCCATCCAGGCCTTTGTCCAAGCCAATCATCTCGCCATATCAGGCGCTCCTTTCAGCTGGCTTTGAAAGCCCCATTCAGCTCCAGGCAGTAGGCTGGGCCCTAAACCATCTGCGGCTTGGGCAGAGGGGACAACTGAGCTGGCTGCCTTGGAGTGAGAGATGCCAGGGAGCGGGGTGGGGTTGGGGGCCAGGGTTTTGGAACGCAAAGGCTGCTTTAATAATGCAAGAGGCTTCTCAAAGCCCCCGAGTCACATGCTGGCAACCCCATGACCGCAGAGAAGCCAGAGCATTGTGTAAGGAAGCCTCGCTTTTGCCCACGGAAGGGAGACTTGCAGCATTGTTCGGATCGGGGTCCCAGGTGTGCTGCAAGTCACGACTCTCAATTCGGGCATGAGCTCCAAGGGTGGAGAGGCTGTAGCGCCTCAGTTGGGCCCGTTCTATTATTTCACAGGGGTGGGGGCCATCCTAAGACATTTTGCCGCCTGAGGCAAAGGACAATGTGGGGTTCCCCTCTCCATTCCAGGCTCAGGAGTTGACTGGCCTAGTTGTTGAATATTAGGTCAACACTCAAGACAAGGCAACATCCTCCACTCTAGGGCGAGGTATGTGACATACGGGCACCTCACTGCCACCCCTCAGCATCAATTTTGGTTGCTTCAGCTTCAAATGCACATTGAACCTGCATTTCACCCCTATCCATGACCAGCCATCACCAACTTGGTGCCCTCCAGATATATTCTTGGACTACAACTCCCACCAGTCTCCACCAGCACAGTCTAGGAGTTACCAGCCCTTAGTTCCCAGGCTCTGCCTTCCAGGGATCTGGTAACCAAACCCAGAGCAGAGGAGGTGTCCAGCCTGGTGGCTTCCTTTGCAGGGCCTCTCGCGTGATCTACCAGCATGAGAATTGGGGTCCCTGGGTAGCAGCCTTACACTGTTGGTGCAACTGCTCTGCTCTGAACAGGGACCAGATGCCAACTGGCCAGGCAAGAAGCATTTGGTACTAATTGTGGTTTTGAGCCTTCCTTGCTGAGTTCGCAGTTCTGCTCTGCCTCTCCGGCTTCAGGCGTCTCACCGCAAGGACAGCCCCCCCTGCAAGTGAGCTCATGTGCTAAACGCAGGCCCTGGTGAGGTCAGGCTGGGGTTGGCTTGGGAGATCTCCAGGTTGCTGTGGAGAGAATCGGAGACTGATTTGGGAGGAGGAAGAGGAAGATGCCACGTCTATGTGGCCATGTCCCTGCTCTTGTTCGGTTCTGCTCTTGTGTTTTGCATGCATCTGGATTCCAAAGCCTTCGTGGTCACAGAGACAGTATGGTATAGTTAGAGTGTCAGACAAGGACCTGGGAAAGACCTGGGTTCAAATCCCCACACGGACATGAAGCTCACAGGGTGACCTGGGGCCAGTCACTGCCTCTCAGCCTCAGCTACCTCACAGGGTTGTAGTGGGGATTAAATGTGGGGGTGAGGTGGGGGTGGGGAGAACCATGTAAGCCACCTTCAGCTCCCTGAAGAAAATGCAATAATCTGGTTGACATCTGTCCGTCTCGGGAGACAATGGAGGAGTGAGCCTTCAGGGGTACAGTCAAACTGTTGCAGAGTTATAGCGCCGGCTGTGGCTGTAGAGACCTATTTGGGAGAGACAGGTTTTGTTGCAGCTGGGGAAGATGAAGGCATCTGGTTTCACTGCTGCAGATGCACAGCTTCTCTCTGCGCTCCTCCTGGCAGTCGTTCCTCCTCTGGTCACTGCTGATGCACGATCTGTCTGCCTCTAGACACTGCAGTTGTCTGCAAGAGGTTCCCACTCATCATGGTTGATATTGACAGCCTTCATGTCATGTTCGCAGACAACTTTATAACGCAGAGTTGGCCTGCCAACTGGCCTGGTGCCTGAAGCCAGCTCCCCGTAGAGCACGTCCTTGGGAATCCTGCCATCTTCCATCCTGTAGACATGACCCAAGCGAATGTAGACATCGCTGAGACAGGAGTGTGAACATGGAGATAGATAGATAGAGGCCATGTTACCCTTTGGATCAGAAATAAATTCTCTTAGAGCATTTTTGGATGCGTGTTTACTGTGAGATGGGTGCTCCTTCAGCTAGCAAGGTTTCTATAGAGTCCATCCAATGTTGTCGGCATCAACTTCAATATACATTTATTAAATTAATATTCTACTCTTCCTCCCAAAGGAACCCCATTGCACGACCCCTCCTTTCCACTCAATTGCCTGCCATTCCGTCAGAATTTAGACTGTAATCTCCTGGGAGGCAGAAATCTGCCTGTGCAATCTGCCTTCAATTGCTTTGTAGAAGGCCAGGTACTTTCATCTCACCTCAAAAATGATATTGTGGAGTTGAGGAAAGTTCAGGCTAATTCTACCACCAGAGCTACAGGTTAAGACAGGCATGTCCAAAATCCGCTTTGGGGGCCTAATGCGGGCCTGTTGGCCGGTTTAATCCAGCCCCTGTGGCAGTTTATTTCCTGAGGTAAAATCCTAAAAAAAACTCAACAACTTCAATGCTAAAAAAAGCTCAACAACTCCATCCCTAAAAAAAGGCCAACAACTTTGGTTGGCCCTCTGGTCTGCCCCCACGGCCCTTCACTTCACCAAATCTGGCCCTCTTTGGACACCACTGGGTTAAGGTGTTCCCTAGGCTGGGAAGAGTTCCTCAGCTCTGAGGCGTCACTCGTTCCCCAGGACACATCCTGGAAGGACTAAAAAATGCTTCTGGGTCAAGCTGGGATTTTGCTGGAGTAAAACAGCATCCGCTCTGCTGAATGCCCAGCTTTACTACAGCCTAGCACTGACACTTCATTTTGCTAAAATTTCAAAACTCTGTTGAATTTGGAAGGGCCTTCTGTATTGAAACACCTGAGGAATGTTGTGGGAGGGCAGAAGAAGACCCATCAATACAGTATTTTATCAAGAGCAAATCTGCACTTCTCTAATCTTGACTTTGACACCGATGGCTGTGGCAGGCAGGCGAACTTCCACCCCAGAGCTGGCTGCAATTTAGCACCATCCTGCAAAGTGGAAACACAACATTAAGAACGGAAGCGTTTAAGAGTTGTAACGAACTGCAGAGGCAGCCTGAGAGGCAGTTGATTTCTCCGGATGAGTAATGAAGGCCGGCTTTTGAATTTTTTTCCGTGTTGGGAAGAGAGCCTTGTGCTGGGCATCAGGGAGGAAGCTGCCAAAAGGGACTTTGTGGAATTGGAAAGATTTGTGAACACGTCTGAGCCATGGCGGGTTCCTCCTCCTCCCCCCTTTTCTTTTGAGGGTTGCAAAAAGAATTAAGTCATTTCTGCTGTCCCAGAAAAGAAAAGAAAAAGCTTGGACAGGATCAGGGAAGATTTACAGTAAAATGAATCATTTGGAGGTCTGTACCTGGCATTACACAGCACCTCCTTGTAAAGCCACATTTTGAAGAATAGGAATGCTCTCCCAGTTTGCTCATTTTGTTTGGGAGAGCACCCACCCCCCAAAAAAAATCAACCTTGGGGAGGGTAAAAAAGATCTTCTTAATGGCCACTTTTCCCAATACTGTTTCCTGCTCCCCTGAACCCCAAACCCCAGTTATGGCTGTGCCATAATTATTATTATTTCAAACATTTTTAATACAAAAGTAACGCCCCCCCCCCCCCGGAAATAAAACTTGGGTTAAAGGCTACCTTTTGTTGTGGGTCAGAGGGTGGGGTCATATCTTTCAGTTCAGGCCTGGGAGAGGAGAACATGGCTCTCCATGGGAACCAGAAGGCTGGAAGAGCCTTGCCTCTGTGGCTCTTTCACATGCAGCAGAATCAGATGGTGTAGAAAATGCTTCTGAATCCCAGTTGCTGGAAGCCACGGGAGGGGAGAAGGCTTTAGTGTTCAGGTCCTGCTTGGGATTGTCCCACAGGCATCTGAGTGAGCACGGTGAGAACAGGATGCTGGACCAGACGAGCCACTGGCCTGATCTAGAAGGGCTCTTCCTGGATAGCTTGGTTGGTTAGAGTGTGGTGCTGATAACATCAAGGTTGCTGGTTTGATCCACATATGGGATAACTGCATATTCCTGAATTGCAGAGAGTTGGACTTGATGATGCTAAGGGTCCCTTCCAACTCTATGATTCTGTTTCTTATGTCCTTATAAAGCTGCAGTCTTGGAGTCTAATCCATGGGTAGGCAAACTAAGGCTGGGGGCTGGATCCGGCCCAATTGCCTTCTAAATCCGGCCTGCTGACGGTCCGAATCAGCGTGTTTATACATGAGTAGAATGTGTGCTTTTATTTAAAATATATCTCTGGGTTATTTGTGGAGCATAGGAATTCATTCATCCCCCCCCCCCAATATAGTCCAGTCCCCCGCAAGGTCTGAGGGACAGAGGACCAGCCCCCTGCTGAAAAAGTTTGCTGAGCCCTGATCTAATCCTACATCCAGTGGCATAGCGTGGGTTGCCAGGCCCCCCCGGGGCAAGGTAAGTATCCTCAGCACCACCTGCCAATGGGCTGGAACGAAAGGGCAACAGCTTGGCAACCTATCCAAGTGGCAACCGTGGTGCTCAATGAGCATCCAGCATGGCGGAGAACAGGACAGGAGATTGGTCAGGAGTGGATATCTTCCTAAAGCCCCTGCAGAGGGTGACCTAGCAAGTGGCCATTGCCCAAATCTGCTCATCAGTCCACCCATGTGAACAGTGGGAGATTTTCTGTGAGGCAGGGAGGGTGTGCTTTTTATTTGTTGTTACTACTTTCTTTTTCTTTTGAAACTTTGTGCCCCTAATCATCTTGCGCCCAGGGCCACACAACGCCAATTGCACTTCATCTGAGCAATTCATCTCCCGTCTTCCGAACCTGACTTCTTGTCAGCCTCAAGCTTACAATGCTAATCTCTGGCAAATGACTTTCTCCCTCCTGATGAAGGCAGGACCCTGTTACAAAATGGGGTGCCGCCCGCTGCCCCACGAACCCTTACAGTCCATAGAATTGTGCAGCAGAACACCTGTGATTTGTGCTGATACCACCCATTTTACAGATAGGTAAGAAAGGGCAGCAAGATTGGGGAGGGGGGCGTTGTGGATTCTGGTCTGCAGCCTTTGAACCATGAGAAGAAGCTGTTCTGGGAAGAGGGGCAGCTGGTTGGGGAGAAAAGCCCACTTAGCATTCTAGGCAGCACCAGTCCCTCACGGGAGGCTGCTGCTGCAATAGGCTGTGTTTGGCAAGAGCCAAATGAATTCAGGTCCCTTTTTCTCACACCCCGCCCCCCCTCCCTCTACTTCCTTTTAGTACTAAGTATTCATCCAGTGGCATTCTCAGAACTGCACTGGCCTCTTAAATATGTTTAAAACTGCTCCAGAAAGCCATTTTAGTTTGGTGAGGACAAGAACTAGCGAGAGAGGACTAGGGCAGGGTTTTTAAAAACTGGTCCTTTACTGCAATCACTGCAGTGAAATGTAGCAAATCTATCTGCACGGAATGAGAGAGAGAGAGGTGATGATTTACATGACAAAGCAGCAGCATCTTAGACTACTGTTCGCTTCTTGGCAATAGGGAGAGGACCCCACCTCCAACACAAACAAACACACACACACAGAGTAGTTACCACCACTGATCTTTCCTTAGGGCTTCTGAATGCTAAAAATGAATCTCAGTCTGTACAGACACCAGAGCATCAAAATGAATCTTTGTACAGTATTCATAATTCCTATGTTGATTTCAGACCATAGTTAAGCTTAACTATGGCTGAAAGGCAAACCATGGTTTAGCTTAGCATTAGGTCTGAACCAGGGTCTGTGGTTCGTTTCCTCCAAACAAACCATGAGTGGTAAGCCAAGTACAAACCTTGGTGACAGCATGTGGTGATCAAGAGACAATAACTGAAAAGATGTTGTTATCATTATTATTATCATTATCATTATCATCATCATGAATGTATATCCCACCCTTCCTACCAACAGACCAGGAGTGGGGAACCTTTTTCAACTCAAGGGCCATGTTCTCTCATCGACATATTTCCAGGGGCCTGGTGACAATGGTGGGCGGAGCAGGGGCCAAAGTGGGTGGAGCAACAAATGTGACTCTTACCTTTGTACTCCAGGCTACCCTGCAATCACCATCATCATCATCATCATCATCTGCACACATCTCCGTCTGGGCAAGCTATAGAAGCATTATCTCAGTTCAAGAACACATTTCAACCAGGGGGAAAAAGCTCAAGAAGGGCTAGGAGCAGAGGCAATGAGGGGTGTTGTCCTTGGTGGGGGAGCGTTCTGGGGGCCAGACAGGTCTGAAGGGCTGGATTCTCCTTCCTCCCCCCCCCCAAATTTCCCAGACCTGCGCTAGAGAAACATCAAGTGCATAAAAGAACTTAACCTTAACTCTTTGGCGGGCGGGATGCGAAAAATGTCAAAAGGGGGGAGGAGAGAGAGAGCTCTGACACTGGGGTCCCAGGTGGGCGGGAGGGGGCTTCCGCAGATAATCCCCACGCAGCTGTAAACCGGACATCTTCCCAAAATGTATAGACCCACGCTTAAGGTTGAACGTGCAGCCCGATCCCTGTGCATGCTTCATCAGAAGCAAGCCTGGTTTACTCCAGGTAAGCGTGCGTGTAGTAGAGATTGCCGCTTTAATCTCGGCGGTGTTTGCTCATAAAAAAAGAAATCATAGAATCGCAGAGCTGAAAGGGACCCCGGGGGCCATCTAGTCTAACCCCCTGCAATGCAGGAATCCTGCCCACAGCCGTCTCTAGGTGGGCTCGAACCACCAACCTTCGGGTTAGCATTGCGCCACAAGAGACCCGTGTGCCAGAAAGACCTGTGATACAGCTTTTTGGGGCGGTGGATTGGGCTCTTCCTTCTTCTTTCTACCCGCCCTCCCCATTAGCTAGCAGGGCATCAGAGGTGTAGGTTTGGATCTTGACAGTCACACACCCTCAGAGGAACGCATTTTTAAAAAATTGGCTTTTTACAGGGTATTGGTCCCAGATGGGCGGGGTATTAATAATAATAATAATAATAATAATAATAATAATAATAATTCGGCTATAAGCCTCGCTGTTTAAGGGTGCATTGGGTTGCGCGCACCCACACACGAGCCCAGCCTTGTCTTTGGAGCTCCTCGCGGGCACAGCGGGTGGTGAATTGGGCTGGCATCTGCCTCAACCTCGTGCTTCCTTTTCCTTTAAGTGGGAGGGGAAGAGGGCGCGAGCGGAGGATTCCCCTCTCTTCCTTCTGCATCAGGGCGACAGAGTGTGTGTCCTGCTCCTTCGCCCTGGCCGCCGCCGGGCTCCTTTCCACCCTGCCTCTTCTTTTGGAATAAGCTGCTGCAGTTCCCAGCCCTGCATTGCTGCCCCACTGCAACACTCGCTCCAAGAGCTGGGAAGGAAAAGTTCTCTCTCCTCCATCCACGGGAGCCTCTATAGCGCAGGCAAGAAGCCGGGCATTTATTTCATTTTGCAACGTTTGTTTTACTCTAGTTCAAACTACAGATTCCTTCTTTTTTCTTTCTTTCTCCAGTAAAACTGGTGAGTAATGAAAGTAATATTTTTAAAAAAAATAATATTAAATGATTTGCAATTTGATTCCCCCCCCCCCAATGCAACATTAGCAGGTTTTGGGAGGGGATCTTCCCCAAAGCTGGTGGGGGCAGCATGTGGGGCAGGGGGCTTCCCCACCAGTGAAAAGCTCTTTCAAATGACATAGGGGTTCCTTGTTCTCAGAAACAATTCCCCCCTTTAATCAACCCCTCTACAATCTTTTTTTTAAAGGTTGTATATTGTACATTTGTCACAACCAAAATATAGGACTGGAGGATTTAGCATAAAAATCAGCTGTGTGTCTTAATTTTATAGTGAAGATTGGGGGAAGTTGGTGGGGTGCCGGGTTTGCCAACGCTGAGACAAACTGATGCAGTGAAAGAAAAAAAATCCCTCAAACTTCTGTGACTGCAGTTCTGGCTTGTTTGCAGATCATTCATTTTCCAGAAGGGCATAACCTTGATTTGGGTGGATTATTGCACAGCCTTAAAACAGCAGTGTGGAAGTCTTTACAGTCAGTCAGTTTATCTTTCAGGGCTCAGGGCTCCATTGGTCCTCTTTTCTCCCCCATTTCCAAATCCGAATCCCTGCCTGAAACACAGGAAGGATTTGAGTGCTCCCCTAGGTATTACCGGTAATTGGCTGGCTGGATCAGGCAAAGGGCCCATCAACCCAGTATCTTGTTTCCAGCAGTGCCAAGCAAGAAGCTTCTTCTGGAAACTATCCCAATCAGGGCAGGAAAGTGTTGGTCCTTCCCTGTCCTTGTCTGAGGCATCTGGTGGGTACTCAAAGTTACACTGCTCTTAACATGGAGGTTCTACATTGCTATCCTGTGCTTCATTTTCTCTCACTAAAACTGGTGGGTTTTTAAAGTTTCTGTTGCCAAGTGTAGCCAAACTTTGGCCCTTTGTGTATTAAGCTTCTGTGGCTGCATTTTAAGGCCACCATGTGAAATTAATATTGCAAACTAAACTAGCCAAACTAAATAGATTTTAATACAAATTCCACCTCCCGCACCCTGGACTCCCCAATCCAGAATAGTCTATGTTGGAAAAATTAAGTTAGGATGTTGCTAGTGAGTCTTATTATTATTATTTTTACGTTTATCCCACATTTTGTACAAAGAGCTCAGTGCTTAGTCCATCTGCTGAGCACTCATTTTCTCTTCACAACAATCCTGTGAGGCAGGCTACACTGTGAGATTGCCCAGGGTCACCCTGGGAGATTCCTGGCAGGGTAGAGGTTTGAACCAAGATCAGTTGTATTCTTGGAAGCAAAGCCCACTGTGTTCAATGGGGTTTAGTCCATGGTGTGTTTGCAACAGCCGCTTGGGTCTATCTTCTGAATATGGCACACTTCATGAGTTGTTATTGTTGTTTAGTCGTTTAGTCGTGTCCGACTCTTCGTGACCCCATGGACCAGAGCACGGCATCCACTCCTGTCTTCCACTGCCTCCCGCAGTTTGGTCAAACTCATGTTGGTAGCTTCGAGAACACTGTCCAACCATCTCATCCTCTGTCGTCCCCTTCTCCTTGTGCCCTCAATCTTTCCCAACATCAGGGTCTTTTCCAGGGAGTCTTCTCTTCTCATGGGGTGGCCAAAGTATTAGAGCTTCAGCTTCACGATCTGTCCTTCCAGAGAGCACTCAGGGCTGATTTCCTTAAGAATGGATCGGTTTGATCTTCTTGCAGTCCATGGGACTCTCAAGAGTCTCCTCCAGCACCAGAATTCAAAAGCATCAATTCTTTGGTGATCAGCCTTCTTTATGGTCCAGCTCTCACTTCCATACATCACTAATAGGAAAACCATAGCTTGAACTATACGGATCTTTGTTGGCAAGGTGATGTCTCTTCATGAGTTATTTTTCTCTAACCCCTCCCTCTCAAAATTGTATTTAAGCTCTAGAATTTACTCATAAGTCAACTCTTGCAGGTCACCTAGTGATGACTAAGCACAGTGACAGGCGCCACATTCGCACTGTACATTTAAAGCACTAAATAAGGTAAAGGTAAAGGACCTTTGGATGGTTAAGTCCAGTCAAAGGCAACTATGGGATGCGGTGCTCATCTCGCCAAGGTAGCCAGCGTTTGTCCACAGTCAGCTTTCTCGGTCATGTGGCCAGCATGACTAAACTGCTTCTGGTGCAACGGAAACACCATGACAGAAGCCAGAGCTCAAGGAAACGTCGTTTACCTTCCCACTGCAGTGATACCTATTCATCTACTTGCACTGGTATGCTTTGAACTGCTAGGTTGGCAGAAGCTGGGACAGAGCAAAGGGAGCTCAACCCCATCATGCGGATTCGAACCACCGACCTTCCGATCGGCAAGCCCAAGAGCAGGGGTCAGCAAACTTTTTCAACAAGGAGTCGATCCACTGTCCCTCAGACCTTGTGGGGGGCCAGACTATATTTTGGAGGGGGGAAAATGAATGAATTCCTATGCTCCACAAATAACCCAGAGATGCATTTTAAATAAAAGGACACATTCTACTCATGTAAAAACACGCTGATTCCGGGACCGTCCGCGGGCCAGATTTAGAAGGTAATTGGGCCGGATCTGGCCCCCGGGTCTTAGTTTGCCTACCCATGCCCAAGAAGCTCAGTGGTTTAGACCACAGCGCCCCCCCGTGTCCCATTTAAAGCGCTATGACACCACTTTAAACACTCATGGCTTCCCCCGAAGAATTCTGGGAGCAGTAGTTTGTTGAGGGTCCTGAGAGCTGTTAGGGGACCCCCTATTCCCCTCCCAGATCTACAATTGCCAGGGTGATTTTAAGGATCAGTCCTTCCCATCTGTCAGGGGTTCTTTAGCTGTGATTGCTGTATTGCAGGAGGTTGGGCTAGATGACTCTTGGGATCCCTTCCTTTTTTAGAAAAGTTTTCAGTTTTAGAATTACACCATTTCCCATTCTTATACAGTAGTTCTTTTTGACTTCCCACCCAGCATTCCATGACAATTCTTTTTACATCTTGTTTAGCTGCATATCCATTAATTCCTTCACCTTACTTTCCACACTCTCGTATCTTTTATGTTGTCAACTGTTAGTCACAAAGTATCCCCTACTTGGAATTTATATTTGAGGTCAATTTTTTTGTAAATATTCCCCTAGATACTCCCACTCACTCCTTGTATTTGTCATCTTTATTTCTTATTTTAGATGTCATGCTGGCAAGCTCTGCATATTCAATTAGTTTATTTAGCCATTTTTCTTTCCCTGGGGGTCTCTCTTTGTTCCCAATATCTTACATTTACTATCCTCGCAGCTGTTGTTGCATATAGAAATAGATTGTGGCCTTTCTTTGGTAACTCATTCCCAAGTATGCCTAGAAGGAATGCTTCCGGTTTATTGGGGAATGTGAATAAAAAATTTTTTTTAGCTCGTTGTACACCATCTCCCCAAATTCCTTTGCCCGTTTACATTTCCATCATAAATGAATAAATGTACCCTCTACTTCCAAACATTTTCAGCATAGTTTTGAGCCTCTTTTATACATTTTAGCCAGGTTGACCAGTGTCAAATATGCATTTTTTGCATATTTTCTCTTATTTTATAACATGCAGAGAAGTTCATTGTTAAATTCCATAATTCTTCCCACTCAGAAATTTCAACATTATGCCCAATATCAATAGCCCATTTTATCATTGCCTCCTTTATCAGGTCGTCTTTGGTCTCCCATTCTAGAAATAGTTTATATTTTTTAGAGATTATTTTTTTGTTAGACCCCAAAATCACTTTTTCAAATTCTGATCCTTGTTTAACATATCCTCTCTCTTTATCTTTTTTGGAACATCTCCTTTGTTTGGAAGTATTGAAACCAGTCAGGGACCAACCTTTGGGATCCGTTCCAATCCTACAGTTTTATGACTCTATGAAATAAGGCACCACGAACAAAGGTGGCAGTTAACATGGCCACAAAGCAGAACACGAAACAGCTGTACACACTACATTCCCCACCCCTTTGAAAACTTTATTTAGCACCTCTGTCATGTGCAGAGGCAGCCGGGCAGTCTACCTTTGAATACTAGCTCCATTTTTGTGGCGAGAACAGGGGAGGAAAAGGGTGTCACCTTCATACTGATTCTGGGGTGCCAGGAATAATCTTGCTGGGATGCGGCTCCACAGGGGCTGCAGCTGATGGGAGTTATAGTCCAAAACATCTGGAGGGCACCAGGTGGGGGAAGGCTGGGGTGAAAAGGAGTGCCACAGTGGTCCATATCTCCCCCTCCCCACCCTTCGCAAGAAAGGTTGTTCAGGTCAAATAGGGCTTGAGGGGCGGAGCCTAGGAGCATAAAGGTGGGGCCTGATGGGCTAGAGGGCGGAGTCTTGCATCGCCATTTATCCCGCCCCCTTAACTCTTTCCTGTGCATCTCCAGTGTAGGAATTCTGTTCCATTTCCCAATGTGTTTTTAGAACATAGATTTATTCTTGCACCCTCTGGATGGAAAGATCTGTCGGCTTCTCTGGTTCTCATTTTTCCAATCTTTAATTCAGTTCTTTACATTTCTGCAGCAGCTTGCAATTGTTGCTATTTTTTTAAAGTCCTCATGAAAATTCCTCAGCATTTGAATCTTTCCTAACAGAAATATTTTTGTATGCAGTTTTGACTAATGCACGCATCGTTGCTGGCAATTTCTCTGAACTGAATTTCTCTGAACTCTCTCATGAAATTCAGATAAGTGCGGACTTCGGAGGATGCCTGAGTGTCAGTTCACAGGGGGTTATTGGGTGGTGGTGGTGGTTTTTATTTTTATTATGTATTTTGTGGTTTTATATTTAGATTTTATTCTATGAACTGCCCTGAGACATCCAGGTATAGGGTGGTACATCAATCAATCAGTCACTCACTCACTCAATCACTCAATCAATCAATCACTCACTCAGTCACTCACTCACTCAATCGATCAATCAATAATTCTCATCTTTTTTCAGAAAGTGTGAATATGATAGATCCATCTTGAAATGCAAACTGTATTTTAAATGTATTAATTGTTTTATTCATTTATTATGATATTTGTACCCCACCTTTCCTCCTAGAAGCTCAATGTGGCATACATAGTTCTCCCCCCTCCATTTTATTCTCACAACAACCCTGCAAGGTAGGTCAGGGTGACTGGCCCAAGGTCACCCAGTGAGCTTCATGGCCAAGTGGAGACTAGAACGCTGGTCTCCTGGGTTCTAGTCCACACTCTAACCACTACACCATGCTGGCTCCGTCTGCCTAATTCTGTCCTGGTGCCCACCTCTCTCTCACTGGCTCTCCCCACATAGAAAGTGAGCGGGCCAATGGGAGAAGAAAGGGCTGGAATGGGGGCAGAGATGGCTGGGGCTGCCCCCTGCCTCATTTCTGGCCTCTTGACCTCAGATTTATCCTGAAGACCCTGAGAAGGAAATGCACTCTGTAGGTTCAGCGTATCAGGCCCTTCTATATCCTTCTGTTGCTGTTGAATTGTCACCTGTAGGGTGGGGCATCAGTTTTCCAGGGTCCGCTAGCTGCTGACCTCTACCTCTCTGATGTGTTGGGTGTATCCATGTTGCCACGTTTTGCTGTGCTTTTCACATCAGCACCATGTACAGATACTAAAAGGAGGCGACTGTGCCAATCCCTACACATCAAATGTAAAGACAAAGGGAAAATCTTATCCATTATTTCCTGATCAGTTGGCAGCCCTCTTTATTAGCACTGGATGGGTCAGGCTCTCTCTCTCTCGCTCTCTCTCGCTCTCGGGCTGGGTGGCTCTCTGGGGAAGAGTCATTAGTCAGTGGCTGAAGATCGCAGGTTCAGTCCCTGATGATATCTCTGGGTAGTGCTGGGAAGGACTCCTGCCTGAAATACTGAAGCGCTGCTGCCAGTCAGTGTTGGCAGTACTGAGCTGGATGGGCCACTGGACAGACACAGTATAAGGCATTTCCCTTCCTCTAGGAAGAGCCCTGCTGGATCAAGCTGAGGTTCCAACTAGTATAGCATCCTGTTCTCATATTGGCCAACCAGATGCCTGTGGGAACCCTCCAAGCAGGATCTGAGCACAAGAGCCCTCTCCCCTCCTCTGGTTTCCAGCAACTGGTATTCAGAAGCATTTACTGCCTCCAACCATGGAGGCAGAGCAGAGCCACCATTGCTCAAAGCCATAGATAGTTTTCTCTGTGAATTTATCCTATCCTTTAAAGTCATCCAACATCGTGGCCATCCCTGCCTCCAGTGGGAGGGAATTCCATAGTTTAACTATGTGCTGCATGAAGGACTTTCTTTTCTGTATCTTGAATCTTCCAGCATTCAGCTTTATTGGATGACTGCGAGTTCTAGTGTTATGAGAGAGGGAGAATAATCTTTCTCCATCCACTTTCTCTGCACCATGCATGTTTTTATAAAAGTATAACATTACCTCCTACTTGCTTGCTCTCTAAACTAGAAAAGCCCCAGTAAGTTTTTGAGGAAGTTACTCCTGAGGCTCCAATACTTTGGCCACCTCATGAGAAGAGAAGACTCCCTGGAAAAGACCCTGATGTTGGGAAAGATGGAGGGCACAAGGAGAAGGGGATGACAGAGGACAAGATGGTTGGATAGTGTTCTCGAGGCTACCAGCATGAGCTTGACCAAACTGTGGGAGGCAGTGGAAGACAGAAGTGCCTGGCGTGCTCTGGTCCATGGGGTCACGAAGAGTCGGACACGACTAAACCACTAAACAACAACAACTCCTAGCGGCAAAGGAGGGGCAGAGGAGAGGGGGCCCATTTTGAGATGCCAGCTGGTGGCATGGAAATTGGCATTCAGGGGACAGAGCGCAATTTAACAAAGAGTTTGTTTTTCACACCAACCAGCCTTCAGGGAGCCAGCTTTTGGCCAGACTCTCTTCCTCTTCCATCGCTGGGACATTTCAAGCCTCAGAAGCTTTGGAACAAGCCAAACAAATCCTCTGGGTGAGGGTTGGGAACAGTGCTGGATTAAACCCTGTGTGGAGGCCCCTAGGCAGTTGAAATATCGGAGCTCAGTTCCAACTGAAAAAGAAATAGTCCAAGGCTGTGAAGATGGCTTTGAAAGTATTTGAGCACTGTTTGATGCAATATCAAAAGCTGGCCACCTTGTGGATTGAAATGCCTTGTTTTTCAGGTTAAGCTGCTGCAGCAGGAGGTTCTGGAGGAGAGGAGTCCTAAGCCCCCTCTGAACTGTCCGCACGTCATATAAGTCCTTTGGGACTTGCATTTGGTGATACTGCAAAGGCAGAAACAGCTGCAGGAGGAGGCAGGATGTGTCTCTGGGGAGAGACACAAAGGCAGGACAAGAGCAAGGCATTTATAAATGGCCTAGAGATGGCCTTAGAGCTCGGCGGCAGATGATGCGCTTTGCCGCTTTCATTTCCTAGCATCTCTAGGTTGTGTTTGGAATGTATCCTGCCTGAAATCCTGAACAGCCGCTGCCAGTCAGTGCTGACAATACTGGGCTAGATGGTCTTGTGGTCTGACTACAGTTGTCTTCTCAAATGTATAGTCTCCTATTAACATTTGCCAAGGCTGTAATGTTTTATTAGTAGTCAGTTCTGGCCTACGTGGAACAACGGTATGACTCAGTAGAAAGCCGCTTCCAGTTTGAATCAGCAATTTACCCAGAAACATGTGGACTAGAACCTTGATTTATTTTGAGGAACCTGAGTAGTAGAATACCTGCTTTGCATGCAGAATGTCCTAGGCTCAGTCCCTGGCATCTGTATGGAGGTTCCATTTATAATGGAGCAGAAGTACATTCACACAGCTTTGGGTTTCAATAGCCCTTTCCCCCTGTCATTCAAAACATCTAGAGGTCACCAGGTTGGGGAAGGCCAATGTATTTTTCCAGCAAAAGTAAACCACAATCAAACTCCTTTTATCTGTTCTCAGCACCTGTTATTCAGAAGTTGAATGCCTTCAGACATGGAGGTTTTGTTTGCTTATCATGCAAAATAGTCACTGTTAAACTTATCCTTCTCCGTTTGTCTAACCTCTATCTAAAGGCATCCAAGATAGTGGCCATGATTGGCTATCCAGTGGCCATGAGTTCCATAAGTTGCAATGTGCACACAAGTCTTTTCTTTTGAATGTCTCGCTACACGCTCAAATACCTCTTTGCAGGCAGAAAATGAGTGTCAGGCCTTCTCTTCTGTTGTTCAACTGTGTGGCTCCTTCAAGAGGTAGCACCCAAGCTCACAACCCATTGCCCTTTATTCTGCCATGTGGGTAGACTGAGCCAAATTAGCTGTTCTCAGGGAAGTGTGTGGCTGTGCCAGCAGGTTGTTGAGGCTTCTGGTCCTGGTTGGCTTCCCCAGAGGCTTCAAAAGACCCTGGGCAACTGCCCAGATTTGCTTGGTCATCAGTCTAGACCAGCCTATATCTATTGCAGGAAGGTTGTGTAAATGAGCTCCCTCCAGCCCTGGGAATGTATTATTTGCTTAATACTGCCTTTGCCAGCCTGGTGCCCTCCAGATGTTTTTGACTCTATCTCTCATCAGCTCTGACCACTGGCCAAACTGAAGGGGCAGATGGAGTCCAGACGACCTCTAGAACAGAGGCTCCCCAACCTTCCCTCGCATGGACCACTTGAAAAAGGCTGAGAGTTTCTTGGCAGACCGCTCAGATTCTCCCATGTGCTGTAGCAATTGTCAATGTGCTGTGCTAGATACTTTATAATTTTTAATTGTGTTTCTATTGTTTAATTTATTTCTTACAGATGGTGCTACATTTTGCATTGCATAGAATTCAGATTGTAAGACAATAAAATACAATACAAGAAATAAAAGAAGTGATACAAATATAATTAAAATCACTATGAATAGTTAATTTTGATGGATGGTCCACCTTCCCTCTTCAGTCGCATAAGAAGAGCTTGCTGGATCAGGCCAATGGCACATCTAGGCTAGCATCCTGTTCTCACTGTGGCCTGTCAGATGCCCCCATGGGAAACCTGTAAGCAGGATCTGAGCACAAGAGCCCTCCCCCCTCGTATGGCTTCCAGCCACTGACATTCAGAAGCATTACTGTCTTCGACCGTGAAGGCAGAGCACAGACAGTGGCTAGTAGCCATCCATAGCCTTCCCCGTCATAAATTTGTCCTATCCTCTTTTAAAGCCACACTACCTCATGTGGGAGTGAGTTACATAGTTTAATTATGCGCTGTGTGAAGAAGGACTTTCTCTGATGTTAACTCCTTGTTCTAAAGATAAGTTTTCCGTAAGAAAAAAATATAATTATAATAATTTATTAATTATACCCCACCCATCTGGCTGGGTTTCCCCAGCCACTCTGGGCGGCTTCCAACAAAATATTAAAATGGTAAAATATGTTTGTTTGTTTGTTTTTTGTTTTTAAAAGGACTTTCTCAGAAATCGACGGAAGACTGAGAGCTGCCTGAATGAAGCTTGCACACCAGTGGTGGCCCACAGACCCCACTCTGAGACCTCCTGAGCTAGAGGCAACCAGGTTGGGGGCGGGTTTTGGCTTTCATAAGCAGGAAGAAGGGCAGGAGGTTTGTGTGTGACAGGACAGTGATTCACAACAGGAGCAAGATGACCGGGGGCAAGGGGGGAGGAGAGAGAGAGACAGAGACAGAAAAGTGGCTTCAGAGCAGCTAGAAGCATCTCCTGTCCAGCATCTGGAACCTTCCTCTTTTGCCAGGATGCAGTCCAAAAAACCACATGCCCGTCTTCTGCCTGCAGACACAAAGAGATGGCCCACATCCGCCCTTTTAGGCTGCTGCCAATTTCTCTTTCCTGCTGCCATAACATTTCCTGGGCATTTGGGGGCTTATCTCCCTCTCTCAATACCAACCACCCCACGGTTCCTTAGAGCTGGCCCAGGAACATTCTCTCTGCCCCTTGCCAAAGTCAAAGATTTATAGGTTCTGCTGCTTTGTTGTCAAGCTTGAGCGCTGAAAACTAAGTGGGCACCTTGGTGTGTTTGTGTGTTCACAAGGCAACACCCTCCATCCGCTGTTGATTCCACAAGGCAGCTCCCCCCTCCCCTGTTGATATTTTCCAACCTGCCAACTTCTGGAGTCATGTGTGTGTGAGAGAGAACTGCAGCTGTGATGATTGGAAGTCTTTTCAGTCCGATTAGTTAGACCACTTGATAGAAATGTTTAAGCAGGTCAGTTGTAAAGAAAAGCCCAGGGTGCAGCCAAGAATACCACCCAAAGCCTTGCCATCTGAACTTCTTCCTGGAGTTTTTTATTACTTGGTCTGCTTTCCAAAGTGGAATCAGCAGTGGTGTAGAAACTTGCTGATACGTACTATGAGGATACGTATCCATCATAGAATTGTAGAGTTGGGACCCCAAAAGTCATCTAGTCCAACCTACTGCAACAAAGGAGTCACAAATAAAGAATCCATCCAACCTCTGTTTAAAAATCTCCAACGAAGGAGAGAGTCTGCAAACTTCCAGGGTAGTCTATTCCACTATCAAACAGAGGGAGTTCTCCCTATTTTTCAGTTGGAATCTTCTTTCTTGTTATTTGAATGCATTGCTTTGGGTCCTTCCCTTGGAACAGCCAGAAACAAGCTTTTTCTGTCTTCCATGAGACAGCTGTTCAGATATTTGAAGATGGCTATCATTATCACCTCAGTCTTCTCTTCTCCAACCTAAATATCCCCAAGTCCCTCAATTGTTCCTCATAAGGCTTGGTTTCCAGACCCTTCATTGATCATCTTGCTTGTCCTCCTTGCAGCTTGCCAATATTCTTCTTAAACTGTGGTGCCCAGAACTGGAAATAGAAGTCCACATAGGGTCTGACCAAGGCAGAAAAGAGTGGTACTATTACTTCCCTTCATCTGAACACTAGACTTCTCTTGATGCAGCCTAGAATTCTATTAGCTTTTTTGCAGGGGGTGGGGGGAGGCTAAGATCTGAGGATGTTGGGCAAAGCTCTGAGGATGAACCGTGTTCATTTTTGGCCACATCCACACCACATGTTTAAATAACTATGATGCTACTTTGAACAGTCATGTTTTCCCCCAAAGAATTCTGGGAAGTGTAGTTTGCTAAGGTGCTGAGAGTTGTTAGGAGGCCCTTATTCCACTCCCAGAGCTACAATTTCCAAAGTAGTTTAACAATCCTTCTTCACATGGAACTCTGGGAATTGTAGTGCTCTGAGTGGAATAGGGACTCTTCTAACAACTCTCAGTGCCTGTAATAAACTACAGCTCCCAGACATCTTTGGGAGAAGCTTAAAGTGCTATTGTAGTGCTTTAAACATATGGGCCTACGCTCCTTCAGGTCATTTTTGCCTTGTCCCATATCTCTGATTTCCATATCAGCATATAAAACTCTGCAGAATCTTTGTGTACTTTGTGGAATCGTACACATGACAGCATCAACAACTAGTGAGTTCTCTTTTTGCAGATAAAATATACGAACACAGGGGGTGGGGGCTCAGATAGTGTTCTTTAAGTGTGCAGGTGAAAATATTTGAAGCATGCTCCTGCAGTCACCTCTGAAATAGTTGGAAAGATGCCTGAGTGCACCTGTGATTCGGCCCCTGCTGCATGAGTGGCAGGGCAGGGAATGCTCCCTCAGGAAGGTGAGGGCTTTCCATCATCATAGCTTGTGTGGGTGATGCTTCTTCTTGGACATTTGCCAGGGCTTGGACACAAGGCTGCTGACTCATTCTGCAGCTGCAGAACGCTACTTCTGTGAGCCTTAACACGGACGGACGGCCTCCTCTCTTTCTCTGTATGGCCACAGGGCACCTTTGTGAGCTAAGCTAAGCCTGCATTTGCATCATACATTTAAAGCACCAGGATGCCGCTTTAAACAGTCACGGCTCGCCTCAAAGTATTCTGGGAGCTGTGGTTTGTTTAGGGTGCTGAGAGTTGTTAGGAGGCTCCTATTCTCCCTCACATGGATAGTTTCCGGAGCAGTTTAACAATCAATCGCTCTTCCCAGGGAACTCTGGAACTGTAGCTCTGTGAAGGGAAGAGGGTGTCCTAACAGAACCCTTAACAAACTACAGCTCCCAGGATTCTTTGGGGGCTATTTAAAGTGGTATGGTACTGCCTGAAATGTATAATGCACATGGGGACTATTACTCTCTGCTTGGCCTTCCTTATAGGGCTGTTGTGTAGAGAAAGGATGTGCGGATAAAGGATGAAGATGGGGATACTTGATTTAAATGTATCTTGGGTAAAAATGAGAATTTTGTGCTAAGAGATTCTGTCTTCTCCTGGCCAGCTAAAAGGAAGCTCAAGCCATAGACCAATAACTGTTTCATGAGTATGAATTCAGAACTGATCAGCTGATGGAGCTGGCTGGACTGTGCTGCGCCACTGAAACTATAGGTACAGAATGATTTAACAGTCAGTCCCTCTTCCTAGAGAATTGTGGGAATTTTAGCTCTGTGAAAGGAATAGGGGGTCTCCTTACGAGCTCTCAGGACCCATAACCAACTACACTTCCCAAAATTATTTGGGGTAGCCTTGACTGTTTAAAATGGTATCATAGTGCCTTAAAAGGATGGTGTGAATGTGGCAAGGGGCAATGATTCTGAATGGGGAGGAAATAGGACATCTGTTTCATACGCATGCATGGCTGTGCGCACATGCACACTTTCCCAAGGAGGCAAAAATGTGGTCCTTAAGGTATGTGAGGAAGGGGAAGCTGGGTTCACCTCCGTGGGATCATTTCGAGGTGGTGGGGAGAGTGTGGATCATAAAATGGTGGCAACTAAGTGGGAATTCCAGCACAAGGCAGGCAGCAGCAGAGGTGGCAATGGTGACTTTGGCGAGAGAACAGGAATGCAGATATCTTCAGACCAGTCCCTGTCTCACAAGTCTCTCCTACCTCACAAGGATGCTGTAGAGATAAAACAGGACTGTCCTTTTGTATGCCAGCCAGAAGTCCTTAGAGGAGCTTGGCACACACATGCCATTAAATTAGTGCAGATGATAAATAAACTGGAATCTTGGACATGGGAGCTTAGGAAAGGGGTGGGGAACCTCAGGCCTAGGGAAAGAATGTGGCCCCCTGAGCCTCTCTTTCTGGCCCTCAGAACACTCTCCAGCCCACAAACTTCACTGCCCCTGCTTCACACCCTCCTTGAGTGTTTCATCCTGGCTGGGATGTGTCCTTCAACCCTGAAAATGCCTCTTGCTTCCCTAGATGAAGAACAAGTGTGAGCATGTGAAGAAATTAGCCTCCTGTAGAAAGGTAACATGTTTGCCTCTGGCCCCACCTATTACTGGCATGTGGCCCCCAGAAGGCTGTCCAGAAGGGAATGCGGCTCTCAGGCTGAAAAAGATTCTCAACTCCTGGCTTAGGATAACCATAGAGCTACATGGTACTAATATGCGTGGTAACAGTGCTTTCTTGTGGCTCTGAATAAAAGCTACTTAAATGAAGTTTTTGAAAACCGGAGCAGGGAAGCTGAAGTCCCTCAGGCTCACATGGAGCTACTCTCTGCTCACCTGGGCCACTAGTTGAAGATCCCATCCCACCCCACAAAATGAGAATTTACCTCTTTCACTGAAGCTGCTTTAAATTTCTCCACACCTGAGAAATTTGTTCCTAGATCTGCTGAGAATCCAGAGAATGGATCAGAGTGAAAATTAAGTAGCTTGCAATTGAGTGGGCTGGCTTTAATCTTGCAAACTCAGTCTGTGGGCAACTTAATTACAGCTAATGTGGGAGAGAAAGCTTCAGTCAGGCCAAATTTCGTCCAAGTTTTTAAAAGGGCTGCTTCCCAAAATGTCATCATCTGATTTTCTCTTCAGTTTCTGGAGTTTTCTCCTGGAGATTCTGAAATTAACTGGTCTCTTTTTCTTCTTCTCCTCAAAGCACTAGGAATTCTCATTTGATATATACCGTGTGTGTGTGTGTGTGTGTGTGTATATATATATATATATATATATATATATGAGAATCTCCTTAGTTTAGAGAAAAGGTGAGTTAGAGATGACATGACAGAAGCTTATACAATAATGCATGACATTTAGAAAGCAGATGTTGAAAAGTTTTTCTCCCTCTCTCATCATGACACTAGAGGAGGTGGTCTGTTAGATATTTGAGGCCTAGTCATATATTTCCATTAGTTTTTAATAAAAATTTAGCTCTTGCACCAGAGTAAAATGTATCTGTCTAAGGCTTGCACAAGAGATAAAAAGAGGTCTTGCACAAATCCTTTGTATTACTCTTATTCTTATCATCATCATCATCATCATCATGGTAAAAGCCCAATGTGATTACAATCTCTGAGGTAATCCCTCACATGTACTCTTTAGAATATAGTTTGTTGAAACTGCGAGGTGCCTTCTACAAACAGCAACTGAAATAGGCCACTTCTATCATTTGGGCTGCTGGAAAAACCCCAAATGACGTATGTTATGCTCAGCTCAGGTGGGGAGCGAACAGAAGTAGGGGTGAGACTTCCAAATTGCCACACATATGACAACCCTCCAATCCCAGGTTATTTTTCTCTATTATTATTTTTTTGCAGCAAATGTACAAGGAAAGAAAGAACAGAACACGACCCTGCATTTTGATGATGCCAGTGTTGTACAGGTGTTGCAAAAAACTTATGTACATGAGCAGCACCGACTCCATAATAAGCTCCTGCCTAAATGGAAGCACTCACAGAAAGCACAAGTTAAGATACATGGCTATCGTGAGGCGGAATGAGGCTGCTGCCTCAGGCGGCAGATGCTGAGGCCGCAGGAAGTGGAGGAAGCTGTGTGTGTGGCCCATGGCCTACCCAATGCCCCTTAACCTAGCCTGCTCCCCTCAGGTGCCATGGAGGATGCTGCCCAGAAGCTAGCACCCAATTAAGATTCAACTGCCAGCCTGGCAGGCTGTCGTACATGGAATGGGAGGGAAGGTGCCATATTGTCATTCACCTCAGGCAGCAAAATGTTTCCGGCCAGCCCTAGATACAGCTCTTGCCTCAAACACTCTGGTTCCTGGGGGATGATTCTGCCTGTGCTGTTGTCAGATAACCTTCCCTATTTGTACTTCATTTCCACCATGGGATTCAGAGAGAGAAAGAGAAATAGCACAGGAAAACACAGCGCCACAAAGTCAAACATGGCGGGGAGTACAACATTAACTGCCTGAGAACCTGCTAAGATTTATTCTCTGGAGGAAAAAAGAGACTGGTGAGGGCATCCTTTTCTGAATGCCCCTGGCACAAAAAGACCACCCTTGCCATAGCCTTTTTTCTTTTTCTCCTTCCAAATAATAACTCTTTAACAAGGCAGAAGGGAAGAAAAGAATCTTTGGCCAGTCTCCGACATTCAAACAGGGAATGAGGGAAGGACATGGGGCCTGAATGGAATCTTAAAAGGCCTCGTCCCTGTGACTAATCGGAGGGAAGGAGACCTCGTTTTTCTCTCACACTGTGGGCCTGGGTGGCGGTGGTGGCAGCCCAAACGGAGCCAGTGCAGCTTTGCTAAAGAGACGTATGATTAAAAAGCTCTCAGGAACCACAGAACATAAAAGCTGGCCACTCTCTTAATTTAGGGGCTTCCTCAGAATTTCCAGCTGAAATTCGCTTTGCTGAGCTCTGCAGAGGATGTCTAGTTCTCAGGGTGTTGACCTGAAGTTGTAGTGTTTTAACTTTCTCCTCAGAGCCCCCAATGTGGGGCCATTTTGCTGCGTACAACAATATGGTGGCCATTGCATGTGCAGAAGCTAATTGGGGTAGCAGTTGACTCTTAGGCCAAATTCACATCATACATTTAAATCAGCACGAAGCAGTCATGACTTCATTTAAAGGATTCTGGGAGCTGCAGTCTGTTAAGGGTGCTGAGAGTTATTAAGAGACCCTATTCCTCTCACAGAACTACAATTTCCAGAGTTTCCTGTGAAAGGTGATTGATTGTTAATGCACATGGGGAATTGTAGCTCTGGGAGGGAAATTGAGGTCTCCTAACAACTCTCAGCCCCCTTAAAAAGCTCCAGCTCCCAGAATCCTTTGGATGAAGCCATGACTGCTTCATGGTGATTTAAATGTATGGTGTGAATGTGCCCTATGTTTACTCAAAGTAAGTTCCATTGAATTCGGTGGATCATGTGCTTGGGAAAATGAGGTTGGGTTGCAGCCTCGGTGAATTAATCATATGAACTTTTGACCACTTAATCAATTGATTTAGATCTGGAATCAATTTGTCTATGAGAAATAAATGTTATCAAGGAAAAAAGCATACTTTGTTCTTAATGATCTATGAGTTTGTTGCAGCAATTTGCCTTTGTGAGAAGGGGCCTTTCCTGTTCCCTTTCACACAGAGAAATGGAGGCCTCCTCTACGATGCTACTTTCCAGCTGCAATTTATACAAGTACTTGTATTAAAAATAAATAATACATAGACTAGTTGTCTAGGCCATATTTTGTTGGACTCGAATTCCCATAATTCCTGACCATTGGCTAAGCTGGCTGAGGAAGATGGGAGTTGTGGTCCAGCAACATCTGGAGGGCACCAAGTTGGCTGATTTAAGTGAAATTGGGCCCTGGGCTGAGCTAAAAACATCCAGAGCCTAAATCGGAAGCCTCACCCCAAATTGGCCTGCCTCAGACCGTCTGTCTTCTGTAACTTTGGGATGAAACAGTCTTTGCAAAAATGCCAAGGCGGGTGATGCTACGAGCTGTGCCAAGGCCGCTTAGAAATAAATTATAGGAGATACTGTTCAATGAAGCGAGTGAAACAAGGCCCGTCATGCAGAAACACTTCAGACAGTACTGACAAAAGGTCATGGTACTTGTAAAGAAGAGTCTGCCCTTCAGAAGAATCTGGCCTAGACAATGGTGGGGGTGGAGAATGTGCCAGCGAAATGTCTTTTGCTGGCTGACATTTTCCCTGATAGCAGTTGATCCGCAAGTGCAACTTCAATTACCTATTGGCAGCCACTGCTCTGTGCCAAGGGAAAGCTTGGCTACAGCTCCAAGGATGTTGGTTCCACTTACTGGGCACCATGTGATGCCAAAGAGCAGCTTTTGCCAACCTGGTGCCCTCCCAAAGTTTTGGACTACATTTAGACTCATATCACTGGGGAATGGATATTTTAAGGCCACATTTGCACCATACATTTAAAGCTCTATCTTGCCACTTTAAACAGTCATGGCTCCCCACAAATAATTCTGGTTATGGCTGTAGCTTATTGGTAGAGCACCTATCTTGTATGCAGAAAGTCCCAGGTTCAATCCCTGACAACTCCAGGTGGGGCTGGAACAGGGTCCCTGCCTGAAACCCTGGAGAACATGACAATACTGAGCAAGATGGAACGATGGGCCTTTTATCAGTATAAGGCAGCATCCTATGTGCTATTACAGGAGCTGCAGTTTGTTAGGAGCCCCACTATTCCCCTCACAATAAAAAGGTTTAACAGTCAATCCCTCCACCTAGGGAACTCCAGGACTGTGATCAGGTATAACAGAGTGTTGGGCTAGGACCTGGGAGACCAGGGTTCAAATCCTCACTTGTCCATGAAGCTCACTGGGTGATCTTTGAGAGCCTCAAAGCCTAATCTGTCTCACAGGGCATTAAATGAGGGAAGGGGGTGATAATGTATGCTTGAGCTACTTTGACAAAAAAGTAGGATATAAATACAATGAGTAAATAAAATAATAAATACTGTATTCCGTTAGGACAAATGGCCTCTTTGTGTTAAACTAACAAAGTATCCTCCAGTTCACTTCTTTAAGATTAAATATTTCTTTTTTTGGAAAAATCTTCTATGGAAAAACAGCCCAACAAAGACATTTCTTAATTTTTGTTTCTTTCAGGTACTTGGAAGAATGCTGGAGCTGGCATTTGTCCTGGATTTTCTTCTGCCTACCTTTCTAATACTTTTTATATTTCCCCCTCTCCCTGACAGAAACCATAATGGCGTATATCCTGCTGGTATTCTCTACCTTTGCCCAGGCTGTTTTCACGAATGCATTCAGCTTCTCCAGGGAAAGCACAGGTAACTGGGAACTTGGGGCTAGTCTACAGCAGCAGGCAGAACTGGATCTATTGGTAAATCTCCGGGAGATTTCCAGTAGATTGACAAGACTTTCTAAGGCCCCCTCTGACTGGACATTTAAAGCAGTATCACACCACTTTAAACACTCCTGGCTTCTCCCAGAGAATCATGGGAACTGTAGTTTGTTACCGGGGTGTAGAAAATGATGCAGTCCAGGACTGAGGCCATGGGCTGTTATTCCTAAATCTGCCCTGTGCCAAATCTCAACTTCTCACTTTCTTGCTTCTCCCTTCCAGATGACCTCAAAGCTCTGCGGGTCTCCATTGCCAAATACCCACCAGTCCGAGCTGTTCTTTCCGGCAGCCTCACCATCCCCTGCCACGTTACCTACTTGCATCCACTGCCCACTTCTGGAACTGCAGGCCGCAGGGCTGTCCAAGGGGCACCCCGTGTGAAATGGACCTTCATCACAGAGGGCAGAGAAGCAGAGATCCTGGTCGCTCGGGGCCTGAAGGTGAAGGTGAGCGAAGCCTACCGCGACAGAGTCTCCCTGCCCTTTTATCCAGACTCACCAACAGATGCCACCTTGGTCCTGAGCGAACTGCGGTCCAACGACTCCGGGGTGTACCGCTGCGATGTCCAGCATGGGATCGAGGATGGGCATGACCTGCTGCAGGTGAAGGTCAAAGGTAACGTTGCGCTCTGGCAGAGTGTCTTGCTGAAAGGGTTTGCTGTGTTTATTGCAGATTCAAGTCCCATAGCACTAGGCCTGATCTCAGGAAACACCCATTCTAATTGCAGAGGTTGGGGAGGGGGAATATAAGGACTCAGCCACACTTTTGCTTGTCCTGTGCCAGAAAGCACAGGTCTGTGTGGGTTGTTTTATGTTTTCTAGGCATGAGTCTGGTTGTTTTTCTACTGGTTCTGTTGCTTTCATTGGAAAAACCTGCACTTTAGCACTGAACTGAAGAAAACGTCAGTCTGCAGAAAACCCAATTGGCGTTTACTTATTTCAGCAGTAAAACCACGTTTTCTCAGAGGAAAGCGGCAAGAGAAGCAGCAGTCTGGATGAGCCCTAAGTTTTATTCAGTTTCAGAACTAACACAAAAAATAAAGCCATGTTGCATTCAGAACTGAAAAACATCAGTCCCCCTGCCCACCCAGCACTCTCCCCCACTTGGATTCCTAGCAACTGCCTCTGACCATGAAGGCTGAGAATAGCCATGGGTATAACCACGGGGGAACAGGGGGGCAGCTGCCTCCCCAACCCTATTAAATAAAACTATAGAAATACTTAACTATCTGACCAATCTTGTCAGCTCTGCCCCCCCTAACAAAAGTCCTGCCCCCCCCCCAACAAAAATCCTGGCTACACCCATGAGAATAGTCATCATGTCTAGTAGCCATTGGTAGCCTTATTTAGTTTAGAGAAGTAGTGAGTAAGAAGCAACATGACAGAAGTTTATAAAATTATGCATAGTTTGGAGAAAGTGGATAGAGAAAGGTTTTTCTCCCTCTGCCATAACACTAAAACTCGTTGACATCCAATGAAACTGAATGTTGAAAGATTCAGCACATAGAAAAGAAAGTACTTCTTCATGCAGCACATAGTTAAACTACAGAAATCATTCCCACAGGATGCAGTGATGGCCACTGATTCGAATGACTTAAAAAGATTAGACAAATTCATGGAGGAGCAGGCTATCGATGGCTGCTAGCAACAATGGTTATGCTCTGCCTCCCACAAGCATCTGGTTGGCCACTGTGAGAACAGAATGCTGGACCAGATGGACCCTATGCCTGATCTTCTTATGTATTCAAATACGTACTGCCCTGAATATGGAGATTCCACTAAACCTTTACGATCACTAACAGCCACCGACGGACCACTCTTCATGAACTTATCTAATCATTTATAAAGCTAGATCTTCATTGCTGGCAAAACAGCCAGCAGAATTGGATTGCTTAAAGGCCCCCTTTGGATGCACACAAGCTGATTCAACACCATGCATATAAGCACATTTATAACACTTTGACAGCCTTGGCTTCATCCAAAGAATCCTAGGACTGTCGTTTACCCTCCACAGAGCTCCAATTCCCAGCACCCTTAGCAAACTACAGTTCCCAGGATTATTGAAGGAAAGCTATGCACTTTCAGTTTGCTCTAAATGTATGATGTCTTCTCCCATCTTCTAGGAGTTGTGTTCCTTTACCGGGAAGGCTCTGCCCGCTATGCTTACACCTTTGCCAAGGCCCAGGAGGCCTGTACCAGAATAGAAGCTGAGATCGCCACACCGGAGCAGTTGTATGCTGCCTATCTCAGTGGTTATGAGCAGTGTGATGCAGGCTGGATCGCCGACCAAACCGTCAGGTAGCTGGGACTTGGAAGCTCAGTCAGTTAGTGGCATGGGGTGGAAAATGTTCTGCGACCCGTAGAAATTTATTTATTATTTATTTATGCATTTATGCCCTACCTTTTTCTCCAAGGAGCTCAAAGTGGTGTACATAGTGCTCCTGCTCCTCTTCCGCATTTAATCCCTATAGGAACCCTGCAGGGTAGGTTAGGCTGAGAGGCAGTGATTGGCCCAAGGTCACCCAGTGAGCTTCATGGCCAAATGGGGATCCAAACCCTGGTCTTCCAGGTCCTAGTCTGACACTTAACCACCACACTGGCTCTCTTTATTAAATTTTAAAGTGTGAATTAGTGACATAATGAATGGATAGAATATCAGGCAAACTGGCCTCTTTCTTTCTTTGTTTTAACATTCCTCTTTATATTTAAAATTATTTTTCAAGTACATATATAGAATAATTACAGTTCAAAGAGCCAGGCTTTTATATATCGAGTTTTTCTTTTCTTGTAGAATTGGTATAGAATGAAGGCACCTGTGGTAATAATCATTATACAATTAAGTTTAGAATGATAAATCATAGTTTACAAATTATGTTATATGCTCCCAATAATGGATATGCATTGACTGAATCAAATTATAGAATTTTAGAGTAGGAAGGGACCATGAGGGTCATCTAGTGTCCAACCACCTGAAAAGCAGGAATCTCTTTTTTGCCTAATGTGGTGCTCGAACCCACAACCCTGAGATTAAGACCTTCACATTATAATTCCAAGAGAGAATAAATGGAGTTCATTCTCCTGCAAACTTGTTATTTTTATGCCTACCTTCTCTTCCTCTGATCAAATTTGTTAATTTAATCATGGTAGCCGTCTTCCAAATTTTAGAAAGCTAAACATCAATAGAAGCAGCTATTGGAAGATTACCATTCTGGCTGCTGTGAACAAATGAATTATCATTTCAAGGTCTTCCTCTAGTATTTTTCTTAATCAACTTTTTGTCCACAAATTTAAAAGATTATTTAAAAAGTTAGACATGATAATTAAAAAGTAAGATATGATAAAGAAATATAATAATAAAACCATCAACTCACATTAAGGATACAGTAACCACCAGTACATCTATTTCAAATTAAAAATATAAATTAATATAAGGACTCCGCATGTCTAAGTAGGTATCCATACAAAATTGTCTATATGAAACATGTTCAAATGTAGTGCAGTCCTCCTGTTAAAAGGTTATCTTGAGCAGCAAATGATAGAAAGATGCCAGAGACCTTGTATGTATGCATGCATATACATATACATATACATATACATATACATATACATATACATACATGGATTGGAAATCTGGAAATAGAATGTTTCTGTTATTTGAGATTATCTTCTGCTCTGCAACCTATAGAGCAGCCTCCCCCAACCTGGTGCTCTCCAGATGTATCCGGTAATCAGGGGTAGACTGCCCTGGAACAATCAGGCCCTACATGCAGCTCTCATGGCTCATCACTATTGAGAGACCAGTCCGCCACATATTTGCCTAATCCTTAATTTAGTAACCCCCTTCCTCCATTATCACTTATTTTTATTATCAAAGGAAGGCCAGCATGCTGGATTCCCAACTCCAGATGGCAGATTCCACACTCATGCACTGTAATTTGTGATGCACAAAAATGCATACACATACTGTACCATTTCTTTGTGCAATGGGAAAAGAGTACTGGGAAATGCCTGTCTTCAGAGGAACTTCATCTGCAGTCTTTCCCAACCTGGTTTCCCTCCAGAAGTTTCAGACTACAACTCCCATTAGCCATTTTGGAATGCAAATCCCATCAGCCCCAGGCTGAATGGCCATGCTACCTGGGAGTGGTTGGAGCTGTAGTCTAAAGCATCTGGAGGATACCAGGCTCACAAAGGCTGCATCAGAGGTTAGGCAGGTGGCGTCGCTTTTAGGTGGTGGAAACCTTTCCAGGATAGGGAGGGCTTGGCCTCTTTTGGAACTGGGTGTTTGATGCAGTGCTAATGAGAAAATGTGACTCTCAAGCCATCTTTTAAGAACTGGTTGTTTTTATTAGCTTTGAAATTTAGGAATGGTGACATTTTTATGGAGCTATAAAAGCCCAAGATTTATGCTGCCTCCAGGATCAGAGGCACAGCGTGTCTCTCTGCATAGCAGTTGCTGGGGAATAGAACCAGAAAGTGGCCATTGTGCTTATGATGTACTGCTTGTGAACAGAAGGTTGGACTACCTGGGCCTTTGGCCTGATCCAGCAGCCAGGCTCTTTCAATATTGACTAAGGGCTACACACATTATGAAACCAGCACTGACATTGTGGAATATCCCTCCCGCTTTTTCTGTAGGCATTGCATAAGTGAAATTCAAACTCCCTGCAGCTCTGTTTGAAATGGGGTCAGTGGAAAGTATTCATTTTGAAAAGAAATAATTTATTAGGAAGAACCTGTTCAAAACCTCACATTCCCAGTGGGGTCACTGGGACCACAAGGGGGCATGCAGTCCAACTAGAGAACCCGCCACCCCATCACTTTTCTTTTCCAACTGTTACCTGGTAGTAATGGGATGGGGGTGGCTCATGGGAGAGCTGCTTTGAGGAGCCATGGGAAATTTAAGATCGTGGTGCCCCTGAATGCTAATGGCCTTTCTTGGGAAATAAAGAACCATGAGAAGCCAGATTTCCTATGGTTCCTGGTTCCCTTCATGAAATTGTGCATGTCCATTCTAATGGAAACTTTGACCAGGGATAATCTTAGGAAGTGTCCTAGGGGCTCATATCCTCCCCACCTTTTAAGAAAGCTAAACCTTTTTTTTTAAAAAGTGCTTTACATCGCTTATAGAGCAGCAAGGCATACCGTAAAGCTCAGCACTAAGGAGACCCCACCCACCTACCACCTTAATTTCCCAGAGGTGTATATAAATATAAGTTAGCATATGCCATTATTAATGCAAAGTTGAATGGTATGCTCTCAGCAACTGCAGTTAATGCTTAAATGTGTCATACTTAATGGCATCACCAGGGCTGTTCCCTGTGACATTCCCTAGGCCTCAGGTTTGGGCCATAGCCATCCTGCCTGAGTGGTGCCTTCCTCTTTAGCCATTGTCTCCTTCTAGGCCCTGGAATTACAAGCTGTGGGGATATCTCTACTGACCCTTCTGACTCTTGAGGAGTCTCTGAACCAGTCCTCAGAGTCTGGTGACAAAGGGGTCCCTTTGAGGTTCAGGGAAGTTCTTGCTAGGCCCAGTGACAGCAGCTGTATGTGGAACATACCAGTGAGTAGTTCCATCTCTTTCCCCAATCTGCCATTGGTGGAGGGCTCTGATTCATCCTAGTCTGGGGCTATGACACTGAACACTGTTCTTATCTTCAGGTACCCCATACAGACCCCTCGTGAAGCCTGTTACGGAGACATGGATGGGTTTCCGGGTGTCCGTAACTATGGGGTAGTGGACCCAGAAGACATGTATGACGTCTATTGCTATGCTGAAGAACTGTATGGTGAGTTAGATTGACAAAATATCCTTGCCCTTTGAAATCAGAGTCTTCATGTTGCCCTTTGCTGTGGGATGTACCGTATTTTTTGCTCTATAAGACTCACTTTTTCCCTCCTAAAAAGTAAGGGGAAATGTGTGTGCGTCTTATGGAGTGAATGCAGGCTGCGCAGCTATCCCAGAAGCCAGAACAGCAAGAGGGATTGCTGCTTTCACTGCGCAGCGATCCGTCTTGTTGTTCTGGCTTCTGAGATTCAGAATATTTTTTTTCTTGTTTTCCTCCTCCAAAAACTAGGTGCGTCTTGTGGTCTGGTGCGTCTTATAGAGCGAAAAATACGGTATAGAGTAGCTAAGTGTTGCATTGCCTGCTGAACTTGTGATCCGTTCCATCAAATACAGCCCATCAACCAGACACTCATTCATGTCAGTGTTTTATACCCCACCCCTTCCTCCAGATCCGCACTTACAACACAGCATACTACCACAACATTGCAGGTTACTATCAGTGAAGAGCTCTGGACTTCCGTGAGCGGAATTTCCCTTTTTAGTCTCTCTCAATCTCAACAAATGAGATACCACTTAAAATATTGCAAAATGATATCTCATGCCTATGCTTTTAGCCCATAGATCTTCAACCAGTGTGATGAGTCCCACAGGTGAGTTGCATTGCCACACGAGGTAGCTTGTTGCAAAACTGTTGCTTCCATGATTCCAGTTTAGACTGACCAAGACCTTGTTTCTTGACAAGGAGGCATTCTTCTGATGAAATGCTTGTTTTATCAGTTTCCATGAGTGCTGAAATGTGGCAAGAGAAAGGCACAAGACATTTTAAAAATAAGATACGTATTTCTGGCCAGCTACATGCTCATGCCTTTCTCCTGCCCCATTGCAGGACTAGTTTTCATTTCATTGTAATGCTGAGGAACAGTAGGTATGTTGCTCTCTGAATTGCCATTTTAGGGTGAAATAAAATTAAGTTGTTAATGTCTGATGTTTCATTATGTTTTTTATATTCTGTTGGAAGCCACCCAGAGTGGCTGGGGCAATGCAGTCAGATGGGCGGGGTATATGTAACAATTGTTGTTGTTGTTGTTGTTGGCACTATTAAGTATATATCAAAAATGAGAACATGAAAGTGGGACTAATGTCGCAGCTTGGGAGCCAGAGGTGAGTCTCAAGTCTGGACTGGTTGAAGATTCCATATTATCTCCTTATATTCACTGAATTGCTGGAGAGGTTGTGGAATGTGTGGTGGGCATATAGGAAAGTGGCTCAGTTCTGAGAAGAAGCATTTGTTGAAATAAAAGTAAATACTGGACAAAACACTTTTAAATGTCCAAAGCTGGCTCAGCTCAATTGTTTTACAAGCCAGGCTTGTAATAATGAGGTACTGGAAGAAACTAGAGGGTGCTTCTTTGGGAAACTGGTACAATGGCAAATAGCTCCTGTGGAAAAATTGGCAAATAAAATAAAACTGGCACAAGGTTTGAAACATAAGGATGCTTTCACAGTAGATTGGTCCAGCTTTATTATGTACATGGCTGGAAATGAAAACAGAGGACTCAGTTCACAATATGAAACTTTCTGGTTAGCATAAAGTGTACATTGCCTTCTCTGCAAATTGTTGAATGAGATAGGCACTTACTATCCTATTTAGATGCCATTTCTGATGTATTGCCTAAATTTTATCTTATGGGCCAGTGCGGGATGTTTTATTTTAAGTTTTACAATGTTGTAAGAATTTAATGATAAAAAATTTAAAACAACAACAGAGCATACTATATAATGTCTTGTAAAATAAACCTAAGTACATTATTAAAAGGTGCAATACCAGTCATCTGCATCTGTCACCAAAACATGCATAATCTCACTGAGGAGGGAGTCCCATAAAGAGGGTGCCACCCCAAGAATGCCGTGCCCCATGCCACTGCCTTGCCTGCCACCTGAACTGAAGGAAGAAGCCCCCTCTTCTCACACCAAGGAGCAGTACCTAAGTGCTTCTCCCCAGATAACAAGCTTCAGGAGGCCCTTACGTAACATTAATTTACCATCTAGTATAGGAGTGGGGAACCTCAGGGCAAGAGGCCAAATACAACCTTCCAGGCATCTATGTCTAGTTCTTGGGTCTCTTCCTTGGACCCTCCCCAGGCCACACCTCTCACCGGTCCTGCTTTGCACCCTCCTCAAGTAATTTTGCCTGGCTGGGATGTTTCTTTGTCTTAAGCATTTTAAAATGGGGTGAGGAACCTGTGGCCCCCCAACATCCCTATTGGCCACGCTGGCTGCAGGGGCTGATGGGAGATGAAAGTCGAATAACACATACTTTGTAAGAACTTAGGCTGCTTGGAGCTTTTTCAAATATTAATAAAATATTTTGAAATATTAATCAAATATTAAACACAATTTATAAATGTGATTAAATAAATAGAACATCTGGAGAGCCACAGATTAGTCACTCCTGTTTTAACAGATAAGTAAATATGCTTCTTTTAATTCCAGCCAAAACATGTTTTGTTGTTATCTCTTTAAACACTGATGCTCAACTTGTCTCTGGTTGCAGGAGAGCTGTTTGTGGTGAGCTCTCCAGAGAAATTCACTTGGGAGGAGGCCAAAGCTGAGTGTAAGTCTCTGGGAGTGGAGATTGCCACGACAGGCCAGCTGTATGCAGCATGGAATGAAGGTCTGGACCACTGCAACCCTGGCTGGCTGGCAGACGGAAGTGTGCGGTACCCCATCGTCACCCCACGGGAGAAGTGTGGAGGAAACGTCTCAGGAGTCAAAACCATCTTCCTCTTTCGCAACCAGACTGGATTTCCAGATCCCCAAAGCAAATATGACGTGTATTGCTTTAGAGGTAACAATCCTTCTGGTATGGCTAAACTCTGAGTAGGATTGCCACCTTGCTCACCTGGAGGTCAAAACACAAAATAAATTAAGTCTGTGAAACTTTTCCAATCATTTGCTAGGAAGAGATACACCTGCTAAATTTCTCTGTGTTAGAGGCTCCTATCAAAAGCACAAGAGCAGAGCCAGTGGCAACTCTATTCACTATTCACTTGAACAATTACTTCTAGGGTTCATCCACACTCACCTTTCCTCTGTGCATTCTAGGCACAGGTCCACTCTTTCCAGGTCTGTTTCTGGGATCTTTTTCCTTTTGTCTTGGTGCTTTCCCCGAGAAAACCCACGTTTTACTGCTGAATCACTGCAAACGCCAATTGGGTTTGCTGCAGATTGCTGTTTGCTCCAATTCTGCAGTAAAACATGAGTTTTCCTAGGGAAAGTGTTGGGACAAAGGAAAACTGCTCGGACACAGACCTGGAAAGCCCGGACCTGTGCCTAGAAAGCACATAGCAGAGGTACGTGTGGATGAGCCCCTAGTTTGCTAATGTTTTATGTGATTTAATTCCTGCAGGGTCCTTGGAAAGGTTTTGTTATAGTGGTACCACTAGGCAGAAGTCTGGGCCCTCACAGAAGGCACTGTCCCTTTAGACTGCTCCCATGTTGCAGGTGGGATTCTGTCAAATACTGACAACATTGCATTATCAGCACATTCCTTATTGTGGATTTGGCACTCTTGCACAACAAACCTGGTCCTCCCTGCGCTGCCCCCCATAAGTCCTAATTTCTTGAGGTGGAAGGAAAGTGACAGGAAAAAGCACTGGAAAGTGTGTGCATGAGGAATAACAATTGCTTGAGGCAATGTTGTCTAGCCTCCCCGCAAACAAATCAGAATGAATGCTTGACATGGGAGTTTACAAGCATTTCAACCCATCTGAAATTTGAACCAATTTCAAACTTGAACCAATTTCAAACAAATGCATTTTCAACAGATGCATTTCGGCAAATCAGAACAATTACTTGACATGATACCAAATTGAAATGCCATCCACTAACCTTCGCACAAACAAATCAGAATGAATGCTCAATAAACAAACAAACAAACAAACAAACAAACAAACAAACAAACAAACAAACAAACAGTGGGTGCCGTAAAGCCTGCTTGCAACCTTTGTCTGGAAGAGACCTCAGAATGCAGTCTGGCTTGCCTATGTCTTTTGCCAATGGGGCAAAGCACATGCAGTTCCATGTTCAAAATGTGCAAGCAGCTGTGTTCAAAATGTGGTGTGTGATGCCCTTGTGGCTTGGTTTCAAAATGCAAAAAAGGGAAGGCAGGTGGAAAACCCTCAGACATGGAGACATGTATGGGAGCATACACCCTGGGGGTTTTCCACCTGCAAGCAGCAGCGTGCCCCCCACCCCAGTCATATTTGAGTGCAGGAAAGAGAGGGGAGAATGGGGAGATGATGCTGGAGGCACCATCACTGGCACGACCATTTGCACATATACGTCCCTGAATTTTCTTTGAAATGTCAACTCTGTTCCTGCCGCAAACCCACGCTCATAAACAGACTGCAACAGCATAATGAGTAACTGATGCCGTCATCCTAAACCCACTTCTTACAGAGTAAATCCCATGGACACCATGGAATTTATAGCTGAGTAAAACTAGAATAATTCCCTTTGGACACTGTCATTACTCACTTCCCTTCCCTTCTCTGCCATTCTCCTTCTTCCAAATCAAATACATCCCCATTTCCATCACCAATCCCCATAACACAGTCAAAAGGATGAAATGAGTTGCAGTCCGGCAAATTTGACTTTCTTTCAACCCCCACCCCTGCCATTTGCAGGGGTGGAGTGATCTGGGCAGGAGGGTAATACAGATCACTATCTAAAGCGCCCCCCCCATCACTACTGTAGTAGTTAAATTCCTCCAGAGTCTAAAATTGAATGTCCACAAAAACCCTGTGTGGTAGGTTACCTTGAGATGTAGTTACTGATCCCAGGTCACTCAGTGAGCTTTGTGGCTGAGTGATTTGCCCCATTCATGTCTAAAACGGGTTCAATGTTAAGAACACCTGAATTCCTCAAGAAGAGCCCTTCTGTAGTCAACCAGTAGCCCTAGCTGATCCAGAATTCAATTTTCCACAGCGCACATGCTGAAATCCCTGCTTCTCTACAAGTGTTAAAGGTGCTCTGTACACCTTTTCACTTGACCTACCCTGCCATTCAGATGCCTCTGGGAAGTTCATAAACACAGTCGCCCTCTCTTGCTGTCAGGGTGGCTCATGTGTCCTATTTTCAAATAGAGGACTGTCCATCCCAAGTCTGAGTTAAAAATAAGAAGCCACCAAAAAGAGATGGTTATGGGAGCTCATCCAGAGTCAAAGGTCTGAGCCAGCCCAAAAGCCACGTTTTGTCTTCCCCACTGTGCTGAGATGTGTTGCATTTCTGTTTAAATTACAGCAATTATTTCTAAATTTGACTCTATACAAATAAATCACCATGTGCACATTTTATGCAAATCCATGCCCTCTTTTCTTTTGATGCGACACATCCTTTTTTGGGGAGGATGCAGAACTAGTCCTCCTACCTTGACCCCCAGTAACTAGTGAGGCCTGGTGCCTCTGATCCTGCTGGTAGGAAATAGTTGCCAAAGCTATTGCCATTGATAAACCTGCCCACCATGAATTTCTCTCACCCACTTTTAAAGCCACCTAAGTTCATTTTTGTTATTAGAAGGAGCATGCAGGGAAGTGGGGGCTGAACCTCTCAACCTTCCCTCTCTATGCCAGTCATTGGCGCATGGAGAGGGAAGGGTTCTGCTAACTTCCTGCTATGTACCCATGCTGTGGTATGACATAACCCAGACCCCCTTTTCAACATGGCCAGATGTGTCAATAAACAAACATGACTTTAGGGCCAGCTGGGTGAGGCAACTGCCTCAGGTGGCAGTTGCTGCAAGGGCAGCAGTGGGCTCCCCCTGGCCATTCCCCTGTGTGTGCCACATGACCTGCCCTGGAGCCACGCTCCCGCAAACTAGCCTGCTGCCCTCACTCACGTGTGAGGGGAAATGTTATTCTTCAACTACCAGTCTGGTTGTCTTCTGTACACAGAACCAGGGGGAAGTGCCATCTTGGTCCTTTGCCTCAAACAGCGAAACCCTGCCCTGTCTTGCCTACCCCTATGTGAGTGAGCTCAGCATTCCTGCCCAGGCTGCTTTGAAACGATGTTTCTGAAGTACCCCCAGAGGCAGTAACACCCCCTTTCTTTCTGCCCACAGAAGAGACAAGCCCTTTTTCTGAGTCTCCAGTCCCCGAGGCAGAGGGCAGCAAGGAGATTGTGACTGTGACAGAAAAGATGGAAGAGCTGCGGCTGCCCAAAGCGGAGCGTGAGGTGGCGAAGGAATCCAGAGGGGCCATTTATTCCGTGCCCCTTTTGCAGGACAACCTTGAGGCTCAGCAGCAAAAGCCCAGCAGTGCCCCTGAAGAGACAGCCCCACAAGGGCCTAAGGCAGGCCCAGGTAGCTGTGCTTTCAGTCCAGGACAGAGAGATGAGGAAGGGGGAAAAGAAAGAGATGGAGGTTGCCCAGGGAGACACAGGCATGGTAGGTGAAGAGAAGAAAGGTCTGAGGATCATAAAGGGTTGAGCAGCTGTGATTCCTGCATTGCAGAGGGTTCGACTAGATAACCCTTTGGGTAAGAAGGAAACTTCTCTGGAAAAAGGTTCAGAAAAGGGCAACTAAAATGGAGTGACTCCCCTATGAGGAGAGGTTGCAGTGTTTTGATTTGTTAGTTAGAGAAAAGGTGAGTTATAGGTGATATACTAATAGAAGTTTATAAAATTGTGCAAATGGAGTTTGCTCCTGCCGGATGCAGTGATGGCCACCAACTTGGATGGCCATCAGATTAGACAAATTCATTTGGGATAGTGGCTACTAGCCATGTTCGCTATGCTCTGCCTCCACAGTTTGGAGGCAGTAATGCTTCTGGATACCAGTTACTGGAAGCCACAAGAGGGGAGAGGGAGTGCTCTTGTGCTCTGATCCCACTTGTGGGTTTCCCACAGGCATCTGATTGGCCACTGTGAGAACAGGATGCTGGACTAAATGGGCCATTGGCCTGATCTAGGAGGCTCTTCTTACATTCAAAACTGAAAGGTCAGTCCTTTTAATCCCCTACTAGGAATGGGCTGTAAGATTGTGGGCTATGCCCACTGGGTTTCATGCATGTAGACCCTGTACAAACACAATGCTCACATCTGGACAACTGGGGCTACCACTGAGAAGGGTGTGATATTGATCCAGAGAGCTGAGGATTGCCTGTGGTGAGAAACAAAACAAATAAAATTAAAGTTCTATAAATAAATGGGACAATTTTGCTCATAAAACCCCTGAATTCTTCAGACTGCATAAATTATGCAAAAATAAACAAAAAATGATTCTGAGCTGCATAATCCATCCTACATCATCTGGACAGAAACAAAAGCATGGGTGCTAACACAAGTTAGGGGGAGAAAAAGAGAGAGAGAGAGAGAGATTTGCACCCCATAAAACTCAGCCCTTGAAGAGCTGCTGCTCACTGCTAGAGCACCTGCTTTGTATGCACAAGGTCCCATTTTCAATCCATGGCATTTCCAGGTCGGGCTGGAAATGCTTGAAACCCTTATGGTCTGCTGCCAATCAGGGCAGAGGCCTTCAAGGGAGTTGCTCTTAGTGGTGCCCCATGGCATGGATGCACAGCTCAGATGCACATTCAGTATTGTGAGCCCAGTTTTGTGGAACTTCTTCTTGTTGCAGTCAGACAGGCCCTGTTGAACTTCTGGCCCTGACTGAAGACCTTATTATTCTATCAAGCTTTTCAGCTGAACTCTGACTTTATAGTTTGAATTCATTTTTAGTCTTACTCTATTGAGATGACTGTAATTAAGCAGCATACAAATTATTAAAACAAATAATAAATAAAAATAAGTGTACTGTATCAGATACAGAGACCCCTGTTTTGCGCCTTCCTATCAAAGTTCCTTTTAAATGGAGATTCCAGGAAAATGAATTTCACGATTCATTCCATAGTCAGTGAGTAAATGTGTATTGTACACCAGTACCTGACACCCAGTATTTGTTACTTTTTTGCCAGTATTTGGCATGAATTGGCAGTTAACTACCTGACAGCGCTGGGTAGCTAATGCGGTGCAGTATTTTGCATTTGGCAGTTTCTGGCAAATCCAAGACATTTATGTTGTGCTCATCCATTCAATTCAGAATCCAAATTTTGCAATTGGTAATGGTGTCTCTCCTGTCTGCCCCCCCAATCTTATTTGAGTGCTCATTTAAAAAAAAAAAAAAAAAAGCCCACACAAACAGAGGAGGTAAACTCTCCCACACATGCAAATGTGAATACAGCATTAACCATGAAATGGGAGACACTTGCTGAATCTCACCATTGATTAGGCCAGGGGTTGATTAGGCCAGGGGTGATCCAGATATTGTTGACTACAACCCCCATAATTTGTAGTCTGCTGGCGCAGCTCACTGCTGGAAGTTAGAATCCAACCACAACTGGAGAGTCAAGGGTTGCCTAACCCTAGAATAGATCTGCAAGTGCTTCCTGGGTTTAGTTTATTTATTTCTTTATTGCATTTTAATAACAACAGACAGAAAGAGAAATTATCTTAAATATGTTAAGCTGTCAGCAGTTTCCAATAAAGGATATAGCTAAGCATGTGAATTACTGAGTCAATAATGAAACATACCAAGAGAGAAAGGATGTGGTCCACAATTACCATTGGTTCCATGGTCTAAAGCAAAACAATTAAAATGTGTCATTTCAGAAAAGATTTAAAAGAGACCTTTAACTGTACTAAATCCCAGTGTTTGCATAGAAGTTTGGACCTGATACTGTGCTTGTATATGAAAGAAAATTAGACCAAATGGCAAGGAAGGAATCTTGAGTACTTGGGCCCTTGAACACTTAGCTTTTTCAAGAAGAGCAATTTGCCAAGTCTTGGAATATCAATAGTCTGGATAATTAAGATCAAAAGTCTTCCAAAACTTGGCAGTTGTGTTCCAGGCCACTGTCAAAAGATGCAAGGTCAGTTTCTCGTTATTCAGATCTTGATCCAAATCTACAAACCAATTGTCTTTCTAAGTGCAGTGTCTAAGGACAATTCCCACCTTTGGGAAGATTTCATTTCCTTCCTTTCAATTTTGCAGAGGAAGAGACAGAAGAAGCCCAGAGCACTGAGGAAGATGAGATGTTTGATCTAGGCCATCCGGTAGAAGAGGAATCTGATGAAGAACAAAACCTGCCCGGGCCTTCAGAAGCAGCTCCAGAGGAGTTTGAGTCCACAGCAGAAGATGAGGTGGAAAGCACCACTCAGGCATGGTCCCAAACCTCCCCAGACCTCAGCACATCAGAGGATGAGGATGAACCCCATGGCTTTCATGGCCCTGCAGGTTCTGCCCTAGCACCCTCTCAAGAGCATGGAGGAGAAGGCACCACTGAAGCTGACTCTTCTGACAGCCTCTCCACTGGCGGAGGAAGCCAAGCAGCAAGTGACTCTGAAGAGCTGCATAAAGACCCATCGTCATCACCCTCCACCTCAGAGATTGCAGCTGAAAGGAAGGTTGTCCCTCTAGAGCAGGTGGCTCAAAATATCAGCTACAGTGATCCTGAAAAAGCTGGCATTGTTCCTCATCGGCCTGAGCACTCGGGGCTGCCTGAAAACTCCTCTGCAGCTGCTGAGCAGACCCACATGCATGTAGCCCTGCAAAGTGGGCTTGTTCCTGGATTCACAAGCACCCACGTCCCTGGTCATCCTGGCGACTCAGTCGATGCAGAGTTTTCAGGAGCTGTGCCTCCGGGAACAGCTGCAACTGTGGAGAGGACAGCAGTGTGGAAGAGGGTGGTCCCAGAATCCTCAAGCACCACAGCTGCCAGCCTGTCTGAAGAGAGCGAGGAGCATTCTGGGTCTGCCTGGATTTCACCTGCCGTTGCCACGGGGTTTGCAACTTCCAGTCCCAAAGAGGCTGTGGTTGACTCAGGACATGCAGTTAGCACCCAGCTTCCTGGGGAGGAGCATGAGACTGAGGAGGCCACTGAGAGCACCACGCCAGACCTGTCAGCAGAAGAATCGGATGAAGAAAGGGAAACCACCATGGCTGGCCCAGTGCCAACTGGAGGTGGCGAAGAGCACGATGGGGAGAAAGAAGATGCCCCCTCACTTGCCGAGGTCATCTCTGGAGACATATCAGGCTCACCATTCATGAGCCCTCTGTTCACAGAGCCCTCCTTGACCACTGCCCACCCTCTGCCTGTCCTGCCCACAGAAAGTGCCAGCCTTGGATCAGGTGGGAACATTTCAGGTAACCCTTTTGCCTGCACTGCCTTGGTGCTCTTGGCCACTATTTTGGCTGACCCTTCCCACTAAAACCCTAATGATGTTCCCCCCAAAGCCACGCTTTTCTCTTTGTATATGTCTCTCCCCCCCCCCCACTTCTCCTCCCCCCCCCCCCACATCACCTGGATTGGGAAAGGTATAAAGACCCAGAGAAGCACATGTTTTGTCAAACAAACAAACAAAATAGTCTTAGAGAGTGCATGCTCTTTAAATCTCTCCTACTTCTATGAAGTGTTTTAATGACTATTTCCATGAAAAACAAGCCGGGAATGAGGACAGCACTGGTCATAACAAGGAGACTAATAAAAAAAGAGAGAAAAAAATTAAAAACTTTCTAGAAGAAGGCCATCTGGCTGGATGTATGTACCCTGCTGTGTGTGTCTTGTGTTTTTTCCCTTCACATTGCTCCTCTGCTTATTTGTTTCCTTCCACACTAATGAATTAATATCCCTAATGTTACTTAAACCCTTGTTCAACACTGATCTTAGAGCCATATTCTCATGAGTGATGATTACAAATATTAGGTGTGTGTGTGTGTGTGAGAGAGAGAGAGAGAGAGAGAGAGAGAGAATATAGGAAGCTGTCTCATATTGATTCAGGTCATTGGTCAATCTACCTCAATATTGTCTGCATACACACTATACCTTCAAAGCACATCCTTTCTCTCAAAGAATTCTGGGCATTGTGGTCTATGGAAGCAAGCTAGAGATAAGAGGCATCCATCTCACCCTGCCAGGAGTGGCCCAAGCCATTTTGCTGCTTGAAGCAAAGGACAAGATGGTGCATTCCCCATCCTGTGCACAAAATCTGAGTAAACTAATGGTTGAATCTTACTTCAGCGCTGGTGATGGAGCAGAGTTCTCCACCACATCCTTAAGGCAGCAAACTAGCTTAGGGGCTGCAGGGCAGACCACATGGCACACATTTTTAGCCACTGTTCACACCTCAGAATTTGCTGCCTGAGGCACTTGCCTCACTCTCCCTCGTGGAAGGATTGGTCTTGCACCCTGCCTACTTGGGTCATGTGACATGCCTGTGGCCTTCTTTTATCCTCACAACAGCCTTAGGAGGTTGTTTAGGTTAAAGTAATGGCAACTTGCCCAAGGCCACCTTAGCATGCTTTGTGGCTAAGCAAAAATTTGGAAGCATGTTGGCCTATCTAAGTCCAATACTGGAGCTGTGGGTGTGGGTGTGTGGGTGTGTGCTTGTGTGTCTATAGTTGGCATAGAAGGATTTTTTAAAGATAGTGCTGGGCATAATCTGGGCTTTCTAAGGGAAGGGACAGCAAACTATGAGCCCTCACAGAAGGATATTGTGGGGAAATTCAGTGTCTGAATAATGGGAATGGTGGAACAAATAATTTTGCTTTCTTTTCTATGATAATAGCCAATAAATCTCCAAGGTTACTTTCAGATATCCATTTACTGCACATTCATTCTGATTTGTTGGCGGGGAGGTTATATGATGCCACGCCAAGCAATTGTTATCTCACACATTTCATTGCATTTCTTTGTCACTTTCCTTACTGCAAAAAGTCCAGTACAAATATTTATATATTAGAGTGACAAATGCACTTTAATTGTGCCACCTGAATTTGCTGGTATGTTACTGAATCCCACTTACAAAATAGCAATGGTCTGGGAGAGCCCAAGTCTGTGTTTCTCTAGCCTCCAGCTCAGGTGATGAAGAGAAAATATGTAGTCATGTGCTCTGCTTTATAGAGGGCTTGTATGCTCAGCTCTCTGAACATGGTGAAAACTTAGAAAGTCCTCCTTGAAACAGCTGGTGCAGAGAGTTTAATCATCATCAGAATTGTCATCAGGAGGCCCTAGCACCAGATCTTTTGCACGGTCCCCCAGTCTTCTTCCCACCTTATCTATTTATCTAATTTACTTATTTTTTGTATTAAACTTAATAAAAAATGTTTCTAAAACTGTAACATATATATATAAATTGCAGGAATAAACTGAATGCATACACAGTCACACACATTTATTCCCGTCTTAGCTTCTTGCTACACACACACACATGCTAAAAAGTAAAATTGTCAATTTTTATTAATCAAATCTTTATTGCAAGGGTTAATGAGAAGTATTAAAGCAGAAGAATAAGAGGCAGACGGAACACATTATCCAGATGTGTATAGTGGGATAAAATAAATAGAAGAGTAGCATAGAGTAAAATAAAATGGACACCAACATTTTAAAAGTTACACCAAGTCACAAACTCCAAAGAGGAAAATTACAACACGTCGGGGGTCATTTCTTGGTGAGTTTTGCTTGCAGCAACACACAGAGTGGCAGGTGCCTTAAGAAACTACACTGCCCAGCATTCTTTGTGGGAAGCCATGACTGTTTAATGATGCTTTAAATGTATCATATGGCTGCAGCAAGATGGAGGCAAAGGGTGATGGGCCACAAAGGGGCAAACCATCTGGTCTGGAGTTGCTGGGCAATAAGTTGTGAACCACCCTGAGATCTACAGATGAAAGGCAGTATACAAAATTAATTAATGAATGAATTGATAATAAATAAGTTCTACACTACCAATATTAACTGTTTCAGTGTAAGAAGAGTCTGGCTGTGGGACCATCCAGCCTAGCATTCTACTTTCTGCAGTGACCAAGCAGATACCTCCAGGAAATCCACAGCAGAACAGTAGAGCCACACTCTGCCCCCATTGTTTGCCCCCAGCAAAGTGGCATTCTGAGGTAGACCACCTCTGGACATGCAGGTTCCTGTTGAAGACATTGAAGAATCTATCCTCCTAGAACCAAGGGACTTCAGTGTATCTGAATGTTGACAGGAAAGGCGTCATGATAGAAGCTTATGAAATTATAAACGGCATGGAGAAAGTGGATGGAGACATACTTGTCTCCCTCTCCCATAACACTAGAATTTAAGGATATCCAGCGAAGCTGAATATTGGAAGATACAGGACAAACAAAAGAAAGGACTTATTCACAGAGCTGTGATGCTCATGTAGTTCAACTAGATGGCTCAATGGCCTGATCCAGCAAACTCTCCTTATGGTCATCTGCCCCACCTTCTCCTTGCTGAAATAGGCTTTACCTACTTTATTAATATAAAGGTGATTTAAATAAAAGATAATGCAGCCTGTCAAGTAAACCATAGAGCCTTACATGTGTTGGTTGAGAGAACACCAGTAGAGAATTAAAACCACAAAATATGCAGCCAATTAAAACATGGAAATATAGGCTGCTGGACCTTTAAAATACGTCATTCTAAGTTCCGTCCAAAGTTTTCCACTTCCCCCAGCACAGAAAAAGACCACATGTCTGGTAAGGTAAAAATGGTTTACTTACAAACTCTTCAAAAATCAGGTTCATGTGCTTTTCCATACAGCAGTCAAAAAACATAGGCAGTAAAACTTATGTTAGTTCCAAAGTGGTGGAAGTTCCTAAATTATTTGTATAAGAACACAAGGGTGGCTGTGTGTGCGTGCTTAAGTCATGTGGTCTGAGCTTGGAGCAACCAGCTCAGACCTTTTTATAGACTGGAGTGCACATGTTAGACTGAGGCAAACAATATACCTGGCTTCCTTCCTCCCATGGTGAGAGGAGTGACCTAGCTACATGTGGCAGGTCTCTGGCGTAATACTCTCTGGCATTAACCCCTTTGTGCATTAATTACACTTAAGCATTTTGGTTATATGTGGCTGGTTATCCTACAGTATTTTAGCACCAAAGTCTGGAACTTGGCCCTGTAGGAGATTAGCAACCAGAATGGCTTGAAATGACACTTCTATTGCAGCAAATAGAAAGCCTTTTTCAAGCCTAATTCAGTGGGGGATGGAGGATTGGGGGGGGGTCACAACTGAATATGTAAAGGTTAAGCCTCCCCTCCCTACCTGTGACCCCACCCCCCATTGTTCATCAATTGTTGCAATTAAGCTTCAAAAAAAGCTTTTATTGGAGGTTTAAAAGCCAAATTATTGCAGGAGTGTGTGCGGTTTTTTTTCTGGAGATAGCAGCAGTGTAGGGGAAAAGGTTAACTCTTGCCTCCCCAGCTAGGCCTCTTCAGAAGATCATTCCACCGTGATTAAACATGGGGGCAGGGGGAAACAAAAACACTATTTTCAAGCCTTATTGCTGGGATAGCATACTCTTCAACATTTCTCTGATGAAAATAGCGGCATCCTATTCCCTACCTTCCAACATTTCTCCCATGAAAATAGGGACATCCTAGTGTGATGTGGGGAAGCTTGATGGGCTTTAAATGTATGGTGTGGGTCTGTTTTGAGTGTGTGTGGTTTGCACATGGTTGCAATGTTGTACCTGCAGCGGTTTGCCAAGGCCCCTCCTCTAAGTGGGCATGGCTCTGCCCAGCAAGTGAAGTTCCTGCCTTCATTGACTGGAGCATCCTCTTCCTGGCCATTTGCTTCCAGGTGACTGTATCCCAAACCCCTGTAGGAATGGAGGGACCTGCACTGAAGAAGGGGACCTCACAGGGTGCCTTTGCCTACCAGGCTACGGAGGAGATGCTTGTGAGATCGGTGAGTAGAACAACTGAGTCTGCTGCAAGGTATATGTTTGAACCCACACAGTGCCCACCAACCACTTGTCTATGGACGCTCCCAAGAGGTTTGAGATCTTTGACTGGAGTTATGTGCCCGCCATGAATATGTGTTCCTGCCTTATGCTCACAAGAAGTTAACACACTGGAGGAATAAAGGAAGATGTGTTCATTACATGAAATAAAAGTCACTGAGTATACGGGTGCTGTTTCAAACAGCAAGGTTACCAATAATAATCAGACAGTAAATCATACAGCATGTATCATACAGCATTGTTCTCTATCTTAAAGATTTAAACAGTCCTGACTATCCCAAAAGCCTAGAGCAGTGGTTCCAAAGCTCCCCACCCCTCGGTTCCATAAACCCATCCCTGGTACCCTCAACCTCCCTATTATACAGAATAGCAGTCTGCATGTTCCCCTAAGGAAGATAGTAACTCAATAGAATTCAGAACAGTAACCATTAATTGCACATTGATTCAAAATCCATTTAAAGCTATTTCGTTTAATTAATTCAACAAAACAGAAGGACTTGATCCAATGATACCAGCTTTTCAAAGTGATTTATACCCCCAGCATCCCCCTGCCACCCCTTTGCCTCTTAGCATGACCCCTACACAGTACCACCCCCCTCCAGAGGATGGTACCACTCGCTGGCCTAGAATGTGAGCATGACAATTTGCCACAGCACCCACACTAAAAGCAAAGTGAGAAAGGGAAGGAGAATAGTATATCTGTCTTCAAGGAAACAGTACCTAAGCCAGGAATCAAGAGGTCTGTGCCTTTTATTTGAGAGTCATGCTCTTCCTGTCAATAGCCTTCACTGGCAAGGCTACAGCATCTCTCTCACCCATTCCAGGGAAGTTGATATTTGAGATCATTGAGGAACAAGAGAGGGGGACCCCCTGGAACTTTCAGCTGCCCAACGTTAAAAAATCTGGACTTTAGGTTTTATTTTGGGCCATTGTTATGTTATGAAGGAGGGAGTGTTTTTCTTATAAGTGAGTGTCATAACACCTTTATTCCATTGCTTATTTCCTGCGAATTCCTGTATATTTATATTTAATATGAGAATGTGCAGATCTAATGGAACATTTCACACATAGTGTAGCTAAGCTGCCTTTAATCAGGCGACCTTTTTATTGCAAAGTAGGCTAGTTGATATTGCCTGTCTAACAAGCATTTTTGTCTCTCTCCTTTCTTTCTGCCAAGACCTGGAAAAATGCCGGCCTGGCTGGGACAGCTTCCAAGGGTTCTGTTACAAGCACTTCTCCACCCGGAGAAGCTGGGAGGATGCTGAGACCCAGTGCAGGAAGCTCGGAGGGCACCTGGCTAATATCATGACACCGGAAGAGCAGAACTTCATCAACAGTATGCCCGCCAGGGGTTTCAGTAACATGGGCTTAGTTAATGTGGCAGTAATCCAGCAGTACAAAAATGTGTATATTAGGGGAAAGTGTGCATTCAAATTCATCAGCTAGTGAAAATAACCCTCAAAAATGCATTTTATTAGGCAAAACTGTGTACAGTGAAGTATATGCACTAAAATGCACAACAATTTTTCATGAAGACTTAAACAAAATTAAACAATATAAAGAAAATGAAAAAGATTACAGTGGTGTAGCACAGTGCAATACAGAATGAATTCTTAAAAATTGCGGATTGGTGGGGAAACTGAATTTTATTAAACGAAATTTTATTAAACAAAAAACAAACAAACCTAAGAAATGGAGAGAAACCAGAATTGACATTTTTGCCCTCCCCATGCCATCTCTAACAACTTCTTTCAAAGAGAGAGTTTCTATAATTTCAAATCCAAACTCAGGAAAGTATCTCTTCCCCATGAAGCCTCAAGGACACTGCAGCCCACCCTGGAACGTTATCCTAGGCTGCCACCTAGAGTCATCTGATGGCACAGCAGGGCTGTTGTTAACGACTTCAAGTAGTTTCCTAATTGCCGTGTCTCTGTGCCTCATTCTTCTTCATCCATCCTCAAATCTTGTTGGCTTCTAGATAGGTACAAGGAGTATCAGTGGATCGGCCTGAATGACCGGACAATTGAAGGCGACTTCCAGTGGTCAGAGGGGAGTCCTCTGGTAAGTGATGTTTGCAAAAAAAAATACTGTATTATGCATGCTTTAAAATAAATAAATAAAAACAAAGGCTTCTGTTACATGCAGATCAGTGCCTAATTATTCTGAGAAAGGTGGGTTGTAGGAACAGCATAGGAAATTGCCTTAGACCAGACTATCAAGCTCAGTATTGCCTGCACGGACTGGCAGTACCTTTCCAGGATCCCAATCCTACCTGGACATGCTATCGGAGATTAAACTTGGCACCTTTTTGGAAGATGCCACTGGCCTGGAACAGGGACACTGTTCACGCTTGCTGTCATTTAGTGACTCTCTCTCTCTTTCTCTCTTGGGTAGCTTTATGAGAACTGGCATCCTGGGCAGCCCGACAGCTATTTCCTGTCTGGAGAGAACTGTGTCGTGATTGTTTGGCATGACGAAGGGAAGTGGAGCGACGTGCCTTGTAACTACCACCTGTCCTATACCTGCAAAATGGGGCTGGGTAAGCCTTGAGCTCTGGGCCTTCCCAGCTGTGGCCTTTGACTCAGAATTGTCGCTCTAGTCCAAGACCAAAGGCCCACCGAGACTTGTGACGTTTGTCGTTCATGTTTTTGAACTTCAAAAGGGAGAAACAATATATACATTGTTGCAGATAATAGTCCCCAACAGGCAGCAGTTTTCAAAATGTTATCATCTGACCCCTGGGCAGGGAGCAGAAGTAAGTGCCAGCTGTGTTGCACAAGCAATGATCTGTATTATACAGCTTGCAGAGATGGCTGCCATTTTTGATCAGGTATCATGATTGCAATTAAGTAAGTTTGCAAATAAAAAATTTAAAAAAATAGCATGCATGCAGTGCTCAGAGCTGTGATGAAAAAAAAGGCACTTCTGCTTTTGTGGGTAGGTGTCCTAAATAAGGATGTGGGTGACACTGTGGGTTAAACCACACAGCCTAGGACTTGCTGATCAGAAGGTCGGCAGTTCGAATCCCCGTGACAGGGTGAGCTCCTGTTGCTCGGTCCCTGCTCCTGTCAACCTAGCAGCTCGAAAGCACGTCAAAGTGCAAGTAGATAAATAGGTACCGCTCCAGTGGGAAGGTAAACGGCATTTCCGTGCGCTGCTCTGGTTCTCCAGAAGCGGCTTAGTCATGCTGGCCACATGACCCGGAAGCTGTACGCCGGCTCCCTCGGCCAATAAAGCGAGATGAGCGCTGCAACCCCAGAGTCGGCCACGACTGGACCTAATGGTCAGGGGTCCCTTTATCTTTTTATCCTAAATATGTGGTGCCAGTTTGTGTGAAGGTGAAAATATCTCAGAAACAGGCAGTATTAGTTCTTTTAAAACCAGGTTGAAATATTCCTCCTGCTGACATTTTCTAAATATATGTGCATAAGTAACTCACTTTTGGATTCGATAATATTTGACGATAACTTTGACAAAAGCATTTTGGACATGCTGATGGAGGTTAAGGCCATCAGTGTCTATTAGTCATAATGCTTAAATTGAACCTCCCTGTTCAGAGGCTGCATACCTGGGTGCAAACAGGTAGGGGATGACTACCACCACTGTGGAAACCTAAGCATCTTTTGAAAGTGATAAAAGAAAAGAACTAACACCTTGCCTCATGGGCAGGTCAGCCCTGCCAGACACTAATGAAAAAGGGTGTGTTGCTGTGACATTAATTGCAAGCTGAATCCAACCTTTGGACAAGTCCAGGCTCAGTTTTTTTATTAGCCTGGAAGTTCTGAACTGGGGAAGTTTGTCTTCGAAACTCCCTCATTTTGAGTGATTCTAATGTTTGCCAACCTATTGGGATAGCACATGCTATTGTGTCCCAGGCACCAGAAAATTTGGTGGCATTGGCATGAAAGGCAAGCTGAATCTGAGTTTCTTTTTTATTTTATTTATAGAATTTCCAAATTTACAATTAATCTGACATTTTCCAATGTACATTCACATAGTATTTGACTTCCCCTCCACCCTTCCATGGTCCCCTCTGATTATCTATTGCTGCTGCATATTATTATTAATCTATACCTTCTTTCCTCCACCTTATTCTCAGTATAGCTTTTACTGCTTTACTTACTCCAAACCTCCTAGTGTTTTAGCATGTTTACAATAGTTTTTTAAGTAATCTACAAACATTATCCAATCCTCCTTGAAGGCTGTCTCATCTTGCCATCTAATCTGAATCTGACTTTCTAACCAGGCTCAGCTTGCAATTAGCCTGAAAGGTCCTAATTGGAGAAGTTCATACCCCAAACTCTTTCATTTTGAGCATATCATTTGTTCTAACCTTTGCTAATTTGCTGGGGCAGTACATGACTGAGAATATACTAGTAGATGTTGACCCTGTTCACCTTCTCTCCAGTCTTTTGCGGCCAACCCCCAGAGGTGGCAGATGCCCAAATATTTGGCAAACCAAAGCAGCGTTACGAAATCAACTCTTTCATCCGGTACTGGTGCCAAGAAGGGTTCACCCAGCGCCACTCCCCTGTCATCAGGTGCCAGGAGAACGGCGAATGGGAACAGCCGTCATTCACCTGCATCCCAAGTGAGTCATTACATGGAGATGGCTAGATCTCTAGCTGCTTTGGACTGTTTTGTGTTGTGGGAGGGGTTTAGGATGGTGGAAGGAACTGAGCTAGGAACTCTCTTGCACGGGTCTCTGGCAGCTGGGTCAGTTACCTTATTCTCTGTGAAACTGGGGCAGCTTTATAGGGAGAGGGAACAGCCAGCCCAGCATCTGCTGCTCTATAGTGCCTCCACTGCAGGTGGCCAGCAGAGATACTGTAGCCTTCAGCCTAGCAGAATCCAGCAACCTGGGAGAACCAATCAGCCCCTTTGCAACCATTCATAAGCACTGTGTGATTTGTGCTTCCACACCCCACTTTTTTCAGGGATTGATCAACCCCAGGAATGAAGATTTACCTGTGACTGTCTATCATCCCAGATTCACGAGCAAGTCAGGACTGATTTTGCATAAATCAGCATGAAAAACCAACAAGGAACAACAATGGTGCCTTCCGTTTCCCTTATTCTTTTATTATTATTATTGTTATTATATGAGTGTATATATAAAGAAATTCTAATAACTAAATATTTCCTTTTAAAGACACCCTCTTTCTCAGCGACAATATAAAATATAACTTTTTACTTTGTGCAATGAGCATTTTTCTCCCTCTTTCTCTCTCTGCCAAAACTGAACTAGCATAACTGTCTCTCTCATAATGGGGTTCTATATACCAAGCTTTGGGGAGCATGTCCTTCATTTTTATTTTGTCATGTGATTCCTGGCTTCTCCAGGTAGGGCTAGGAAAGACTCTTGCCTGAAACCCTGGAGACCTAGGCCCCATCCACACCTCAGCTTAATGTGGAATATGTGCCCCTTCCATGTGTTCTCCCTCATCTGTACAATCTTCACCGGAAGCAGCTGTTTTCTCCAGGTTTCTCCCTGCTAAATCCAGAGTTTCCCTGTCCTTGGGAAATCCTGTTTCCTCCTAACTATATGTTAAAAGGTGAAATATTAGCCAGTCATTCTGGAATATTAACTAGTCATCTGTCACAAAGCAAAGACTGGCCCAAACTAGCTGAATGACTGTATCCAAACAAAAGTATCAGCACGTGGGCTGTCCTTGCTAAGAACCAGGGTAGGGTGGGGTGGGTGGAAAGAAGGATGCAATAACATAAGAAGAGCCTGCTGGATCAGGCCATTGGCCCATCTCGTCCAGCAGCCTGTTCTCAACTGGCTAGCCAGATGCCCCAATGGGAAACCCATAAGCAGGACCTAAGTACAAGAGCCCTCTCCCCTCCTGTGGATGCCAGCAATTGGTATGTGAAAGCATCACTGCCTCTGACCATGGAGGCAGAGCATAGCTATCATGGCTAGCAGCCATGGATACCCCTCTCCTCCATAAATAGGTCTTATCCTCTTTTAAGGCCGTCACTACTTCCTGTGAGAGCAAGTTCCATAGATTAATAATGTGCTGCGTGAATAAATCATTTGTTTTATCTGTTCTGAATCTTCCAACTTTCAGCTTCACTGGATAGCCACATGTTCTAGTGTTATGAGAGAGAAAAACTTTTCTGTGTTCCCCCTTCCCATGCTGTGCATAATTTTATAAATTTCTATCATGTCACCTCTTACAGTACTTGCCTTTTCTCTAAACTAAAAAGTCCCAAATGTTGCAACCTTTCTTCATAAAAGTTGCCCTTTTTCTGAACCTTCTGAAGAAGGTTGGGCATCTGTCATGGAGAATGAGAGATGGAAGAAAGAACTGAAAATCTCCTGGTGGTGCAGATTACAATTGCATTCAGCAAGCTGGTTCTTTCCACCACGCTGGCAGGCAGGGGGTGGGGTGGGGAATAGCTAGCTTTCTATAAACTTTTCTGATGTGCAATGGAATTCAATGGCTTTCTCTCCCTGAAGAAAGATTCCATTAATCACAGTAACAACACTCTTCACTCCTTCCTCAGCATGTTTATTTAGAAGTAAATCCCAAGTTTGAGGGTACAAAGCACTCTGCACATGCACAATGTAACTGAATAGTTTATGTATTTACATTTACTTATTAAAATGTCCCTTTGCATCCATGTGCAAGAAAGCACATATCACTAAGTGTGATTAGTCACAGAATGGAACACTCTGGACCAGTCTTCATCAACCTAGTGTCCTCCAAATGTTGTTGGACTACAACTTCCATCAGCTCCAGTCAGCACATTGTAATCCAGTTTGGAGGGTACCAGATTGGCAAATGTTACTCTAAGCCATCTTCTAGGCATAATATGACAGTTAAGAGCCTCCTTACATTGTGTTATTTTGAGATTGACCTAGATCATACTCTTCCTCCAACAGCCAGATACCTTTGAGAAGCATAAAAGCAGAATGCAAAAACAACATCCCTCTGTTGTTTCTGTCTTAGCACTTAGCATTCAGAAGTGTATAATGCCTCTGAATATGGAAGGCCAACTGGCCACTGTAGCTATCAAGCAGGACCTGCAACAGAAACTTGCAACATGGGATGTTCCTGTTCCAGGTTCCAACCAGCCAGCTTTTTTCTAGGGTACTCCATTCCATTCCCCAGCATCCCAACCAGATTTTCCATTCCTCCTATATACACACAACAGGCAGCCAACATGCCATGCCTATTGAGCATGCTCAGTCTCCACTTGGCTGTTGGGGGGAGGGGATTCCTCCCTCCTTTAGGTTTCACCCTATATAATTTGCCTAAGCAAGACTTTTTTTTAAAAAATGAATGGATGTTTGTCAAACTTTTTAATCTTTGGTGCTGAACACTAAAAAAGTGGTCTCTAGATGGGGACGTGTGGCTGAGGCTCATGCTGATTGGAAAATGTGGGCATCCAGCATTTGCCAAAGACTCACACTTCTTATCCACACATATTTCCTCTGCTCTTTCCAGGCACAGTCCACTCTTAAAAGCACTGTGTCTGAGCACCCTTTTTTCTCCGGAACTTTCCCTGCAAAAACCTGCTCTTTAAAGCTGAATCAGAGCAAATGGCAATCCACAGACACCCTAAATTGCTGTTTGCTCCAATTGAGCACTAAAGAGCAGTTTTTGCATGGAAAGCTCTAGAGAGGGAAAAAGGGCCCTCAGACACAGAGCTTTAAAGCATGGACCTGTGTCTGGAAAGAGCAAGGCAAAAGGTAAGTGTGGCGAAGGCGGAAAAACAGCCACACAGACAGAAGTTGAAGACTTGTTGCCAGACAAACTGCCCTCTGACCCTCCTAGCTTTTCCTGCATCCATGTCTAGAATGGTGCATTGTTTCCTGTGCTCCTGATGAAATTTTATGCTGCAGACCTCTTTATAGAAGTCGCAATTTGCCTCCTGCTTTTTGGAATGGATCACCTGGCTCCTGATTCCTTCCCCATAACTCCTGATCGCCCCACTGTTTTCCAGATTTCACACTCGATCCACATCTTGTTTCTGTTCCCAGATCTCAAATAAAATCCTGTGTTCACAAACAATTTCCATCAGCCCCAGCTGCTTAGACTCCCAATTCAAATCAGCTCCAGGCTCCTCTAGTAAGTGTCCTTGATCTCTGATAATTTAAAGAACTACAATATCACTTTAACCAGTCATGACTTCCTCCGAAGAATTCTAGATGGGCCCAAGTGTCAGTAGATGGCTGAGGTGGGCAGGATACCTTTCTTCAAAACTGAAAAACTGGAGGTTGTACAAAGTCAGGAAGAATAAAAATCAAGATTCCAGGTTTAGATATTTTTTAAAAGAATACTTAATAAGGTAGTGAAGCAATGGCTGGGTTTGCAAGCAAATGTCCATATTAACAGGACATTTGTTGCAAAGTTAGTGCCTGTTTTGGGAGGTATTCACTTTATTACTAAAAGCAGTCAAGTATTGCATTAATTGGGGCAAGATAATGGGATCTGGCACACTGAGAACAAACTGGTTCTGAGTGTGCATGTAAACAGGCACAGAGAGAGAGACATAGACCCCAAGTGTCAGTGGTGGGTGGGACATTTCTTTCCAAACCTAGGAAAAATGTAGAGGTTGTACAAATTCAAGAAGAAAAAGTCAGGACAAGGCTCCAAAAATACCTACACTTGAATACACAACGGCAGTTTGTGTGATTCCAAAGTCTGTGACCTATGAACTCCATCCTTAGATTAAGATAGGGATCATAGAAAAGTCATGGTGAGGAACAGCCCCTGTGCGATGTCATACCAACACCCTCCAAGGGTGTCCTTGGGGAAAGAGATCTTTTGCAAAAGGGTTGTATGTGTGTCATTTTGTGTGGTCCTCTTTGGGCCTAGCTGGCATCTAAACTTCTCTGTCTCTCTCATCCTCTCTACTTCACTGAGAAGCAGTAGACTCCATATTTCTTCCGTAACTTGCTGGGAAATCCAAAGCTGTGGACGCTGGGATTTGTGAGCCCCCCGCAGTGGGCACGGGGAATGTTGATCGGAAAGCGCACACTGCCGTCATCAAGCCAGCCTCCGTCACAGCGGTCCAGCTGGGAGAATTTCCACGCAGCGTACAGCTGCCCGACTTTGGCGATGGCAGCCCTGTCGTTGCGGCAGGCTTGAGTGGCTTCCTTGAAATTCATGTGGCCCCGGATGAAATAGACCCGGCCTGGGCAGAGGAGCAGAGGGGAAAGAAGCAGAAGCAGGAAATGATGTTGAGGGAGTTAGAGTCAATGCACAAAGGATTTAGCTACGACCCGGCTGGACTGCTGTAATATGCTCAATATGGGGCTGCCCTTGAAAAGTGTTCAAAAGCTTCAGCTAATCCAAAATGCTGCAGCCAGACTGCTGACTGGAGCCACAGGGAATATGTTACTTCCTTGCTAAAACAACTTCTCTGGCTACCAGTCCATTTCTGGGCACAAAGTGCTGGTTATGACTTATAAAGCCCTAAATGGCTTGAAACCCAAGCCACCTTAAAGTTACTATCTCCCTATACAAATCTGCCTTGGTGCCAAGATCCTTGGGTGAGCACCTTCTATCTGTCCCATAAACATGATTTGTGATGACCTGAGAGAGAGCCTTTTCTGTGGCTGCTCCCAGATTGTGGGATTCCCTCCCAAGAGAGGCTAGACTGGTTCCCTCTTTGTATCACCTTCTGCCGGCACGCTGAGACCTTCCTGTTCAGACAGGCCTTTGGAAACTAAGGGACAGACGAAGCTGATCACTGGGCCGCCATCAAAGCAAACTGTGTTTTAATTGCTGGTTTGAAATGCGCCTTGAATCCCAGTCTGAGAAAGGCCAATAGAAATGCATTCAATAAATAATATAGGAGAATTGCACAGCTTGTGGAAACTGCCAGGGTATGAAAAGACTAGCAAATGGCAGGGAGCAGGGCAGAAAGACTACAAGCCCCAGTATTCATTAGTTCCTTCCTGCTCAGCATTAAAATCTGAGGAACCAGAATAATATTTTAACAGGTATCCTACACATTGTTGCACACACCCCAATCTCCAGGCAATGAGAGACTCCAGGGACGTCTGTGTTTTCCCAGAGTTTGGTCTCCTTGGAATGAAGGTCGATGGAGACTATGGTATTTTTAGGATATATGGTTTTATTTACTCACATATACAACATATATACTCCCTAGGATGGAGGGGCACACAGCAATAACACTCCAACAGATCTTGCTTCCCCATTAGTTTTCCAGGTATATCTCGCAGCCACAGCTTTGGAATCCAGCACAAAAGCAAGACAAGCCGCCTAGGATGATGTAGCCTCCACCCAGGGTGCGGGGGGGGGGGGGGAGGCCTACCCATTTGTCTATATGCCCACCTTCTTGGGCATGTAAATGATGGTACTTAACTAGCCAGCCAAGGCCACTACTTTAACAAAGAGGATAGTCTGATTGGTTCAGCAGGTTCCTCTCATAGATTCTGACCCCACATACACAGGATCACAGGTTTGGAAGGGACCCACAAGAATCAACAGATAATATCTAAAGAATGAAGGTGGTGGAATAGAAGCCGCTTTGGTAGGGGGAGGAAATATTTCATCAAAATTGTTTCGGCATAGTGCTACTTTAGAGAAGTCACTGATGATTTCAAAATGAAAAAGACTAGAAAAATAAAGCATAAAAATATATGGCCTTTTAATGCCATAAAATTGAATTTTTTCGTTCATGACTTATGAGATTGTCTATATGGGATAGGAAAGGGGGTGAGGGAGAGCTTAAGGGTATGTTACAAGTCTGTGTCAAGCCCAAACAAATTATGCTTGGGCGCTTGGTTTGGGAAAGGTTATGAAACCTAGAGCGCTAGCCTCACAACACTCTTACGAGGCAGAATGCCACTTTTTACTGAAAGGTGAAAGGACCGAGGAGAGAAAAACTGCTTGTCCAGAGATGCACACAGAGTCCAGGAAACAACTGCTGAGAAGCATTAATCTGAGCTACATAAACAAGTTTATTTCTAAGAGTAGGGGCTAGAAATTTGCTTCGTATATGAATCACGCCAAGCCTCTGGCTTCGTCTGCACCCACATACCTTTCACAGCTGAACTGAAACAGAAGGCATCAAACCGATCTTTCAGCTTGTCCCTGGCGCCATAACTTCGAACCCCTGGGAGAAGAAGACGTCCCCCACAGGGCTCGCGGGAGTTAATGATGGGGTAATGGACTGTTCCTTCCATGACCCATCCTGCGTTGCACCAGTCCAGCCCTTCTGTCCAAGCTAAGTGAAGAGGAAGCAACAAATGCAATACAGCGAGTTAACTGAGCGCCAGTTGCTTCCTCTGATCCATTCCCTGCACCTTGAAGCAACATCCATCAACCAGTCAGGGGATGCTTGTTCTCACCATCTCTATCTATGCCAGAACAAGCTTCATTAGGTTGTTTCTAAAAGTGCAAGGTGCAGGATAACAAAAACAAGCAATCAGTCAAGAAACAAAGGAGGGCATTTCAGGGTTTCCCTTTTCCTTTCGGAAGGAGAAAGAGTCATGAGTGTTTCTTGTTCATTCCAAAAAAAAAGACACAGTTTGGCTGAAACACAAACAAAGGCTTTGTCTATTTTTAGATGGTTTCGGGGCAGTCACACACAATCCCACTTTCAGTACTGCTGCCTTGTTTCCCGTCAGTGCCAGTCTTGTAGCTTCCTCCTGGAATCCTGTATTTTTATGCCACAAACATTTTTGGTGTTTGATTTTTATTCCTGTCCTGCTTTTGCTGCACTATCCTGCAAGATGGCAATAATGTAAAACTGGGGAAACATTGGAGGAGAACTAATAAACCAAAATAATGTGTGGATGGTCCAGTATAAATCAACCATGAATGCACCTATAGTATCAATGACATGTCACAAAAATGCACCCACAAAACCCCCTGCCAATTTGGAGGGCCCTTGGAACTTTCAGAGGAGCTATTTGTTTATTTGTAAAAAATAGTTATATATTGCTATTCATATTCTTTTAAAAAACTATTAAAGTGGTTTACAACAATTGTACATAAAACCACACATTAAAAAGCACATAAAAAATAAAATCAGAAATGAGCTTAACAACTGTGGAAAAAATTATTATTAATTGCCTGCATAAACTGGACGGAATAGAAAAGTTTTCAGCGTGCGTTTAAAAGTTAAGACAGAAGGTGCCTACTGAATTTCAATTGGCAGATTGCTCCACAAGACTGGGGCCTCTTCAGCAACCACAGCATGATTGCTGTTTCTTTATTAAAACATTGATATACCACCCCTCATTTTTAAAAAGCTCATATCCAAAATAACAAAACATGAAAAAACCTCACTGAAGAACAGCAAAGACACAGCAGCAAATAAACCCCACAACCCAACCAAAACAAAGCAAAGCAATAAAAGCCATCCCTAGCAGGTGAGTAAGAAAACATTGGCAAAAATTGGGTTACCTTTATAAAGTTGCCCGTAGTTTGCCAGGCGGGAGTCCTGCTCTTGACAAGCCTTTTTGGCCTCAAAATAGTTGAATTTGTAGCGCCCTTGGCTGGTCTGGTAGGGGAAGACAATTCCTGGAGAGAAGGAGTAAGAGAATTTTGGGAAGGAGGTGAGTAGGGGGTGATGAGCCTTGAGTTACCTTTTTTAAAATAAGTATTTCATTATTAAATTTATTTGAAAGTACAAACTGAAAATAAAAGGCAGAGGGTGAGTGTTAACATAACAGGCTTAGCATTGCTCAGTAACTATACATAGTGATAATCTTAACATTGGCCCCACTTACACTATATATTTAAAGCATTGAGAGGCAGTGAGCTTCATTGCCGGCTAGGAGGGAATTTGAATGCTTATCTCTCCCAAGTCCTAGTCTGACACTCTAACCACTACACAACACTGGCTTATACTTGCACACTGGTTCCAACCTGTCTTGCAAGGCCTCCATAGATCTATATTTTGCAAATTGCCCTGTGATCTTCGGAAGAGCAGTATATAAATTTAATTTAATTGAAGAAGAAGAGTATCCCGCTTTATCACTGCCCGAAGGAGTCTCAAAGCGGCTAACATTCTCCTTTCCCTTCCTCCCCAACAACAAACACACTGTGAGGTGAGTGGGGCTGAGAGACTTCAAAGAAGTGTACTAGCCCAAGGTCACCCAGCAGTTGCATGTGGAGGAGCGGAGATGCGAACCCGGTTCCCCAGATTACGAGTCTACCGCTCTTAACCACTACACCACATTGGCTCTCTAGAAGAAGAAGAAGAAGATGACGACTTCTCATGCCCTCAGGAAAACGGCCGCACCAGTCCCCTTACCATCTAACTGCAGGACCAGAGATATGCTCTCATCCTCCAGGCCGTTGATCAGCTGGCAGCGGTAGCGCCCCTCATCATCCAGTGCCACGTCAGAGATGGTCAGCGAGGCATCGTAGCGGTGGCTGCGCCTCAGTCGGGCCCGGCTGCCCAGCGGGCCGTAGGTTTTGTGGTGCACCCCGCTGGTGATCAGAATGACAACCTCCATGTATTCGGCCGGTTCCACTTTGCTCCACCTGACCTTGTAGTTTGGGGGTAGCGTCCTCAGGATGCAGGGCAGGGTGACGGTGGCTCCTCTCTGAGTGTGCACTAGCTTGGTCATTGGCTGCAGCAGGTATTGGAGGGGCGCTGGTGTTGCTGTGGGTGAGAGGGAAGGAAGGAAGGAAGGAAGGAAGGAAGGAAGGCCACTTCAGTACGGCCACATACACACCATACCTTTAAAGCACTATGGCGCCACTTAAACAGGCATGGCTTCCCTCAAAGAACTCTGGGAGCTGTTGTTTCTTAAAGGTCCTGAGCGCTGTTAGGGGACCCCCTATTACCTCCACAGAGCTACAATTCCCAGAGTTCCCTGTGAAGCGAGGTAGAAATTCTGCAAACCCCGTCTTCAGGAAAGCCAGGGCGTCCTGACCACAAAGCGAGAAAGAAGCAGTTGTTAGCAGGAACCTAAGGGCTGAATGGTACAGTGGAAAATAACTCCAGAAAAGGTGCATACAGCAAAAAAACAAACAAACCCTTGGGTTGTGTTAAGAGACTCTGGTTGGAGGTGGTGGACTGGCAGAAGGTGGTCGGTCGGCTAGAGGATGAAACAGCTTAGATGATGTATTTTTCCTAAACACAATGTGCCATAATGGAAATGCATTACTGAATAAAGTCTGATAAACTGGGAATTTGGGGTGAGCCTCTGTATTGAACCCACAAAAGGAATTTTCTCCTTCAGAAGAGGGAGTTGTATTTCTGTGATAGGAATAGTGGCCTCCTGACAACTCTCAGCACCCTTCACAAACCTCAGCTCCTTGAATTATTTGGCCCTGATTTATTTATTTTTAAAAAATATTGCCAGGACAGTGTTTTAGTGCTAAATAAACTGTTGATAAAAGTGAGGTGTGCCATAGAATGGTGGCCATTGCAAGGGTTAAAACTGAATGTGTGCTGAGCCGTGATATATGGCTTTGGATGGGGGGCAGACGAAGGGCTGAGAGGGCTGTTGGAGGCCCCAACAATCAGCTGATCATCCACATAGGTAAAAACAGGCAACCTGGCCTCATTGTGAGATGGGCATTTATTCAAAATCCACTTAAAATGATTTAGCATGATTAACTAATACAACAAAGTCGATGAATGTGACCCGTGATACCAGCATCTCAAAGTCTGATATTTATGCCTCCAGTGCCCCTCTACCACCCCCTTACTTCTCAGCACCCCCTAGTTAATTCCCCCCAGGAGGCATTACCCACCAACTTTGGGAACCACTGTGCTCAGAGATCCAGTTCTTCTCCTGCTGTGGTTATATGCGAAATCAGGCAGAGTCATCTCTGTGTGTTTGTATGAGACTTACACACCTGGATTTCCAGTTGGCTTTTGGTAAATAGCGGGGATTTCCGGAAGAGAGGAGAGACATAAGGAAGCCAAGATCAGGATCTGGTGCATACTTCAAAGGCAGAGGGGGGCCTTGCCTGAAAAATGAGTGACAATTGAGAAGGACCCCCCAGCGCTCTCACACACACATACTGACAAATACACTTCCACTATGAGCAACATAACTGCCTGCTGGATCTGGCCCATGGACCATATAGCTCAGCATCCTGTTCTCACAGTGGCCAACCTGCAGAACCTGCAGAAAGCCAGCAAGCAGGAGCCAAGCACAAGAGCTCCACCCCCCACCCATGGTTTCTAGCAAGTGGTATTCAGAAGCATTACTGCCTTTGATTGACTAGGCAGAGCTTAGCCAACATGACTAGCAGCCATTGACAGCCTTCCCCTCCATGAATTTGTCTAATACTCTTTTAAAGCCATTCAAGTTTGTGGAAATCGCTCCCTCATGTGGGAGGGAGTTCCACAGTTTAACTATGCACTGCAAGAGCAAGTACTTTCTTTTATCTCTCCTGAATCTTCCAACATTCAGCTTCATTGGATAGTCTCCATTGGGTTCTAGTATTATGAGAAGGGGGGACGAACTTTCCTCTCTCCACTTTCCCCATGCCAAGCATCAACTTCTATCATGTTATCTCTGACTCGCCTTTTTTCTAAACTAAGAAGTCCCAGACACTTTCCACGTAGGGGAGTTGTTCCTGGGTGTTCCTTTTCTAGCATCTGGTTTCTAACAAGGACAGCCAGAGAACCCCAAGGAAATTCATGAGCTTGAAAATTCTAGACCAACCTTCCTCAACTTCCTCTTCCAGTTGTTTTAGACTACAGCTCCCATCAGCCCCAGCCAGCACAGCTGTTTTCGCAGCAGCAAACCAGATGCCCCAACAGAAAGCTCACAAACAGGACCTGAGAGCAACAATACTCTCCCCACTGGTGGTTTCCACCAGCTGGTATTCAGAGGCATATTGTCTCTGATAGTGGAGGCAAAACATAGCCATTGATAGCCTTATCCTCCATGAATTCATCTCATCCCTTTTTTTAAAGCTGTCCAGATCAATGACCATCATCATCACAACCATTCATACACCACAAGTAGAGAACAGAGAGAATCAGAGAAGGTCCCACCACCCGTTACCATACCTCTCTAGAAAGACAGGTAAATCGTCCAGCCACTTTGACGAGATTGCAACGGAAGCTGTCAGGAGACACCGAACCTGTAGCTTCTCATGAGAGTACAAAACCAATCCAGGGACACATCTCCATGGAGCGATGAACTGTTGTTCCTCTTAATCCAGCCTCATGGTCAACATCCCCCATCCCCACCACACAGATCATAGAGAAGAATGGAAGTCCATCTCTGCCAATGTCACTAAGACAAGTTCTCCGGATGAGAAGCATTCCATCTCCCAGTAGGAACACAGGTCACCATGTCAATGCCAGTTGGACCTCACGAAGACATCCTTATGGTGGCGGCGGAGAGGTTGGCCAAGGAAGATGATAGTGATGCCCCACTTAGGATGATGATGTCTGATTTTCCCTCATCCTTCTTCTGAATCCTTTCCTGCTGCCTCTCTTTCTCTCCTCTGGATGTGAGGTCCCGTCAACAGTTTGCACATTTTTCTGTTTTGTTTACCCCGCCCCAAGAATACATTAAAATGAAAGAAAGAAAGCAGAAACAGATTCTCATTGTTCTGCTTGGCAAACAGAACAACCCTCCTCAAACAAGCTTGCCTTTATTCCGGGGGAATTCAGACAAAATGTCAACACAGCCCTCATGCCGGCTTCTGGCACCTTCCATGGTCCCACTCCTCACGCAGAAGATCTTAGTAAACAAGCCAATGTGCCTTTTTTGGGGGGGGGGGAGGCTGAAGCTCCAGAGAGTTTCCCACAATGCACCACATCCTAAAGCTGTGTCCAAATTCCAAATTATTATTCTAGCCACTGAAGAGGCCAATCCTCACAGAATGCTTCAGACTAGCTATGTTAGTCATTCTGGTGGGAATCCAAGTGGTCATCCTGGAATAGATGCTCTAAGCCTTGGGAGCTTATGATTCTCAATTGCTTTGAGGTTTTTGAATATTAGTCAGCGGTTCTTCATTTTCGAATGCCGGCCATACAGGCCGCCTACAAATGGCAACATTCAGCCACAGCCCATCCAGAGGCAGCCGATAGGGCTAAATTTGTGGGGTGGAGGTGGAAAATGTAACTTGTCCTTTCTCTGTATGTGGGACCCAGTTGCTAGGTAAGGAGCCCTGACTTCATTCCTAGAAGGAAACAGCTCAAGATTGATATATGTTTTGATCTCCTGATCAAAACATTATTGTTGTCAAAGCATTTGGTTATTCCTGATTTTATCTTTTCGGCGTTTTAAAGAGGGCTTTTTTAGTGATCATTTTATTGTTTTATTCTCTTTGTAAACTGCTTTGAGGTTGTTGTTTTTAACAATCAAGTGGTGTGTAAATTTTACTAAACAAATAAATAAGCTTTTGCTGCCAACGTTCTGTGATGGATTAGATGGTGTAAACTTGACATATCTGCATAATTTTGACGCAATTTCTGTGACTGATTCCCGTCACAAAAAACTGTGGGTGGGATGGAGAGAAAGAGAGACCTAATTCTGTCAGCAGGGACTGTCTTGTTATTTTTCTCATGAAAGCTGCATTGGGAGCCTTTTTAAAACTGAAAAGAGGGGTTAAAATGCTCTATTTTAAAAAAAATAATATTTATTACTTTTATGGATTACAAAAAGAGAAGAAAAAAACAGAAAAAAAGACAAAGGAGGAAAGCAAAAACCAAAAAACAAAAACCAATACAATATATAGACAATGCAAAACACAACCTAAACTCAAAACTAAACACATTAAACTAAACTAAACAAACCCCACTCCCTAACCTTAACCCTAAATAAAACAAAACAAAAACAATTTAAAAACATACATCATCCCTTTTCCGTACTCTATCTTTCATTCCCTTGTTTCCTCGACCTCCTCTCACCTCCCTTTTTGTATTCCACTTCTATTAATTGTTTCAGCAAATCCTTTCCATCTTTCTCCATTTTCTATCATATTGTAAATAACATATTTTTTAACCTTATTTTCCATTAAAACTAAAATACTTATATATGCTTAACTCCTTATAACATTTCTGCTAAGCCCATAAAAGATCATTCCACCATTTTTCTATCACTCATTAGTTTTACCATGTGTCTATATATAAACTTTAAATTTTCCAATCTTCTTCCACCATCTCCTCTCCCTGGTTTCGGATTCTGCCAGTCCTTTCCGTCAACTCCATAAAGTCCATCAACCTGGTGATCTTATGTCCGAGGCTCTTAACTCTTTTCCAAGTCCCTTCTGCAGGTCTTCTTCATTTTATTTAATGCTAAAGAGCAAATCTCAGGGAAACTCCAATCCTTTTCTTCCTTCTGAACAGATCAGCCAAATTTCCATAGTTAAAGCTACAGTCCATAAAGTATTTCAGGGCATATTTCAAGATTCCTCCAAGTCCAAACGCCCCCAAAACAGGCCCGAGTCCATGTCCCAAAAGTCAGTTAATCCCTGCATAGAGGGATCTTTCCAACTTTCCTTCTTTAATCCAAGCCGGGATCCATTCCTCAGAGTCTGACTTTTCCTAGATTCAATCATAAAAGGCCTCAACTTATAGTCCTCAATTTGCTTCTGTAAAGCCACGGATCTCACTTGTATTACTTTATGTTCAACAACAGCAGCTTTCTCCTTCTCCTCCTTCTCCTCCACCATTTGTCCTGCCAAAATGGATTCTTGTACCAAGTCCTGAATTATTTCTGTGTTGGTGTTCACTTTTTGACTCAAATTAGTCACTTTCTGTTCCAAATTATCAACTTTAAAAGTCATGTCATCCATCTTCTTGTGAAGCTGTCCCAGCGAACAGCTTATCTTACATAAAACAGTCACAATGGCCTCTCCTGTCAACATTTTTGAATGGTCCAAGGTCAATCTCTGGTTCTCAGAATCCTTATCTGCAGCTGGAAATCCCCCAGTTACACTCCTGTAACAGTTTCAAAAGCTCCCTCTAGAGGGAAACAGTCTCCACTGGTATCAGTTCTTTCCGGCACAACTCAAGCATTAAAGATAAATTTTCAGTTACTTTTCCTCTTTTTTAAACGCAGAGGAGGACAATGGAAACAGTATCTTACTCTTATTTAGCTAGCTGTCAAATCCGTTCTGTCAAATGCACTCTCTCCAAACGTCATCTGGCAGCCCGTTCCCAGGTTCAGAGCAGTGATAATTTGATTTTTCACTCTCTCCTGCAGGCTCACTAGATCCAAAATTTTCCCCTCTTCTCCTGCTTCCAAGGGGGGTTTTGTATTTTAAACCGATGGAAATTTAATCCTTTGCCAAAAGCTTTCAAAGACTTTAACTTGTAACGTCTTTACTTCAGTCTATTTACAAAAACGGAAGGCGGACTTCCTGTTTATGACCTTCCCGCTTCAGTGCCAAATTAAAGTATTTAAAAATCCAATTTTCCGTTTTACTCACTGGTAGTTGTTTAAAATCCAATTGTCCACAGGAAAAAGTCAGCACTCTCCGGCAACAGCAATGCGGCTTCACTCCGTGAAAGAAGCAGTCGATTCAAAGCACCACGCCACTCACCCCACGTCGCTCCGGATCCCCAAAACAGGGTTTCCCCGTGAGTAGGGGAGGCGCAAAAGGTGCCAGCCGAATCCCAGGTTCACAAGCTTCTCCCGCTTGTGATTTCAATGGGTCTCCACCTTCGCCGTGGTGGTCAGACCCTGTTTTTCACGGAGCAAGTTCCTCCCGAACAGAGGAGCTCCGCCATTGCCGGAGGCGCCAACCCGGAAGTCTAAGTAAGTAAATCGATGACGACGACAACAACAACAACAACAACAACAACAATTTATATGCTGCCCATCTGACTGGGTTGCCCCAGCCACTCTGGGTGACTTTTGAAAATTTAAAACATCAAACACAGTAAAACACCAAACATTAAAAACTTCCTTAAGGCTGCCTTCAGATGTCTTCTAAAAGCCAGATAGTTGTTTATTTCCTTGACGTCTGATGGGAGGACATTCCACAGGGCAGGACTGACTACCAAGAAGGCTCTCTGTCTGCTTCCCTGTAATCTCACTTCTCCACTGAGGGAACTACCAGAAGGCCCTTGGAGCTGAATCTCAGTGTCTGGGCTCAACAATGGGCAGCGGCGTAGCTAGCTGCTTGGGCTCCCGGGGTAGTGCAAATGCCCTGCACCCGGGGGCAGGGCAAGCCGGGGCAGAGCACACTGCATGGAAACTCCACGGAGTCTGCAAGCCCCATGTTGCCGTTTCGGGCAACCCGGAGCCTGCAGGTGCCCGAGCCACCATGTCACTTCCCAGGAGAGACATGTGGCTCGGGCGCACTGCAGGCCAGGCCCCGCGGTCACCCCCATCAGTGATGACACCCGGGGCGGTCCGCACCCACCATACACCCCTTCCTACACCACCAACAATGGGGGTGGAAATGCTCCTTCAGGTATACAGGGCCAAAGCCATTAAGGGCTTTAAAGGTCAGCACCAACACTTTGAATTGTGCTCAGAAATGTACTGGGAACCAATGTAGATCTTTTAGGACCGGTGTTATATGGTTGTTGTTGTTTAGTCGTTTAGTCGTGTCCGACTCTTCGTGACCCCCAGGCACTCCTGTCTTCCACTGCCTCCCGCAGTTTGGTCAAACTCATGCTGGTAGCTTCGAGAACACCGTCCAACCATCTCGTCCTCTGTCGTCCCCTCCTCCTTGTGCCCTCATTCTTGTTATATGGTACCAGGCACCAATCTAGCTGCCGCATTCTGGATTAGTTGTAGTTTCTGAGTCACCTTCAAAGGTAGCCCTACGTAGAGTGCATTGCAGTAGTCTAAGCAGGAGATAACCAGGGCACTGAGATCCAGTTCCTAGGGCTTTCTAACGGTTCCCTTACTGTGAGGAGTGAAGTGACAGGGAACCAGACAGAGGGCCTTCTCGGTAGCAGCGCCTGCCCTGTGGAACACCCTCCCATCAGATGGCAAGGAAATAAACAACCACCTGGCTTTTAGAAGACATCTGAAAGAAGCCCTGCATAGGGAAGCTTTTTAACGTGCAACGTTTTATTATGTTTTTATATATGTTGGAAGCTGCCTAGTGTGGCTGGGGCAATGCAGTCAGATGGGTGGGGTATTATTATTACTATTATTATTATTATTATTCTGTCTCCTGAATAAAACAATGTGACACTGAGCAAGGCAGTCTTTCACAGAGGTTGTTATGGTCCCACAGGGAGGGTTTCTTCAGCTCTTGCTTCTTGCCCCCAGTAGTTCCCTCCCCTCCCTGTGCATCAGGTCCATTTCAGGGATGGACTACAAGACAAGCAACAGTTTGCTCATTGTGAAGAAAGAACAAAGAGTCCTAGGCCTTGGTGTTATTATCACATGCTGGAGAAGACAACAAGGGATGTTGTTCATCCCATTCTCCTGGATGAATGGGCAATAAAGGCTCCTGGAGGAAGTTGTGGGAGGGCAGAGAGAGGGACAAGGGCCACATTCAGACCATACATTAAAACACTGTGATACCACTTTGAAGAGTCATAGCTTCCCCCAAAGGATTCTGGGAGCTGTAAGTTGTTGTTGCTCCCAGAGTTCCCTGGGAAGAGGGATTGATTGTTAAACCACTCTGAGAATTGTAGCTCAGTGAGGGGAACAGGCTGTGCTTTTTTCTAAAAAAATGTTTAGGGGTACTTTCATTTTGACTCAAGAAAATCACAATTTTATAGTTCAAATCAGGAAAAATAAAGACAGTAAATGGACCAAAGTACAAAGATTCACAGAATATTTGGGGGGGGGGGGTGTACCCCTGCGTAGCCCTAGAAAAAAAGCACTGGGAACAGGTATAACTCTCAGCAGCCTGAACAAACTTTAGATATAATCAGGGGCTGATTTAACATGGGCCTAACCTGCACTTTCCCCCTAAAACATATAACCACACAAACCTTTTTAAACAGTCACATATGCCACATTCACACAATACATTTAAAGTGGTATGATGCCACTTCAAACAGTCATGGCTTTGCCCAAAGGATTCTGGGAGCTGTAGTTTGCTAAGAGTGCTGAGAGTTGTTAGGAGGTGCTGTCCCCCTCCTGGAGCTACAATTCCCAGTGTTTCCTATGAAAAAGGATTGATTGTTAATCCACTCTGGGAATTGTAGGGTCTCCTAACAGCTCTCAGCACCCTTAGCAAACTACAGCTCCCAGAATTTTTTGGGAGGGAAGCCATTGTTGGCATTGTTGGGAGGAAAGCCATAAAGTGGCATTGTTGAACCTTACATGTACGGTGTGAATGTGGTCTGTGTTATGCTTTCTTTCTTGCAATAAACAACCTCTTTTTAAGATGCCTTGTTTGATTATATGTTTTAGTGAATAAATGTGGGGTACGCCTCTTGATTATTTCTTCATGTAAAAGACCCCCTCCTCTCTCAAGGTAAGTGTTTCTGGGGTTTTGAGGTGGGGTGGGTGCACGTCTTTCGCCTCTGTTTGGCTGCAGCGGCATCAAGCTGGGGAACGGCTGCCTGGAGGCCTTTTGGAGTCGCTCCTCCCTTCCAGGGTGTCCTCTCCACGCTGCCTGCCACCTCCCTTGAAGCAAGTGGCTTTTTGCCAGGGCTGAGCAACCACTGAACATTTCCTGGGAGTGAGATGGGTGGGGCTCCCCTGAGAACTCATTGACTGGAAGGTGGGGCTTGGCTTGGCACCTGTGACTGCTTTCACTTTCCTCTTTCTCTCTCTCCTCTCCTTCTTTCCCGGTCGCTTCTCCCACAATGTCAGGGCACACCACCAACCTAAGGCTCAAGCTCCCCATCGCCTGTGTTTTCCTTCAGTTCCTGACTATTCTCCTCTTTGCCCTCTTTGTCCAGTATGATGCCGAAACAAGCGCCAAGCTCTGGCACGAGGAACTGGCTCTCCGCAACAAGAGCCACCTGCAGAACGAGTTCTATTTGCGCTACCCAAGTGAGTATTCACTGGTTTTGTTTTATTTTGTCTCTATCCCGCTTTCCTCCCAGGAATCAAAGCTGCTCACAAAAATTAAAACAAGCAGGGGAGGAAACACAGAAAGCTAAAAACACAGAAAGCACAAATACAGTGGTACCTCGGGTTACATACGCTTCAGGTTACATACGCTTCAGGTAACAGACTCCGCTAACCCAGAAATAGTACCTCGGGTTAAGAACTATGCTTCAGGATGAGAACAGAAATCGTGCTCCAGCGGCGCAGTGACAGTGGGAAGCCCTATTAGCTAAAGTGGTGCTTCAGGTTAAGAACAGTTTCAGGTTAAGAACAGACCTCTGGAACGAATTAAGTACTTAACCCGAGGTACCACTGTAGTTGAAAAGTAATTATTATTGCTGTTATTATTAGTATAGATGTATACTCCTCCTTTTTCCCGATGGGACTCAAGGCGGCTTACAGATACAGTGGTACTTTGGAAGTTGAATGGAATCCGTTCCGGAAGTCGGTTTGATTTCCAAAACAGTTCAGAAACCAAGGCGCAGCTTCCAATTGGCTGCAGGAAGCTCCTGCAGCCAATTGGAAATTGCAGAATTCGTAATGGACATTCAGGTTCCAAGGAACGTTCACAAACCAGAACAACCACTTCTGGGTTTATGGTGTTTGGGACCCAAAACGTTCATCTTGCAAGTCATTCGAGATCCAAGGTATGACTGTAAAAACAAGAACCAGTGAAATTGTAGGAAAAAACAATCATTACAAAACAATTAAACATTGAAAGATTTAAAACTGTATAGACATATAAAGTCTGTTTAAAACATACAAATAACCAAAATAAAAACAGCACAGCACCAGCCCTTTCTTTAAAAGCAGTCAGTTCCTAATAGAACAGGAAAGTCTTCACCTGCCAGTGGAAGGACAACAAGGAGGGTGACAGTCAGGCTTCTTTAGGGAGGGAGTTCCAAAATCTGAGAGCAGCCACTGAGAAGGCCCTCTATTGCATCCCCACCAAGTATAAATGTGAGGGTGGCAGGACTGAGAGGCAGGTCTCCCGTGAAGATCTCAGAGCCCGGGCAGGTTTGTATGGGAAAATACAGTCTTTCAGATATCCTAGACTTAAGCCAAAGTCTCTCCATTTTTTTTATCCATTCATTTATTTTGTAAAATCTCTCTACTGTTTGATTGCGCTATAAAAACCCAGAACACCCCTTGATGTGATTTACAAAAAGAATAAAACTAAAAAACGGTCAGTAAAAAGAGTTAAGAGCAACTATTTAAAACATTCAAATAACAATTAGGATTATTAATAAGCTAAAAACGGATTAAAATTGCCAACATTCTACGATCTGGACAGGCTTGTCTAGAAGAAATGTTTTAAGCAGTCATCGAAAAGGGTAGGCTGCTGCTTGATGTCAATAGACATGGAGCTCCATATATTATTGAAAAATAGCATTTAAAAATGCATTGTATTCAGGAAACTTGATTGCCAAAAAAAGAGAGTATATTATGAGAAGTGAGTATTAAAATCCTGACAGATTTTTGCGAAGGGTTTTTATTTTATTTTAAAACAAATCGTTGGCTGATGTGGAAATATTACAAGCTGAAGGCTGCAGAAATGAGAAACTGAAATTGACAGTCATCCATCTTTAAGCATAACAGAGTCAAATTATATCCAGTTTACTGAAATCCTGCCCCTATCCCCCTTTCCTGAATTTAACCCTGAGCCCCTAAGGCCTGTTCACACAGGGACATACATTTACTCTTGTATTTAAAATATTTCTATACCACTTTTCATCCAAGCAGATTCCTGGATAGTATACAATAATATAATGGGGACGAGCTGTGGCTCAGTGGAAGAGCCTAGAGTGTCTAAGTGTATAAGATTATGTCTAATCTGTCTAATGTGTATAATATGCAAGAGTTGTTCATATTTTTATCAGAACTGTACAGAAAAACTCACTTCCCACCACAATTAAGGAGCAAGCAGTGGATTGGAAAATCCCATCCCTGGTTGCTTGTGAATCCCTGCAATTCTAACTTTCTGCAGCTTTTACAATTGAAGTGAAAAGGTGCTCCTGGAGACCCATCCCCATTGTAGGAGATCAGCTGCCACGTAACTGAAGGTATCCACATGGTTATCGGCCTTTAAAAGGTTGCGAGGTTACTGCAAAAGGAAGCCGACAATTGTTCTGTTTGCAGACTGCAATGGCTCCTGTGTGTGTATTGGATCTTATCAGCACACGTATTCTCATTCGCTATCAGAGAAAACTCTTTGAAGCTGGCTGTGCATACATGGCGAGTGTACATTTCAGCCTTGGAATCTAGTTGAACAGGCAAAGGTCTTTTGTAGGCGGCCTTCCTGGGTAACCGCATTTGGAATACAGTGGTAAATTGGTTCTCAAACTTAATCCGTTCCGGAAGTCCGTTCCAAAACCAAAGCATTCCAAAACCAAAGCGCACTTTCCCATAGAAAGTAATGCAAAACAGATTAATCCATTCCAGACTTTTACAAACAACCCCTAAAACAGCAGTTTGACATGAATTTTACTAACAAGAGCATTTATCCATAAAATGAAAGCAATAATCAATGTAATGTCCTATAAAAAAAATAAGACAGTATTGTAGATTATAAAAAATTAAATTATTATTTTTTTCTTACCAGCACTGATGATAGTCATTGTTTGGATGGGGGGCTTTTATCCATTTTCGCAGTCACACAATCAATCAATCAGTAGTTGAACTGGTTTCAACACAGTCACAAAAACAAATTAACCAAAAAAGCCTCAAAAACAAAAACGCAAAATAAATAGCAAAAGCGCCAAACTTAATTCGTTCTGGAAGTCCTTTTGACTTCTGAAATGTTCAAAAACCAAGACGCAGCTTCTGATTGGTGCAGGTGCCCCCGAAACAATAGCCAACAGCTGCACTGGATGTTTGGCTTCCGAAAAACATTTGAAAACCGGAACACTTACTTCTGGTTTTTGGCGTTTGAGTACCAAGGTACCACTGTACTGTGACTGCACTGGGAATGCTGTGCACAGTTCTGGTTGCCTCGCCTCAAAAAGAATATTGCAGAGTTGGAAAAGGTTCAGAAAAGGGCAACCGAAATGATTTGAGGGGATGGAGCAAATCCTCTAATGAAGAAAGGTTGCAGCTTTTGTTACTTCTTAGTTTAGAGAAAAGGGAAGTAAGAGGTGACATGATGGACATTTATAAAATTACGCATGGCATGGAGAAAGTGGGCAAAGAAAAGCTTTCCTCCCTCTGTCAAAACACTAGAACTCATGGACACCCAATGAAAAGGAATGTCAGAAGATTCAGAACAGATAAAAGAAAGTATTTCTTTATGCAGGACGTGGTTAATCTGTGGAACTCCCTCCCACAAGACACAGTAACGGGCATTTGTGCTCACATTTTAAACCAGTCCATTTCTCACCCTGATCCAGGTTTCCAAGATGTTCACACTATGATCTTTGTTGGCTTCGGCTTCTTGATGACCTTCCTGAAACGGTACAGCTTTGGGGGCGTGGCCTTCAACTTCCTGATAGCTGCCTTTGCCATCCAGTGGTCTATCCTCATCCAGGGCTTTTTCCATTCCTTCCATAATGGCAAAATCCACATTGGAATAGAAAGGTGAGCAAAGTAGCTCCTTCTCCAAGCTGCTTGGCCTTGGGAAAGGGCCTTAGAGACTCAGTTTCAGCCAGGGAGAGAGAGCAAGAGACCAATTCAGGAAAGCGTGATACCATATTGGAGGTCTGGGGACCCAGGGGGCAGTGGGTTGGTGTAAGAAGGAGGGTGGGAGGAAAGGACAACATAAACAGTTCATGTTAACAAATGTTTAACAAGATACCTGCGAAAGTCAAAAGTAGGGGCAATGATTTACTGGAAACAGGTATCAGAAAGTAGGTGCTGCCCCTGGTCAATAGAGACAATTGTATGGTTAAAGGTGAGGGTGGGGGTCAGTCTGGATGATACTCTGGGTCCCTTCTGCACCTGTTTAGAATTAAGTAGCAGAGGCTGCTGATTCAGCCAAACCAGTCCCTTTGTCAAGGTAATGGCCTTTTCTGGCCTGTGAAGTACAGCTATTTAACATATCCAAAGAAGTTGTTCTGTTGTCATAGAGACAAATGGGTATTCCTTATACTACCTCACCTGGCTGGATGCCACATCATCCTGGGATGGGCAACAATAAACCAAGAGATGCTGTGTGGAAGAGCATTTTGACTGGTTCTGGAAGCTAGAGATAGAGAGGCTTGTCTTGTTCTGTGCTGGACCCAAAGCTGCGGCTTGGGGCTTCTCTGGAGACCTAATGGGGAAGCAAGATCTACTAATGCTGTGAGCCCCTCCATCCCACTAAGGTTGTATATATATATGTAAATAAAACCATATATCCTATAGACACTACAGTCTCCACTGACCCTCATTTCAAGGCACCCCTGGCATCTCTCACCACTTGGAGATTGGGGTGTGTGTGCAACAGTATATTGTTACATGCCACCACCCCAATCTTGAGCTGGTGATAGAATCTAGGGGTTCCAGGAACTCAGGGCATCATCCAGACTGACCCCCAAACCCACTATTATATTACAGGGCTTGTCTCCCAGTGCTCCTTTCACCAGACATGAGCAGTTGCAAGCTTTCCGTAGCCAATCAGAACTCCCCATTGGACGACTTTGATGGTTGTGTCGTGTAGGTCAATCCTCTGCGGATGTCCCTTCATTGGCCCTGAGTTAATTGGAGTTAACTTACAGCATTGCAGGGGGCTGGACTAGATGACCCTTGAGACCTCGTCCAACTCTACAATTCTATAATTCTGTGACAGGGGGCAGGAAAGGGCAGCAGCCTAGACTGTCACATTCAGACTGTTGCTTCCAATGTTTTCTGCCAGCATGATCAATGCCGACTTCTGTGCTGGGGCAGTCCTGATCTCTTTCGGAGCCGTTCTTGGCAAGACGAGTCCTGTCCAGCTGCTACTGATGACTGTATTGGAAGTCACCCTCTTTGGCATTAATGAATTTATCTTACTTAGTTGCTTTGGGGTGAGTCTTTGCATTAAAATGATGCTATTTAATCATGTATTGCATTTGTGTCTTGTATTTCTGTCAGGTTGCTTGAGGTAGCAATGTGTACATGCAACAAACATAAAACATTGGGAGAAAATCCTTGCAATGGTGTATACATTAGTCAAAGCCACATACCAAAAAATGCTTATTAGGAGAAATTCACACTAAAGCGCTGAAGAATTTTCATGAGGATTTATTTATTTTTAATCACAAATTGCTGCAGAAATGTGAAGGGATGAGAGCCAGTGTGGTATAGTGGCTAGACTGTCATATGAGGACCCGCGTGAAACCAGGGTTCAAATTCCCACTCAGTCATCGTGAATCTCACTGGCTGACCTTGAGTTTTTAGGGAGAAAGGTGGGATACAAATGCAAGTCATAATAAAAATAATAATTTAAGATAGTAATAAATGAGAAACTGAGAGAACCAAAATTGACAGATGCTTCTGTCCCTATCACGCTGTGCCCTTTGCCGAAGCAAATTTGGATGAATGTTGAATAAAGATGTTATCTGGAGGGACCCTCAAAGGATATTTCTGAAATTTATTCTGGGACTGGAACACCCATACTTTGCCTTAGCTTTTTGCTTCAGTTAATTTGCACATCCCTTTTTGACGGTAAACCTGTGTAGGCAGGGACAGTCTTTTTTAACTGACTGTATAGAAGCCGCTCTGGGAGCCTTTTTGGCTGAAGTGTAGGGTATAACTGCTAATAATAATACAGTAATAATAATATCTGTGTGTGCCACTTTTGCAATTGTGTGCTCCTTTCTGACCTTCTGGCTCAGGCAAAGGATGCTGGGGGCTCCATGACCATCCATACCTTTGGGGCCTACTTTGGATTGATGGTGTCCAGGATTCTTTACCGGCCTCAGCTGAAGAAGAGCAGAGAACGAGAAGGCTCCACCTATCACTCAGATCTCTTTGCTATGATTGGTAAGAGCCACCACATAGGTGGAGGGTTGTTGCTGCCGTTAATGGCTAAATCTTATAGGAAGAGGGGTTTTTAGAGCAAGAGGGAACGGACTGTTTTCTGTCCCAGAAAAATGAAGTTAGGAGAGAAAGGCCACCTTCTAGTCCAGAACCTTCTCCCTCACAGTGGCCAGTCAGGAAATAACACCTTAAGAACCTAACAGAAGAACATAAGCAGAGCCTGATGGATCAGGCCAATGGCCCATCTAGTCCAGCATCCTATTCTCACAGTGGCCAACCAGATGCTTGTGGGGAACCCACAAGAATGGCCTGAGCACAAAAGCAACTCTCTCTTCCTGTGACTACCAGCAGCTGGTATTCAGAAGCATTACTGCCTCTGACCAGTGCATAGCCATCGCAGCTAGTAGCCACTGGTTGCCTTATCTTCCCCCATGAATTTTTCCAGTCCTCTTTTAAAGCCCTCCAAACTGGTGGCCATCACTGCCTCCTGTGGGAGGGAGTTCCATTGTTTAACTCTGTGTTGCATGAAGAAACGCTTTCTTTTGTCTGTCCTGACTCTTCCAGCTTCACTGGATGTTCATGAATTCTAGTGTTATTGTGGTGTCAGTGCGTCTGGCTGTTAACCAGAAGATTTGGGGTTCGAGTTCACCCAGGGATGGCTGTGGGCAGGATTTCTGCATTGAACAGGGTTGGAATAGATGACCCCCGAGATCCCTTCGAACTCTACAATTCTATGAAGAAAGGAAGAAAGTCATTTCTCTAAATATGACTTTACACCCCTATGTCTTGGTTGTTTCTTACCAACTGGATGCTGCTGGAAAGTCCAGTGGAGGCAGAGCATGCGCTTCATGGCTAGTTGTCCATGATAGCATTATTGTCCCCTGTGACTTTGTCCAATCCTCTTTTAAAGCTGCTTCCCTTTCTTCCCTCCATGCAGGAACTCTCTTCCTCTGGCTTTTCTGGCCCAGCTTCAATTCAGCGGTGGCGGCCCATGGAGATGACCAGCTACGGACGGTCATGAACACCTACTTCTCCCTGGCTGCGAGCACCCTCACCACCTTCGCCCTCTCGGCCCTGGTGAATGGAGGGGGCAAGCTGGACATGGTGAGGCCAGTTTGGTGGCCTCTTTTGTAGGGCTTTGGGTGAAAAGAGCATCCCTGCTCACCCCTGTCATACATTAGATCAGGCTTCCTCAACCCCGGCCCTCTAGGTGTTTTGAAACTACAATTCCCATCATCCCTGACCACTGGTCCTGCTAGCTAGGGATCATGGGTGTTGTAGGCCAATAACATCTGGAGGACCAAGGTTGAGGAAGCCTGCATTAGATTCTGGGGCTTCCAGACTGTCGTTCTTTTCTGAGGGGATTAAATCACATCTTGGCAGGTCAACAACCTCTCTTCCCTCAAAAGACTGGATTTTTTGGCAACAAGGAAAGTGAAGGGGAAATGACTTGCTTTCATGTGACATCATCTAACCTCCCAGCAAGCAAATCAGTGCTCATGAAATAACCAACACCATCTAATCTCCCTGTCAACAAATCAAAGAATAGATAGTCTGAAAGCACTTATGTGGGAATTAAATTCTAGTTCCCATTTATAGAGCGATGTGGAAGACCCTTTGATTAGTTCCCTTTTCCCTCCTATTAAAAACTACACAAGACACTCTCTTTTTAAAGTTTAAATAGCAAATAACTTTTACTCAGTGTACTTGTACTTGCAGATTAAAATATATGACGCAGGTAGGAGTTGCTGTACAGTGGTGCCTCGCAAGACGAAATTAATCCGTTCCTCGAGTCTCTTTGTCTTGCGGTTTTTTCGTCTTGCGAAGCACGGCTATTAGCGGCTTAGCGGCTATTAGCGGCTTAGCGGCTTAGCGGCTATTAACGGCTTAGCGGCTTTAAGAAAAAGGAAACAAACTCACAAGAACTCGCAAGACGTTTCGTCTTCCGAAGCAAGCCCATAGGGAAATTCGTCTTGCGGAACGACTCAAAAAACGGAAAACTCTTTCGTCTAGCGAGTTTTTCGTCTTGCGAGGCATTCGTCTTGCGGGGCACCACTGTACTTATGTTGCTAATACATCTTACGTAGATTTGCATCTGAGATAAATACTGTTACAGCCTAGCTCTGAGGCAGACAGCAGCATAACAGAACATACCTGCTGCTCTAACTGTTAAGGCTGTCCATAACTGCCATAACTGTACCAACTGAAATAACTGCCTCTGACGTATGACATCACAGAGTTCTATAGCCCCTGTGAACATTAATCCTTTACTTAACATTTTGGATGCTTTCATCCCACACTTTGGGCCATTGATGTAAAGCAGTATCGTGCCATTTGAAACAGCCATGGCTTCTTCCTCAGAAGGATTAAGGGTGCTTAATTGGGGTAATTCCGCTGCAAAAATGTGCATGTCAGGCAAAAAGGCATGCCAAAATGTGCCTATTAGGTGAAATTTGCACTGAAATACTGATGGGGGAAAATAATTGTTGTTGTTTATTTAAAAAAATCACAAATTTTAGAATGAAACAACGAGAAGCTGAAATAAGCTGAAACTGACAGATTTGCTCACTCCCTGGCCTAGAGAGCTTCCTTCAATGCAGGTTAGGGGGTGAGTTTCCCCCTTGCTGCTGCACACCCTCCTCCTATCCTGACTCACACTGAAGCCATTTGATTATCTATTGATTTTCTCTTACCAGGTTCATGTTCAAAATGCAGCCTTGGCTGGTGGAGTGATTGTTGGGACCTCAGGAGAGATGATGCTGACCCCATTTGGAGCCATGATTGCAGGGGTCTTGGCTGGCTCTGTGTCAGTTCTTGGCTTCAAATTCCTTACGGTATGTTTCCCTCCAAAACAACAGCAACTTTTGGGGAAATGCAAAGAATTCTGTGCCACAAGGAAGTGACATTACCAGTTTTCCTTGGACTTCCAAAGAAGGGCCATAACTCAGTGGTGGGGCATTTTTACACCCTAGTCCAGGGATAGCCCTTGTTACGCCTTCCAGGTTTGAGCTCTAGATTTCTGAGCAGCCACTAAAAGAAGCGTCAGTAAATCATTATTCTTTATGCCAGCATGTAGGCCTTCAAAAAGGGACAGTAAACATGAACGGGGTGAGAAATCCATCGCCTCCCAAATTAGTTTGGATACTTCTCAGGACACCATAGAATCATAGAATTATAGAGTTAGAAGGGACCCTCAGGGTCATCTAGTCCAACCCCCTGCAATGCAGGTATGTCAGCTAAAGCATCAGTGGCAGATGGCCTCTGCTTTGAAACCTTAAAAACCAGCCCCCCAAATGCCTGCATGACCAGGCAACCTCACCATAAACCCCACTAGCTCAAGTTTTACTGAACAACAAAGGCACCTCCTGCCATCATAAATACTGGGAGTCTCCTACAAGCCCCTTCTGGTTTCTAACACTGTACAGTGGTACCTTGGGTTACAAACGCTTCGGGTTACAAACGCTTCAGGCTATAAACTCCGCTAACCTGGAAGTAGTACCTCAGGTTAAGAACTTTACCTCAGGATGAGAACAGAAATCGCGCGGCGGCAGCAGGAGGCCCCATTAGCTAAAGTGGTACCTCAGGTTAAGAACAGTTTCAGGTTAAGAACAGACGTCCGGAACGAATTAAGTTCTTAACCAGAGGTACTACTGTAATTGAAACGATCTGCCATGGTGACTAGAGATTTGGTGCCATTTTAAAAAATAGTAATAATAAGGTTCAGGTTCCCAAGATTTTGGGGAAACATTATGTGCATCTTTGTGAACAGAAAGTGCCCCACTAGATGGGTGAGTACCACCACACACAATCCCCAGGAGGCCACCTAGATGCTTGATGCAGGAAATCCAGGACTAGAGCCTCCTTGAGAGATGGCAGTCTATCTTGCGGCATGGAATCCCATCCATTCTGTGCCAAAATTCTTTTTGTGCTGAATGCCTCTTCCTCCCCAGCCCTTTCTGGCCTCCAGGCTGAAAATACATGACACCTGTGGAGTCCACAACCTGCACGGGATGCCAGGAATCCTTGGTGGCCTCCTTGGCGTGCTGGTGGCAGGGCTGGCAACAGAAGATGTTTACGGAGATGGGTGAGTCCTGGTGAGAGCCAATGTGGCTTAATGGTTCTTCCATAAACTTTGATCTATGGAACTGGCCCTGTTACAGGTGTCACATAATGCACATTCCACATTTGTAAGAAATCAATCTTTTAGAGCGGTATATTGACGCTAGGCAGGCACCCATGTTGTACTCCTTTTGGTGCTTGGTAAAAACATTTTTTTAATAATGATGATTACATTTATTACCTGCCCTTCACCAACAGGTCCCAGAGAGGTTTACAACGATTTTAAAGTAGAGAATTGAAGACAGTTAAAATACTTTGTTGTTGTTTAGTCATTTAGTCGTGTCCGACTCTTCGTGATCCCATGGACCAGAGCACGCCAGGCACTTCTGTCTTCCACTGCCTCCCGCAGTTTAGTCAAACTCAAGATGGAAGCTACCAGCATGAGTTAAAATACTACATTCACAATAATAAGGTGTGACCTGAAACATGCTAATCTCAGGTGCCAAAGGCCAGAGCAAAGAGGTTTAGGCAAGCTTACCCAGTTATGTAAATGTCAACATGTGTTTTTAGCTCATTTTTTATTTTAATTGTTTTTTGAATGTTTTACATATATGCATGCATACATACATACATACATACATGCATGCATAAATTTATTTGTATGCTGCCTTTTCATAGAACCATGCTCAAGGCAGCTTACAACATGAAACAGCACAAAATTACAAACAAAACAAAAGTAAATAAATGTCTGTAACTGTTGTTATTGATAATTTTTCATGTTTTATTCTTCTTGTGAATCTCTCTGAGGCTTTTTTCTTACTATCAAGCGGTATATAAATTTTATGAAACAAATAAATGTAATTGGTGTGTTGGGGCTAAGGGTTCAAATCCCCACACATTGAGTGGCCTTCAGTCTATTCTCTGTCAGCCCAGACAACCTCACATGGGTTGTTGTAAAGATAAAATGGGGTAGAACCTGTTGGAGGGAGAGTGGAATATAAATACAGATAACAATGTTAATATTAATCCAACTCGCAAGAGATCAGACTCCAGCCTGTTTTCCAGGACAGGCCAAGCTTGTTGAGACCCACTCACTGGATCTTGTCTGTTGCCTTTGCAGCCTGGCGGACATCTTTCCTCTTGTCGCCTCTGGGAAACGGACCACCACGTACCAAAGCCTCTTCCAGCTGAGTGGTTTGGTTGTCACTCTGGGATTGGCTATGACTGGTGGAAGCATTGTGGGTGAGTTTTTCCATGGCCAAAGATTTGAAGGTGGAGGTAACGCCATTCCCAACCCTTTGCAAGGAATGAGGAGGGGGAGCTTTCCGATTATTCAAAATATTTCTATTGCACTTTCCCCACAATAATTTCAAAAGCACCCCCAGCTCCCTCAGCCATTCTTCATAAGGGTTGGTTTCCGGACCCTTAATCATCTTGGTCACTCTCCTCTGCACACCTTCCAGCTTGTCAACATCCTTCTTAAATTGTGATGCCCAGAATGGACACAGTAATCCAGGCATGGTCTGACCAAGGCAGAATATAGCAGTACTATGACTCCCGTTGATCTGGACATTAGGCTTCCGTAGATCCAGCCTAGAATTGCATTAGCTTTTTATGTTGCAGTTGCCATAACCATCACCACCACAATGCCCTGGAATGATCATTTGAACCTGGCACTGTAGAGCTGAATAGGGAGTGTCATGGGGCCATTTTCCACACAGCCCTAGATGCAATAACAAAAAAATAATAAATATATCGTCAGTGGCAGTAAAAGTTCTCATCATTATCTGTCCTGGTGACAGAGTGGCTCCCCTAAATTTCACCAGGCTCAGCCCACCATAGATGGTACCACAATTCCTAGCATCGCCCCCCTTCACTTCTGAAGGCAGAGGGGTACCCTTGAGTGCCAAGAATTACTTCTGGTAGTTGACTGTTTGCTACTCCCTAAGCATTGAAGATCATGCTAAAGGCCCATCCAGTCCAGCATCCTCTCATGGGAGAATTTGTTTCAACACTTTGTGTGCATTTGCACATCACATTGCCCTTCGTTTGGTTTGTACAACTTACCTGCCTCCATAGAGGAGCAGAGCAAAAAAATCTGTGTTGTACAGCCCCTCTCTCTGAGTGGTGAGAGACTCCACAGGTTTCTGAGCTTACCCAGGGTTTGGTGTCCTTGGAATGAAGGTTGATGGAGACCGTGGTGTCTTTTTAAAAATTTATAAATCTTTATTAAACATTCAACAATTACATACATAACAATGTGGAGACTGTGGTGTCTTTAGGATGTTTGGTTTTATTTACTGTTAAGTTGTGGGCGAACATGTCAGACGACACAGCGATTCTTTAAACAGCTCTTCTTTATTCAGATGCCAGAACAGAACTAGGCTGAGGAGCTCAGTCAGCCTGCTTATATAGAGCTCCAGAACCATGCAACTGTTGCCATTTTCTAAAACTATCCAATCACTGAACGTCACTTTTCGATCCTTCATTTGCATACAAAACTATCCAATCACTATCATTTGCATACAAAAACTATCCAATCACTATCATTTGCATACAAAACTATCCAATCACTGAACGTCACTTTTCGATCCTTCATTTGCATAACTATCTACAGTATCCCCCTGCTGGCCCAGGGTGAGAACTTCAGTACATAACATTTACACGTATATACAACTTGAGGACAAGATGGAGGAGCTCACAGCATGAATTCCCCAATAGATCTTGCTTCCTCTGTTAGGTTTCCAATGAGATCTCCAAGTCATAGCTTGGGGTCCAGCACAGAGGCACACATGTCTCTGTGCCTCTGCCATCAACCGGAACTCAGCCCCCTTTGGCCTCTTGTTCCCCATAGGAATATGTGCCATCCAGCCAACTGAGGTGGGAAAAGGTCCACCCATTTATCTCTATGGCAAACTCTTAGGAACGTAAATGGTACTCTCTGTGTGAGATAGCCAGCGGAGTATGGTGGTTAGAGTGTCAGACTAGGACCTGGGAGACCAGGGTTTGAATCCCTGCTTGGCCATGAAGCTCACTGGCTGACTTTGGCCCAGTCACTGCCTCTCAGCCTAAGCTACATCACAAAATTGTTGTGGGAGATAAATGAGGGGGAGAACCATGCACACCACCTTGAGCTCCTTGGAGGAAAAAAGGCGAGATACAAATGCAGTAAAAGAAATAAAATACTTAAAAGGCAAGCCAAACCAGTTTGACTGATTCACCAGGTTTCCTCCTGTCAATTCTAACTTCGCTGTCACAGGTTTGGAAGGGACCCACGGATATCATTCAGATTCACACCCTAAATAGTTATCACTATTAAAATCATGGGAGGGTAGATTTCAAATTTTTGAAGGCTCCACTTTGATCGCTACATAAAACCATTTAAAACAGAGTTTAGCAATGTTGGTTGCTGATGACAGTATTGCATGGGAAAACAGAGAAGACCGAATTGTGGTCACTGAAACAGTATTGAACCAATCAATTTTCTCCATTCATTCCTTTTTCAAGGCACAACCTTTTTCTTGCCACTGGAGGTCAGTACAAGCTAAAATATGGATATTTCCCAGCCACGGCCTCCTCAAACCAGCAATTTGAGGATGGACTTGGGCTGGATTATAAAAATAGAAGGGCTATTTTGTTTAATGTTGGAAGAACTCAGAAAGATTTTGGCCACATATACACCATACATTTAAAGCACTGTGATACCACTTCAAATGGTTCCCCAAAGAATCCTGGGAGCTGTAGTTTCTTAAGGGTGCTGAGAGACCCCCATTCCCATCACAGACCCACCAATTCCAGAATGGTTTAAGAAATCAATCCCACTTTCCAAGGAAGTATGGAAATTGTAGCTCTGGGGAGGGAATGGGGGGGTCTCTCAGCACCCATAGTTCCCAGAATTCTTTGGGAGAAGCTGTTAAATGTATGGTGGTATGACTCCGGCTTCATGTCCTGCATATGAAGGCAGCTTAGAGTTCTCCTTCTATGCCATGACACACACACCCCATTCCTCCCTCTTGCATTTCCCAGGGGTCATCATGAAGTCGCGGATACTTGGATCTCCGAATGACTCTCTCTGCTTTGAAGATAATATCTACTGGGAGGTATCTGCACTTTTGCTATTTATTATTTGATCATTAATACAGTGGCATCAGTATATTATTTTGCCCTGTGCCCCATTCCACTGATGAAATGACTGCTTCCAGGTGACCCTTGAGGAGCTCTGCTTCCCATCTCCCTGTGTGGGATATTTAAAGGGCGGTCAAACCAACTATTCGTGTTTTGCTAGATAGGCACATGATAGGAGCTCGCAGAGTTTTCCTGTAAACTTGCTAAAGAGAACTCTGTGAGAGACACTCCAACTGTGCTTTGAAAGGGGGAGGACATAGCTGTATATTATCCTTCCTGCCTGGGCACACCCTCTCTTTCTATCTCTCTTCATCCTGTCAGCAATGTGAGAACAAGCTCTAATGCCATTTCAAGCAAGACGTATGTCTTTGTAACTGAATTGCCATTTTAAGCCTGCCTAAACAAATTTGCTGTTTCTGCTACTCTTCAACAAGTATTCTGTAGTTGTTATTTTTACCTTTTACAAGATTCTTTGTAATATTGTTATTTTAAGGGAGAGAAAGGGGGAGAATACCAGGAAAATCTAGTCTGCCTTAAACATCCTGGATTACTTAAACTAAAAGGCCAAAACTAGCCTAGCTAAGCTTCCATTTTCAGCTGCAAAGGGGTGGCACTCTGCTGAACTCACAAACGTGAGGAAAGAAGGATAATATCTAACAAATATATCCTCTCCTAGCATCTATTCACATCCCAGCACCCATGAGGTGAGGGGGGTTGGGATGTTGGTGTCCTTTTCTCACCTGATTGCTCCTTCTACTTAGGTTCCTGAGGATCATCACAATGGCTTCCAGGGTGTTGTGGTTGTGAGAGCCCAGGAGACAGACAGAGACTCAAGCGCCTGACAGAATGCTACCGTCTTCTACACAGCAGCAGGCAAAAAGATGAAAGCAAGGGATCTGCCATGTTCAGGAGATCCCAGCCATTAGGAGATCTGCTCTGAAGTCAAAATACCACAAAGGTGGTTCCAGGGCTCCAGTCCCCTTAGAAGGCAGAGCCAGAGGATTCGCCAGATGATTTGCCTGTGGTGACTCTGTTTTGCAAAGGAGTGCATTCTGCGTATTCTCAGAAGCACTGCCTTATGTGTTATTACTTTGCATATTCCAAAGGTGAGCCATGGCATCCTGAAACAGGTTCCAGCATTACACACTGATGATCCACCCTTCTCAAATGAGGCCCTTGACCCTATGGACAAGAAGGACCCTGAAGCCAAGATGAAGATGAAATGGTCAAATCTTCGACCTGAATATACTTGCCTTCACTTAGGGATTTCTTCCACAAGACTGCCAAGGCAGTGCTCATTTCCTGAAAGGCTGGTGGCTAACTACTGCCATTTTTGTGGTATTTGTTCATCATCCTGTGATCCAAAAATACAACTTGGCCTTTCAACATAAAATCCTTGGCTAGCATGGTTGAAACCTCGGAAAGCAAACATCAGGACAGAAATGCAAAATCAAACAGGGGGCGGTAGTTGGAATATTTGTAATGATTTGATTACTAATATTTGTATTTAAATAGTGGAAACGTTTGTGTGATGACTTACATATTTTTTTATTATGCCCTAAATCCATATAACTGAAGTCCTGAGAGACCCTCTTGTGCTATTTCAAATATCTGTTAAAATGACAGTCGTTTGCTCTATCTGTTAAAAACAAATGAAAAGTTTAGGATGTCTGTGGTGACCCTCGGAACCTTCTGACTGAGTAATAATGAGCAGATTTATTGTGGCAGACGTCTTTGCCACAATAAATCTGTTAGTACTGAGGATGCCACAAGACTTTCTGTTGCATTTGCTGCAACAGATGAAATGCAAACTAACCCCTCTGGCGAGAGTCACCATGGCAGGGATTTTCAAGAAGTAAATCTATGGCCAGCACAGAGGTCTGATGCTGAGCTGAACCCGGAACTGAGTTCTACCTTTAGAAAAGCCCCAGGAGTATTTTTAGGAGGCTGCGGAGAAGCATCATGCTCTCCAGAAAAACACAGACCAATACAGAAGTCTCTTCAGGCTGGAATATTATTATTATGTATTCAGTTTATATACTGCCCTTTATCAAAAGATCCCAAGGCTGTGCACAATATTAAGAACACATTTTAGAGAGCATCAATAGTAAAAAAAAAAAGCATAATAACAGACAACATAATAATAAAATCATCATAATAACACCAATACTGGATAGCTCAGTTGGTTAGAGCGTGGTCTGATAACGCCAAGGTTTCAGGTTTGATCCCTATGTGGGACAGCTGTATATTCCTGCAATTCAGGGGTTTGGACTAGATGATCATCAGGGTCCCTTCCAACTCTGCAATTCTATGATTCTAACAGTGCCCCCAGTCACAGTTTTAACAGGCCATAGATTATTTAATGGCTAAAGACCTGGGTAAAGAGGAATGTTTAGAGGAAGCTGCCTTATACTGTACTGAGTCAGACCACTGGTCCATCTAGCTCAGTACTGCCTACACTGACTGGCAGCAGCTCTCCAAGGTTTCAGGCAGGGAAACTTACACAGGTTTACTGGAAATGCCTGAACATGGGACCTTCTTAATCACTGGGCAACTGCCCTTTCCCACTTTCCCCCCAAACGGCTGGGATATATGCTACATAACAGGAACTGAAGTTATGAAAAAGTTACGACAGTATTCTCAATGTTTTATGTCATGTTGTAATCTTTTCTCCAAAGGAAATATTTGAAACAGGGATAATGTTTCTCCAAATATTTCCTACTATCCCATTCAGTATCTGCCGCCCCCCTGGCAGTTCTCACAGTATATTAAAGTACTATCTGACATGAATTAAACCCTTTGACTTCTTCCTCTAATAACTTCATTTGCCACCCCCTGTTTTTGTTCTGGAAATGGGGTACAATTCTTACTAGATTTTTTTTGTATCTTTTTTGTATCTTATTTTATTTTTGTACACTAGTTTGATGACCTCAGGCTGTGCAGCAGTTTAGAAATTTATAAAACAAACAAATCCCTGCCATTTGGCTTTGCCATTTGGTATCAGAGCAACAAAGCCACCACTAGATGTATACAGCTATTATTTCATAAATGACTGGCTTGCACCTCAGCGAAAGCCTCCTTAAGTCAAAGCAGCTTCAGCAGGCCTCTAAGCATCCTGACTCTATGGCCCTCCTTTCTCCCTTTCCTGTTAAAACACAGGACTCCCCTCCCTCGACATTTCAGGAGAGAGTCTGCCGTGGCTTGACTGAGAGGGGCTGTGAGGAGAAGGCCATTTTGGCAGAAAAGTAGTGGAGAAAGGGAAGTAAGAAATAAAAAGCTCAGAGAAAGAATGGAAGACAGATACCAAAGACAGCAAATTGGGGGGGAGGATGCAGTTGAAAACACAGAAATGTATCTGTACTGTTGTGGGGTGGGTGGGTCCACCACAGGCCCAGATGGTGTCACTCAGAACTTGGTGACACCCCAAAGCCTGAGTTCTGGGAGTTCTGGTTTGAGGGGCAGGCTCCTTGGTGCTCTGTAGGCCCGGCCAAAGACAGTACTCTGCCTGAAGTGAAGAACAAGATGGTGCCCTGCCCATTCCATGTAGACTGGCCATCAAATCCCTACTTCAACAACGGGGGTCTCTGCACCTGAGGCAGCAAGTCAGACTGTGTACACAGGTGCAACAGAGAGGGATTTAGGAGGAACAGCTCCCCAGCATCAGCCGTCTGAGGCAGTTGCCTCGCTTTGCCTAATGTTAGAGCCAGCCCTGTTGCCCAACCTTTGCCTGTCTGTAGCTGATATTTCTAATGTCCTTGGCCTTCCAATGTCAAGGTTCGGCAAGGGCCCTGGTTCAGTGGCAGAGCGTCCACCTTGCAGGCAGAAGATCCCAGGATCAATCTCCAGGTAGTACTAGGAGAGACTCCCACCTGAAACCCTGGAGAGCCATCGCTGCCAGTCAGTGTGAACAATACTGACAGCTTCCAGTGTTCCTGTGCCAAACTTCCCACTTAGATTTGACCTCGGCCTTGACATGCTTTCAGTTGGAAGCACCTTGCTGGGCAAGGTTTGTGTTACTCTCTCGGTGATGGCACCATACAGATCAGAATAACGGCGAATGAGCAAGGGCTGAGATAATTGGTGTGGAGGAGAGATGACAGCATGGATCCCGCTGTCCTTTGGAGAGTCCGGAAAAGGGGGAAGTCAACTGCCTGCTCTCCAAGTAGTGGCCCCCACTGGGCTTAGCCTAGTTGGGAAGCAGGCCTCCCCCTCCGCTGTGTCACGGCCCGCCATGAATGCCCAACCTTTTCATCCACTTCCCCTTTTTCTCCTCATCCTTTTTCCCACCCACTTGTCTCTTTCACTCCCACCCCCTCGGTGTCCTCCACATTCTTCCTCTTTTCTCTTCTGTCTTCTATAAACAATATATTTCAGTGTCTGGAGGAAGGGACATTGCATTATGCAGATTGGGGGGACGACGTTGCATGAGAGATTTCCCACTCTCCCAGTCCCCTCTGGCTCTTCCCTCCCTCCCTCCCTCCCTTGCCGCCACCGCCCCCCAACACCATCCCCCCCAACCCCGTTCTCACCAAAGTACTTTGGTTTCCATGGTACACCCAAGGCTGTCTGGATCCCATTTTGCATACGGATGAGGGAGGGAGGGGAGACATAATGAGCTAAAAAGAAATCCATCACCCAACCGCCGAAGAACCCTGTCGTTTTGTCTTGTCTGACGCGGAGTCTGATGGAATGTCATAAAACAAAACCCGCTCAGCTTCTGTCTCTGAGAGGCCTTTTTTTAAAAAAGGAAAGTAATATGCCAATGGGTTGCTGTCTGTGTGGCTGGGCTAGGGAGCGGCATTCGCCTGAAGTCCACAAGGACCTCCACCTTCCACCACATCACCGCAAGGTGGTAATTCGGACAGAAGGTGGCGCTAAAGACAGTGTATTAGGGCTGTGAGGGATGCTTAGGAATTGCACAACAAAAACCTGTCCTTTAGATCATGTTGGAAAGCAGGAGAAATTTGAGGCAGCGGTGAGGAAACGAACACGACTGAATGAACAGGACTGGATGGAAATCTTCAGGTTTTGCATGGAAAAAAATGCCCTTTCGAAATTTCCATTTCTGATTTCCATCTCTTAGGGCATGGAATCCAGGCTTTTGTTTTGTGTACACATGAGACGGTTAAAATATTGATGGCAGACAGGCTTGGCTTTTTTTTCCAGCAGGGTTTTCTAACATCAAATGTGGAATGTTGAAATCCGGTGATTTATCATTAATTGGGGTAGGGAGGGGGAGAAGGAATAGTCTGTTGGCTTTTGGAATGATGTAGAACACTGCATTAGTGCCCGATTGAAAGACGAAACAGAGTACTTTGGAATAATCATAAGAATAAGGGGAATAGGAACAACTACATCATAATATAGTGTCATAATATAGTTCATTTCTAAGAAATAAACATAGGGAGAAAAAGCAGATTCCTGCCCCCAAAGAGCTTACAATATAAATGGTACCTGTATGAGGTGCATCAATGACCATTAAAGGTTGGAGTGTGTGGGAGGGGGGACTGTGCTCATCACCTGAGCTCCTTGAAAGAGGTGTGTGTGTGTCGTGTGCGTGTGTGCAATAATCCAGAAGCAGTCCGTTCAGAATGCTGCAGCACAGTTGCTGACAGGCATATAACACCTCTGTAGAGAGATCTGCACTGGCTGCCCATTTTCTAGAGGGCCAAGTTCAAGGTGGTGCTATTAGCATATAAAGCCCTGAAAGGCTTGGGACCAATTTACTTGCCCACCTGACCACTTCAATCTGTTGAACCAGCACGGTTGCAGCTGTGCTTCCTTCTACACTTCTAGTACTTCCTTCCTACTTCTAGTACTTCCTTCTACACTTATAATGTGGCAGCAGCTACACTCTGGAACTTCCAGCCTAGTGACATCAGGCAGGTGTCTTTGCTGTACTTTTTTCAGTGCCTGCTAAAAACATATGTAGAATGTTGACATGTGTTTTATTCATCTTTTGATTTTTTTAAAAACCTGTTTTCAACAGTTTTTTAATCAATAATTTTAATGTGTTATGTTTGTTTTGTTTTTTTGCCAGTCACTCAGAGGTGGGTTCTTGTTTGTTTTACCATAAAGCAGTATATGACTTTTATTGAATGAATAAATGAAACATACTGGTGTGTTGGATTGCTGAAGTTACTTTGCTAGATTTGAAAATGGACTCTCTGTCTGTGTGACGGTTCGTACACCTTTGGGGGAAGGATTGCGGTTGAGTGCTAGATGATCTGCTTTTCAGGCAGAAGGTTTCAGGTAGAGCTGGGAAAATACCCTACCAGGAACCCCAGAGAGCTGCAGCCAGCCAGTGTTGAAAGTACTGAGCTAGATAGATGGACCAAGGGTCTGACTGGCTATAAGGCAGCTTCCTATATAACAAGATCAAAACAGATTACTTTTTTTAAAAAAAAAATATTATAATCCCAATTTGAAGTTGACTTCTTAGCCTGAGCACTATTTTCTGAATCCCAGCTGTAAAAAAGAAAAGAAAAAAGAAAAAAAGAGGCAAATTCCATGCTGGGATCATGGTTTTGTATGTTTTGTGGTATTTTATGCATTGTGACTTGCTGCTATTTGTATTGATTATAGTTTAATAATTTTTATTGTAACTGTTAAGTCTAAACTATTTAATTATTATTTGCTGATATTTAATTGTAGTGCTTACTATTATATTCTAGTAGATCACTGAATATTGCTTTATTTGATCTAAGTTGTTTGTTATAAAGTTTTGTTTTTATTATGACTTTTTTGTATTGGATCAGATTGCTATTAGGTGTGTGTTCTTCATTGTCTGTTTGTTGTTCCTTCAGCTTGTAAACCGCATTGTGAGTAGAAATGTAGAAAGGTGGTAAACAAATTAAAAGTGAAATGAAATGATGTGAAATTAGGAAAGGAATTGAAAATAAAACTGCCAATCTCATAACGCCATTATACAGATCTAGGGTGCCACTGCATTTGAAATACTCCCCTCAGGAAGGATACAGTCAAGTTGGAAGAGGTTCTGAAAAGGATAATCAAAATGATCAAGGAGGTGGAGGAGCTCCCAGGTGAGAAAAGGTTGCCGCATTTGAGAGAAAAGGTGAGCAAGAGGTGACATGATAAAAGTTTATAGAATTGCACCTGGCATGGAGAAAGGGAATAGAAAAAAATGTTTTCTTCTCTCTCATAACACTAGGACTCAGGGACAGCCGTTAAGTTGAATGTTGGACGGCTCAGGGCAGATAAATGGAAGTCCTCCTTCATGCAGCACTCAGTTAAAATGATGCGGAGTTTGCTCCCGCAGTGATGGCCACCAGCGTGGATGGCTTTTAAAGAGGATTAGACAAATTTGTGGAGAATAAGGCTGTCAACGGCTACTATGCTCTGCCTCAACTGTCAGAGGCAGCAATGCTCCTGAATACCAGTTGCTGGAAACCACAGGAGGGGAGAGGGTTCTTGCGCTCGGGTTTTCTTTGCTGGTTTCCCACATGCATCTGGTTGACCACTGAGAGAACAGGATGCTGGACTAGATGGGCCATGGGCCTGATCCTGCAAGGCTCTTCTTAGGTTCTTAGGCACAGTCCCCACCCCACTCACCAACTGAAACTTCCTTCTTGGTTGTTTGCAGCAAAACACACCCCACCCAGGAATTTGTTTTCAAAAATCTCCTTGTTAAAGGAGCAGGTTTCAACTCCCAGGAATTCTTGACATGGGTGGCGGCGGCTGATGGAACCTCCTTTGTCCCCAAAATGGAAAACCTTGCAGGATTTGTGACCTTCACTTTTGTATAAAAATATGTGGAACTTAGCTGGAAGAAAAC